AATGAAATAAAGAATAAAATAAAATGCTGAAGAAATCCAATTAATAGTAAATCCATTAATAACTTCCAAATGGTTACAACTCGGGAATCCCGTAACTCAAGGACCCCTTAACCAAAAGTTACTATTTAGAATTTCAACCAATTAAGTACTAATATCAACTGAAACAAAACTAATATCCTACTTTTAAGTAAATAGAAGGAATGGATAAGTCCTCCAGCTGCGGATCCTCAACCTTGAGACTTGACCTTCTACAACCTGAAAAATAAATCGCGGGTTAAACCCTACGAGCAAGTTCTCTCTACCAAGCCTCTGAAAACCAATAAACAGATCATCTTTACCAAAACCATCCCTAATTAAGCTTTAACTTTAATATACGATGCTACAAATATATATAAATACTTATATATATAGTGCAAGAATCCTACCAGTTAATAGGGCATTAAATTGTCAAAACCACTCACCAATAATTAATTATTAGTCATACCTAGACCAAGCCCCCCCTTTTATAATTTTCTCATAAAGTAAACCCCACTCACCTTAACTCCATCCTAAACAGTAATTTAGTCATCTACACATATAGCAATTTAAATATGCACCGGCAAATCAACCATACCATTTATAAATATATTTATTTATATACTAGCAATTCAACCATGCTTCCTTCAATATATTTACTTTTACAATTAATTAGCAATTCAACCATGCTTCCCATATATGAAATTTATTCATAACCAATAAGGCAGTATATCAAAGCCTTTGGCAACTCATCCATGCCTACAATTCAACCATGTATTAATTTTAAACTTAACTCTAGGTATAATTATACATAGACTTCACATGCATATAATAAGCATGTCCTTAATTTAATAACCGTGTATCTATTACGATTTTAAATCAACCATACCATACACGAATCAAGTCATACCAAACAAGATTTATAATATTTAATAATCTTAAATAATATATATATACACATATATTTTATAATATATATATATATATATATGTGTGTATCATACATTCCATACCAATCGTTGACTATTTAAAATCATATCTACATATATATACACATATATACACCTCCTTTCATTGCAAAAATATTTAATTAATTATATTTATACCACTAAATGCTACTAGGTATCTTAGTAACACTCTGAGGCTCTCAAAATATCAAGAACACACCCTCTAATGATTAATTTTAACCCTAACAAGCTTAAGATAAATACTGGAACTTCACCGGAGTCTCAAGCAACTTTCCAGGACCTCACACGCATCCCCACGCGCCTTCACGCGCCGCCACATGCCCCTAGACTACTCCCACGCGCCTCCACGCGCTTCCCCTTACCGGCAGGCGCATCCACGCGCCTGCACGCGCCCTCACGCGCCTGAGCCACTCTCGGCGCGTGTTGGCAGCTCCTAATTGGTTGTTGTTTGGTGCTCTTGGTAAGCCGCGATGCACTGGATCCTCTCCCTTAATCAACTACATCTAACCATTGATGCCGCATGTGTATCAACTTACAATGGACCGCATCACACCAGATTAATCCAACTAAATAAAATTAATCCTATGGCCTAGATCAACGAGTGCACCCTTTTCCTACGTACGCGACCACACTGGATAAAAATCCTATTGATGCGCAAATACTAGCCGCCTCTAGTGTGTTTGTTAAACAATTTAACATATATATATATATATATAACAATTTCTAAATTAACATTAAAAATATAAATTAATTTCAGAAATTGTTCAGAAAATCTCAGAAAAATCCCAAAAGCTCTATTTATTATTTTGGGCATAAATGAACATATACAATTAAATTAAAATCTATTTAATTTAATTAATCGTGCTATACAAGGTTAACGCAAAATATAAAAATTTTAGAAAAATAAAATTTAATTAACCTAACCTCACCTACAAGATCTAAATTATCAGAACAATGCATACATATATTCACATGTTTAATTCTATAATTTTGTAAAGAATAAATATGCTCCTCCAATCTGAATAATAATTTAATTTAATAAAATAAAATTATAATTTCGATAATCAAGGTGATAAGTTTATGAGTTCTAAGAGGAGAAGTAGAGAGGAACTCGCCTTTTCTTTTCCAAATCCGGTCTCCTCTTACGTTCTTTGATCCGGCCTCCTTTTCGTTAGCCCTTCTTCTTCTCTCTCTAATTCTCTTATTTTTCTAACGTGGAAAAACTCCTAACCCTAAAGTCTTATGTGTCTATTTATATACATACAAAAACTAAATCCTTTTCCCATTAGGATTATCATATAAAATAAATAATATTTATCTTTTAAATAATATATATACATACATATATTTTACTATAAACATATATATATTACCTTCCATATATAACCATTAGTTAAATAAATTATATATACCTATATATATCAATATATAATTATATTGACATATATACCCCTCCACATGATTTAATAATGAATTAATATACACATGTAATTATATAGGTATAATTATGCAAAGATAATTATTAAATATCCTCACAACCACGGGCCTTTACCAATTAACCCAACAAGGCTTCCTTCAAGCCCAATACCACATCCGTTGGTCCAACTTCCTTTAATCCCAATACAAATAACTTAAATACCTAAAATAATGAAATTAAATTTAATAGCTACCAATAATTAACAATAAAGGTACACCAACATAAAATCACGCAAATCAAATAAACACTTCACTAACTAGCATTCCACAAATCAAACACTGTATAAATTTAACAAATAAAATTACAAAATATATAATTTAATTAAAACAATACAATTTACCTACGCACTTAATTAAATAAAACAAATCACAACTATCAAGCACCTAATTAAATAAAACAAATCACTTAAAAATAATAATAATAATATAATATAAATTAATTTAATTAATAAATCCTTTTTACAATATCGGGGTATTACATTCTTCCCCCCTAATAAAATGAATTTCGTCCTCGGAATTCACGAATCCTTGAAATGAAATTTTGATTATTTGTCCCAAACTTTCATTTTCCCTTATTCCACTGTTTGCCATGTAAGATATTTAATATGTAAATATCTATAATAAAATGCTCACAATTGTGTAAATTACTTAAACACTTAGTGGTGTAATATACTAACAGTCAATGATTTGTATATATATGTATAAATATATATCACCATCATAAGCCAAAACCATCCAGATACTAATGAACATGATGCACTTATATCTACTAAGTCATTTCTACATCTCCCTTGAAATAAAAAAAAACATACCTCAATTCTTCTGAGGTACCCATGCATTGCAAGGTGTGGCATTGTACACCATACCTTGATGCAACTGCTGTATAGGCTGTCCCTGTGGTGGCGGTGGTGCTGGTAAGGCCGAAAATGTCTGAGCCTGCACACGTGGAATCTGTGGAGTAGGTAATGGTTGCCACTGTCCCTGTTGCCCATGCTGTTTCTGAGCCAACCCAGGACACCGTTTGGCTGACACTTATAGCAATGACCCCTAAATATACTTGACTGCCCCTCCTGGTGATTACCCTGTAGCTGTCCCAGTCTAGTCTGAGGTGCTCCAGTCTGCTGAGTGGAAACTCCCTCTCTCTGAACTTCTGAATTACCCTCGTGCTTCTTCCAAGGCTGCTGGCCCTGGAATCTGCCCTTGTCATTCTGTCGGTTCCCATTATCATTCACTTTCGCAGCTGGCTGATTAGCAAAATCTTTGCCACCCCGCTTCTCAGCCCTAGTCTGTCTGAAATCCTCATTCAGCTGATAAAGCTGCGTCCACCACTTGAGCATAAGTAGTGTAGGCTGGACTACCAGTAATAGCTCTCTTGGTAGACCACATCAGTCCCTTGACAAAACTGTTGCGCTTCTTCTCCTCTGTATCCACCTCCTCCGGTGCAAAGAGAGATAAGCGTGTGAACTGCTGTTCATACTCCGCCACTGTCATGTTCCCTTGCTGCAGATTAAGAAATTCAGTCTTTATGGCTGCCCTAACTGCATAAGGGAAATACTTTTCTTCAAAGCGTGCACTGAACTCATCATAAGTCAATGCCATCCTCTCCTCTATGGTGGTAACTGACTCCCACCACTGCAGTGCATCCCCAACTAGCTTGAAGGCAGCAAGCATCTGCTTCTGAACCTCCGTGCACTGAACCAAGCGAAGATGTCGCTCAATGTCTTGTTTCCACTGGTGAGCTGCTCTCGCATCCGTGGAGCCCGTGAACTCAGGTGGACTCCCTTTTGTGAAAGAACTCCTGGCCTTCTCCCAAGTATCAGTCTGAACAACCGGTGCTGGTAACGGTGCCGGCTGTACCTGAGGCTGATTCCGAAGTACAGCTGCTACCCCAGCTTCTATAGCCCGAGCAATGAGGTCATTGATGTGTGGAGGATACTCTGGATCCCTGCCTTGAGCCGGAGCCGGAACTTCCTCTTGCTCCTCCTGAAGCTGACCCTCATCCTGAAACCCAAGTCGTTGCTGCTCTTCCTCCATTTGCTGACGTTGCAGGTGTTCTTGCTGCCTACATGCAGCTCTCCTCTGTCGACGATTCAGATTCTGTCCTCTTCCAGTGTTAACCATGCTGTTAACATAGAACGACAGACATCAGTACGATTTTAACGGACCGTAAAGGAATACAATGTATCCTAAACTTAAGCTCTAAAGAAACGAGTACACAAAGCGGAATTCACATAACGAAAGACACCCTAGGGACACTTGAACCTGGAGTGCTCTGATACCAACTGTAATACTCCCTAATTTCGAAACACAGGTTAATCAAGTCCGCGCACAAAATCAGGGGATATCAAACCAATTAAAGCTTGCGATGATTGAATCTTGCGATGATTGAATTTTTCAATTTTTCCAAGTCAACTCACCGCCTAAGCCCCACGTTAATGAATCTGTACACCCTCTTTTCATCCTGACCGTCCACTTTCCTCAACGCTTCTCAACCGCCAGCTCTCCAACTGATCAAAGCGATTCTTAGAGTGGGTCCGTATAGCCTTCGCATACATACACTGCTACGATTTCATCTCTCTCTGCTCTTCTTAGTTCTCCCCCCTTCGGAGTTTTCTAATCCATGTCTTGTTTCTCTGTTACTCAGCTTCATCCTCTTTCATGGACTCCCAATCCTCATCGTTTGCTGTTCAGACAACAAAAGCCTAACTGTACGAGCTCGTTATCGATAAATTGTACAGATTGGACTCTCAGGCTGAGCTCTGTATCCCATCACAGGCCTTCACGAGCCTCTCTGAACTCTTCATGTCTAACAAATGAAGATAGTATTACAGATGGGGCTTGTACTCTCCGACAACTCTGCGAAGGTCATGTGCCCGAACATGTATTGCGCAGGCGAGTTTGTCTTCATTTTCCCCTTTTTTCAAGTCCCTGTTTGGTTGCTCAGAAAATATAGAATGGAAAATAAAAAGATGCAGTCTTTACAATTTTCTGGTGATTACTCACTTTGTAAATTAAAACTCGACTTCACTCACCCCAGTTAAGTCACTCAGTAGAGGTGAATATTCACCAAAACAATGTGCTGTTTCTTGGAAACCAAACGGAGGCATAGTAATTGTAGAGTAATTTTTCCTCTGCATATTGCTAATTAACAAGCAATTGATTTCATTATTTGGGGTCGATAAAAAAATTTTGATTTTTGAGTGTGTGAATTACGTAGCTAATTTACCAACAAGCATGTGGCCTAGCGGTACAAGGCTGTGGAAGCAGTGTGTGTGTCCCAACTAGGAAAAAAAAGAATTATGTAGCTAAGTTATAAAACTTATAATTTAAAAAGAAAGAAAAAAAAAAAAAAAAATCGTTCCCTTCAATTTGTTGAATTATATAATTGATAGCTGAGAATTCAATTTTATATCGTGACAATTTCCGATTGAATTATGAGTGCGCCAATTAATTGTGATCAGTTTCGGTTTGTAAGCCTTTTGATATTAGTAGGTGAACTTCGTGATAATTGAATGCCCGAAATTTCTCTAAGGCTATGGTTTTCATTTTTTGGGGGATTCATAAAATCAGATAGTTGTGTGTGATACAATACTTTTAATGTGTCTTATATTGAAAATTCTGATTAATAGCATGTACATTTTGATTGAATAATTTGATCATGGTAGAGTTTCTTTAAAATGCTGCAGAATGGAAGAGATTGGATTTGTTATGCCAACAGATGTACAGCATAAAGCTTTGCCAGTTTTGCTTTCTGGACGTGATTGCATACTTCATGCTCAGGTTAATTTTTGCTTTCACGTTGATTTTTTTTTTTTTTTGGTGTTTTTCACTTCATTAATAATTGTGTCTGGCAAAATTCTATTTGGTGAAAGTAATGAAAAGAAAATATTTTAATCAAGATATATCTACCAACTGTCCTAGCTATTGAAATAAGTGATTGGCTTTTACTCCTACTATAGTCATGGACCTCATGGTCTCCCGTCATTGTAAATATCCCTTTCTTTGATGCATTGGATCACATATCAAAAAACGACAAAGAAACAAAATGTATTTATCACATCATTTCCAATCGTTTAGTTACTCCCTAGACGTATGTCTTCTCTCAATTATCTATTGATGAAAGAACAGAACTATGTGCACACAAGGTGTATTTGGCTTAATAATGTTTCTGCTTGTGCATGATTGTTTTGTGATGGAGTGGTTTTAGTTTGGTTGAGTACATTTGGTGCATGGTATGTTGGTTCAAATTTTCTTGTGAAACTCTCAACCTACAATATGGTTTTATCATTTATGTGGGATTTCTTAAATGTGAAATGCTGCAGTGCCTAACAAAGCTTATGTAGGTTTTCTGTTGTTGCATATTCTTGTTTTACTTTTTGCTCCTCTAGACAGGTTCCGGAAAGACCCTGGCGTACCTGTTATTAATATTTTCAGCTATAAACACACAAAGATCAGCGGTGCAAGCACTGATTGTGGTGCCTACTAGAGAACTTGGCATGCAAGTAAGAATTCTGATGAAGGATATTTCACAATTTTTCATATCAGTACGAAGTGTCTATACTAATGGACAAGATTAGCACTCGAATATGTGTTTTTCTGATAATGTTATTTTTTGGCAAACAAGGTTACAAAAGTTGCCCGTATTCTGGCTGCAAAGCCTGCAGAACTTGGATTGGAGCAGAAGTCATGCACTGTTATGGCCCTTTTAGATGGAGGAATGTTGAGAAGGCACAAGAGTTGGTTAAAAGTATAACATTGACTCTGATCTATGTCATATTACCCAAAACTAACCCACATCTGGTTAAATACTTGTGTGTTTGCCTAAAAATGTTATCACATTGTCTAATATGTTCGTCATTTAATTGAATTATGAACATTTTCAAGGCCAATAAAACTTAGACATGTAAAAACTCGATTACATACAAAAGAACTTCTTTATGATAAATATACCAGTTATTATTATTACTATTATTATTATTATTGAACTTTCTCAGGTTGATTAACTATTTTTTTTTTTTTTGCTCCCATTCCCATTATTCAGATAGCATGTGTACTGTTGCCACTATAAAACGACACATGATTAGATGTTGCCTCAAGAATTCGACTCAAAAAAAGCAAGTTGGATATTAAAAATTGGCATTATATACCAAAGTTACCAGAAAAGTTTATTTCTCGAACACGTAGAATTTATAGAAATCGTGCCGAAGTATTCTGAAAGTGCACCCACTAATTTCCCTAATAAGACATATATAAAAAACAGTAGTAACAGTACTAGGGAATTTCACTTCTGTGCTGAAATTCGTATTATATACTTACTACTACTCCCAATACTCACACCCGTCATTTGCAACTGCAATGCAATAATTTTCATATTTGTACTTGAGATTGATCAAGATATCCTTAGTCTTCCATTTTGTCCTGTAACTAGTTCCTGCAAATAGTTTTTCCAAGTATGTATTGTAAAAAGATGTATTCATGTCTGAAGTGCTTGTATTTTCAGGCGGAGCCCCCTACTATTGTGGTTGCAACTTTGGGGAGTTTGTGCCTAATGCTTGAGAAACGACTTCTTAAGCTAGAATCAATGCGGGTGCTGGTAATTGATGAGGTAATTGAATCACAATGTTGTTTGTTCATCTTCATGTAGCAGACCCTCTCATTTGGAATGAATATTAGTATTTTGCTTCTGTGATCAATAGTATATCTCTGAGGTTTTTTATCATTTGTAAAGAATTGGCATGCACTTGTAAACTCTGTAAGATCATTTTAGAAAGGTCTTTTCTTATAAAGCTTTACATTTTAGACCTAAATTGCTGCCTTAGGCTTGGATAAAATTTGTACTGTGGGATTGTATGAATTTTCCCTTAGAAAGTTTACAGTAGATGACTGAACATTTGTTCACTTCAAGAAATCAGATTGTCTGCAATGACATCAACCAGCAAATTTCTTATGTATAAGGCATGTATGACTTTCGCTATCATAAGGAATAATTCATGAATTTAAGAGCCTTTCCTGCAATATTTTCATTGAAGAAATTGACATGATATAACTACTATTTTGTTAGGTTGACTTCATGTTCAATTCTTCAAACCAAGTCAGTTCTCTTCGAAAGCTTTTGACAACATTCTCGTTAAGCAATAGTCATCAGACTGTGTTTGCTAGTGCATCCATCCCCCAGCATAGACGATTCCTATATGACTGCATACAACAGAAGTGGACCAAGGTTTGCTGATGTAGTTTTTGTTTCCATGTTATCTTCATTAGATTTGATAAAATCTGTTACTGATTTTAAAATTAAGTTATTCAGTTCAATAATTATTACAGGGTGACGTTGTTCATATCCATGTAAATCCAGTTGAACCAATGCCATCGCGCCTGCATCACAGATTTGTGGTGGGTCATGTCTAAACAGTAATATTTTTCTATTATTTTTCTTCTACTCTTACATTGTTGCATATCATTTATCTGTATGCATTAGATCACATTTTCAACAACAATTCTTTTCTTATGTGACATTTTTCATGGTTTTATTGTACTTGAGGGATTTTCTTTTTTGAAGTTCTGATGCAAATTGCTGCTTGACAGATATGTAGCAAGAAATCAAGGCACGCAACCTTGCTATCCTTATTGCAGTCTGATTCACCTATGTCTGCCATAATATTTGTTGGTGAACAGGTTTGTGCTGCACATTATTCTCAGTATGTCAGTTCCTTTAGACTAAACTAGCCATCAAACGTTAGGTCTTCTTATTAAATATCCAGTGGTGTTTTCAAAGGTCATTTTTGGACTATTCCAGTCTCATCCTTGATCGAATATTGCAACCATCTAATCTATTGATTTCTTTTTCTCAAACCATCAGCACATTTTGTCTGTGCTCTATCAAAACATTAGGTTTTAGTATTGCTCTCTCGTTCGCATGGGAAGAGTTTCTGATTTTCAAGCTGAACATCAGGTGTTGAGCTCCCTAGTATTTTGGCTATCAGATAACTTTGCCTTCTCTCTGTTATAAGACCAAGAAATGGAAGCTATTAATTCGCATTAGACTGATGACTATCGGAGGGAGGAGGTTAATGGTAGCGCTCCCTGTCTTTCTTGATCGCCTCATTCTTCCCTGTGTCTTATCTGCCATTACTCCTTTTCATCTTGTTTTTGTTTTTTGTTTTTTTGTTTTTTGTTTCTTGCTTTCTCTCTTTTTTCCCCCTTCCTTTTGTTGATTGTTTCTCCTTGGAGAAACAATAAACTATAATAGTATGTTCATCATAGTAGGGATGCCCAAAAGGCATTTGGAAATTAATCCCTGGTGGTGGGGGGTGGAGGGAGTGAAGGTAAGGGGGGATTAAAACATCAGGCTAGCACTAATATCCTAACTTTCTATTATCTGAGATCTACTAAAGATTGCAGCCTAGTGGTACTTCCTTGCCTTCTAAAGTAGAAGGTCGAGGGTTCAAGTCCCCATAGGGGCAAAGTGGGTGTGTGAGTGTGTTTCTTGCCAAGATAAAATAAATAAATAAAATATCTGAGATCTGGCTGATGAAATCATAATTTGTTTGTTTATTATAAATTATTGAAGGGGGAAAATGGCAAGTCCAGTGGATTAACATTTATCTTCCAAATCTTAATGCAGTCAGAAAAATCAAAGAAAGCTGGAAATGCTCCAGCAACAACTCTTTTAGTTGATTTCTTGAAGACTTCGCATACAGGATGTTCAGACATTCTTCTTTTGGAGGAAGACATGAATTTCAACTCAAGGACAGCTTCCTTATCTGTGAGTACCGTTAACTTCCCAGTTATCAGTTAAATACGGGAGATCTCCTCTTTATGTTTAAAGTAAAAAGGTGGAGGTTACTTATCAAATATATATATATATATATATATATATATATATATATATATAATATAAGGGTGGAGGTTAGAAAAGATAAAGCCATCTTTTACATATACTCGTGATATTATCCAGAGTCCAGACCTGGAAAAGAGTACCCCTTTTTATGTTATTATCAAGTAGAATAATGTATTTGATAGGCTTAATAGCACGTGCTTCCTTTTAGCATGTTAAGGCGATAAAGATTTTAAATTGACATTGATTTAAGGTGTCAATATGTCATATTTCACAAACCCTAGAAGTAAATATGATCGAAAACCAGTTGTCTTGTTTATATTTGATTGAGTTTCTTTGTGCGTGTGTGATATCTTTCATATACCTTATCATGAAGAGGCACACTAAAAAGAAGCTTCCTGTTGAGTTCCTGATTTTTCATTGACAAACTGTCTCCTGATTTTCCATTGACAAACTCTCTCACATAATTTATTGTAACTGGTTGTTGAATGCAGGAAGTGAGACAAGGTGGAAGCTATCTTCTTGTGGCAACAGATATAGCAGCCAGAGGAGTTGATTTACCTGAAACAACCCACATATACAACTTTGATCTACCTAGAACTGCAGTAGATTATCTTCACCGAGCTGGGAGAACGGGCAGGAAACCATTCTCAGACAATAAATGCACTGTTACGAGCATTATGACATCGGAGGAGAGGTTTGTGTTGCAGAGATTTGAAAATGAATTGATGTTTCATTGCGAAGAGTTGTTTTTGTAATTCAATCATTTTGCTGTTATACAAGTTAGGTCTCCTCTCTGTGTTGCAGTTCATTCTATTTCCATATGATCATGACAGTAAAATGACAATTGAATCCTTCCATTTTCAAGAGAAGGATTTTGTTCTTTCTGGACATGAAACAATAAATGATGTGCTTTTTAATGAATAAATTTTGAAACACATTGATATAAACAAAAATTTGCATTACTCAAAATTCAAATAGTGAATACAACTTGATCTGTTTCAAGTTCATTTATATTCTTCCTGTCATTGACGGAAATGCACGTATCTCAGAATTCTTTTACTCGTTTCTCATCGTAATCAACAAAAAAGAGGAAAGCGTAGGAGGAATGCTCATCATATCACAAACCCATCTTTGATTGTTGAGTTTTTCAATATGACAGTAATCCCCGAACGTATGTAAAACCCTTCTAAAGATCTGTCAGCTTCTTGTATGCCCTGCAAAACCATCCGTTGCAAATCATAAGTTCGACAACAACCAGCGTAGGCCTAAAGCATATCAAAATCTTGTTACATTGGTGATCATCACTCAGTTCAAGACTTCAAATCTTTCTCATATAACCCAAATATTCCACAATAAATGTTTGTAAAGAAATGTACCTCTGAGTTTGCAATAACAACATTCTTCCCGATTCTGGCATTCTTGTCAATGATGCATTCTCTGGATAACATTACAAAAAGAGACCATAAGAGTTTAGAGAAGGGGATGGATATGGAAAAATAGAAATGGAAGTGAAGATATGTTCGAGTTGTTTGTACTTGATTTTTGTATTTTCTCCGATACCAATGGGAACTCTTCCTTCAGCTAACAGTGACGAAATTTCGGCATCAGTTTCATAGTAGTCAGCACCGAGCATCACTGTATCCTGCATGTATCAAGCATATTGCAGGTTTTGAAAAAAACAAGTGAACATATTGCCAAGAACACTTCTCCTTCATAGCCCAACTTATTGCTAATAACCTAGATTAATTTAAGGATGATATTTTATGCATTAAGAAATTTAATTCATTTCGGAAGCTATAAGAAAAAATAAATATTCAGTCCTAGATAAAATCAAGTGCAATGCAAGTAAGCCACAACCTAATGTTTCAGAGTAAGATGGTACATGAAAGCCTGGAATTTATAAACAAACCTTCAAGTGAACGTTGGTGTTTATCCGGGATCGGATGCCAACAACGCTGTGCTCTATAAAGCAGTTAGTTAAGAAGCTACCGTGTGATATGATTGAATCAACAATCTGAACAAGAATACGGAAAACAAATTATGTTTATATCTTAAAAAATGGGAATAAAATTTCAGACCTAACGAAATGAAGTATACAGAAGACATTGAGATTTCTGACCTTGCTATTGTCAAATTTAGATGGTGGTAAGTTTCTTCTTGATGTGAACATTGGCTTTGTTGCATCATAGAAACTAAATCTTGGTGGCTGCAAGCACAAAGAGTGATACAATTCAAACCAGAATGAGTAGCTTTTGTAAAGAACTTGATATAAATTTTGAGATGGTGTTGCAAAACACCACCTCTTATAGGCTTTAATTATCCCATTAATCAATGATTGTCTTGAGTTATATAAATCAAAACAATTTGATATAATTCACAATATAATCAGACTAAGAAAGATGAAAAATTTAGCGCCACTGGGTAATATCACAATAGAATTATTTAACACCCCGGACTAAATCATCAGATTCTTAGTTTGTTGCAGGCTGCATTCCCCTGCCTATACCGGTCACAACTTACATGAACCTAGCTGAAAAGCGTTTATACTAAAAGTACATGTTTTCTACTACTTACATGTGCTGTCAGGGCAAGGTTTGCTTCAAAGAAAGACCTGATCGTACCAATGTCTTCCCAGTAATTATTAAACAGATAAGCCTGTAAAAGCCAAAGATGTGAAGATAGCTTTTCGGTCCAGAAACAAAAAAATGCATATAGTCTGTATGCATGTGTAGTGATATTATAAATACCATATTGGATCCTTTATAAGGAATGTTAAATTATTTCACTTTGTTGTTGATACCAGATTTTAATGAAATGGGGTTTTTATTTAACACCAGTGAAAGGATTTGATGCAAACCTTTATGAAGAATTCTTTGGCTGAGGCGGGAATTATCTCCGAGCCAAAGTCATTTGCAGTCGGAAAACGCCATCTGACTCAACAACAATGCATAATACTTAATATTTCCTCATGTTTGACCTGGCCTGCAAACTACTCTTTTGAGAGCATAACCAAGTGGTTGGCCACCTCCACAGACAAATGGTTCCTACACTTGATATAATAGTACAGGCTCTTGATGAACTAAAGATTGTCAGTACCTTAAGAGATTCAGAAGTATCTCCTTCTTGAAGACATATACGCCCATGGAAGCGATATATGGTTTCTTTTCTGCTTCTTCTCGTGACAGTCCCAGAACTGTTGTATCTACTGCCTAAAGTATGCAGTAAAATAAGTGCTGCCATTTCAGAACTGTCATTGATTTTTTTAGAGATTTATCATAAATTTGCGCATTACCATTGCCTTCAAATCATCTCCTTTAGGCTTTTCACTGAACGAAAGGACCCTTCCTTTGCCATCTATCTTCATCAAACCAAAGTCTGAAGCACGGCTATCATAAAACAAACAGAACGACTCAAAAGGGCAAATTTATGATTCTAGCAAGTGAATCTCAAAAGGGATAAACTAAATATTATGTTATAAAGAAAAAGAGAATGCCAATAGAGTAATTTTTTTAAAAAAAGGTGAAATCTCAAAAGCCTACACAGAAAAATTGTAGCAAATCAGAACATTCTATCCAACCATTTATGAGAATCCAATTTTAGATATAGTTCAAAACTTTTATGACTGCCACAGAGGTCTACTACCGGATTCCATTTTTCTTTTCAGTTTCAGCAACTCTTTTGGATTTCTTAAATATCAAATATGTATGTCTCGATAAATTTGGCTGCTTGATTAAGCTGAAGTTGGTGCATAGGCAGGTAAAAATTGTTATCAACACGCATTTGTCAATTTCACAGAAGAAATTACCAAGAACCTCTAGTTATGCTTATAAAGTTCTCTCGAAGTTAATATATGATTTCAGAGTTGAAACCACTTGAGAAGCAAAGCATGTGAGAAAACAATAACATACCTATCATCCATTGGCAGACTAGAAATTGTGATATCTGCTCCACTTTGTCGGTGACCCTGGAAATGAAAAACAGAAGTCTCAATATCTGAGAAATAGTGGTGGGTTTATGAGCATATCTCGGGAATCAATTACCTGAACAAAGTCCATGTAATCCATTCGGTACAAGTGATCTCCAGAAAGAATGAGAACATCCTCAATATCCTTACTTCTTGCATCCTAAAGAATGGAAAAAGCACATAGTAATCATCATGTGTGGCTAAAATTAGGTTTTCACCTTTGAATTACTCCTCAAAGTGGGGTATTATATGTGCATTACCCAATATATGATCTGCTTAAAGGCAGTGCTGGGAGGACCTAGAAAAGAATATTTGAAAACAGACTCAACCTAACCGTCGACATTTTATGCAATGTATTATATATAATGCTTAAAAAAAGTCATTTGTGCAATTATAAGCCTATTTTGAAGGGCAAATTGTGTAGGCAGTAGCCCACAATGCTATTAGAGAATTTCAGGGGTTCTGCAAAACAAGATAGAGAAAGAGAAAGTTCGGGTGCTGTGAAAGATGATTATGATGCTCAAAAACAAGTTTTTGGATGATTATGGTTCTACCATCACTGTAGTTAAATCTGTTAGAGCTTGGAATCTTCGTTTTATGGTTCTTCTTCATATTGTTTAGAAGGTGTGATTTGGAGTGAGGAAATTCTGTAGTATTTTTCAATCCTAGATTAAGTAATCTTTCTACTTTGGCAAATATTGTCATGACTCAGGTTTGAACACAACTTCTGGGACACCTTGGATTCTTCATTTTTAGATAGTGGATCACAATTGGTTGTGTCCGGTGGTTTTTCCCTCTCTGTTGTAAGGGTTTTCCACCCGAAGCTTGACGTTCTTTTTAGTACTTGATTACTTGTTTTATCATTGATTTATTGACTGGATTGTTTGCTGAAATCTTGACATTCTTTATCCGGTTTGGTCTTCTAGGTGCTTGGTTACTTGGTTTACTATTTTTCTTGTGATTGAATTGTTCGCTGAAACTTAGAATTCTTGGCATATCATTGCTGTGTGTGTTCTTTAATGTGTTTATCCAATAGCTTAACCTTACAATTGAGGAATAGATGAAATGGTTTTTAAATACATTATAGAATGATTTAGAGATAAACTAATCATTTGGTGAATGTAGTGCAATTTACTGGTGGAAAATGAAACAACTAACTAATAATCAGATTGACTCAATTTTGACAATTTGTTTACTTTCATAGTCATTCACAAGTTCCTTAATTCAATGAAGAAATTGATAGTCATTTTCTGTACCTCAAAAAGCCAATGGAATTGCCGCACAGCATCTGCAGTACCCTGGAACCACTGTTTACCTGCCTCGCCTGGAGTTTGAGTGGCCGCTAGAACCTGACATAGAACCAAAAGAAATAAATGATATTTAGTGATTCACTGATTAACAGAAGATTCTATTACAAATATTTCTTTTTTACCACTTGTAACAAGCAAAAAAACAAATTAATAGTCTTTGAACTATTTTCGAAGAAACTTACCTGCAGAGTAGCTGCAAATTATGCATTATGAGAAGTTTAATGATATACCTCAACATAGCCATCTCCAAAGTTGACACTACTGCCAAAGTTGTACGCGCGTGCAAGATGTCTGTTGAGTGATGCTGAGTTGAACTGGGTGAGAATGTAAACTTTGTTGATGCCACTGTTGATGCAGTTACTCATTGGCACATCAATCAGTCGATATGCTCCTCCAATAGGAACCTGTAAATGGAAGTAACATATATATATATATAGAAAGAGAGAGAGAGAGAGTTAATTACTGCTAATTACCCCTAATTGATCAGTTCTAAATCACTAATTACAAAAAATTAAAGGATTCTAAACTAGTATGCAGAGAATATTGAGTTCATATCCATGTATAAGTAATAAGTATTCCATATCCATTTTCTATAATGTCAAACAGTCTGCTGATTAATTGAGCATAGCACTGTCCATTTTTTGTTTGTAGGGGTTATAGAAATGGACTTCTATATAATTCATTGATCATGAAAGCTACTAGCTAGGCATGGTTGTCCAAATCTAGCAAGCAACAGTTGCTGAAACATTGATATCATTAGATGAGTATAAAATGAAACTTACTGCAGGTTTTGCTCGACGCTTAGTGAGAGGGAAAAGACGAGTACCAGCTCCACCTCCCAGTATTATTGCCACAACCGTCCTTGGATCTCTTTTCTCCATCTCTAGGTCCCTCAACTGCACACAATGCATTAATCGAAACACGAAACTCATCTGATCAATTTATGTATTATGTGAATGCATTAATTATGAATGTCATTGCAATTTCAGCATTTGAAAAATCGTACAGCATATTAAGCCAAGTGCTCATGATGGTGTTTAGAGGAGCAAAATGAGGTCTAGTCCATATGTAAAAATGTTTATAACTCAATTAGCAGCAACACAGAGAGAGCTAGAACTCACCTTAGCCTCACCTGCTACAACATTAGTAGTGAGGGTCATGCACACATGTGGCCTTCCAGTTTTTGTATTAGTACTCTGATGAAGTTGTGTTAGCTTCAGCTTGTCTCCCATCAACTGCCCATTGCAGAACTTCACAAGCCTCCAGTTCCTCCCTGCCAATCCAGCAGTGCCACCTAACCTGCCGGAAGATGGCAGGGCAACCCGGCCATTGGCCGATACTGCCATTTTCTCCGAAATTCGAGGAAAAAAATGGAATTTAGATATATATAGTTATGTATACACAATGCTTGTAGCATATATGTAAGAGCAATAGAGAGGAAGGTGAAAGCAGGGTCAAGCTTGAGAATTGCTTACATGGAATGCATGCCATAGGAGGGTTGAGCCACGTTATCCAAAATGATCAATTGCATCCACTAACATTTTTGGGTTGGCAACATATGAAATTACAGAAAACTCCTCATACTTTTTTTATATTTACTAATGGAGGAATATTCCCAGGTTGCTACCACTCCCCTAGATTTTTAATCCAGGGTAAAATAGTCACTCTATAAATGGACAAAATTGATTTATAATTATTCTATTTTACCCATTTTTACAATAAAGTGAGAGTTTCTGAATTACACAGGAAGAGAAGCCGTGTTTATATGACTCGTGCCTGCAAAGAGAAACCATGATGAACCCATTTAATTCAGTGTATTAGAATATATATATTGTAAAATAACAAATAGATAACATTTCAAAATTTTATTCAGTAGGTAAGTTTTTGAAAAATGGTATCTGAAATTTATAGATTATTTGTCAATTAAAAGATTTTTATTTTTTATATTTTTATACTGATAAGTGATGACACTCTATTCAATTTATATGAAACCAATTTATGTTTTCAGTTTTCTTTTTAAAAAAATATTTTTAGAGAACTAAATACTGATTCATGGGACCAATTAGATTTGGAATGCTATCAAGTAATTAATCAATGAAATTCTTTAGAGCACGATTTTATATATATATATATATCCTTGTAAAACATCAGATATGTATTAATGAATTCATGAACATAATTGTTTAAATGGAACCAAACTTGTCTGTTTGCTAACATCCAATGGTGCCAAGAGATTTGTTTTAGGTCTGTCCTTTATGCCCAAGCATCATTAGTAGTTTGGGAAAGATTCTTTCTGCATGTGTATGTGCTAATGCTGGGCATATTAATTTATTAATAAATCATCTCTGGAAAAGTAATTAATTTAGTAATGACACCTTTCAAATTTGTTAGACTTGTAGTTCTAGGCCATGTGTCTTTATCATAGATGGTTTATAATGATGATGTACCTCGAACACCTAAGTTTTGGGCGCCACACAATGAACTTCAATGTATATATAATTGTATATATATATATCACACCATTTTATACCTCTTTTTCCTATTTCTGATAAAGAGTCACTCTCGCTTTGACCAAACATGTGTAAACTAATCAATAATTTTAACGAACAATGTTGGTTCTTCAAGAAAACCAAATGAAAAGGAAGACAACTACAATTTTGAATAGTAATAATATTTGTGTATCCAACTACCGTTTGCTTCTTTTAACCTCACCTCTTAACAGAATTTTTTCATATAATTTTTTTTAATAATTTTTCTTGCAATTAGGTTCAACAAATTAGACCTGGATGTACAAATACAAATAAACTAATCATAATCAGCACATTTACTCATTTTGATTTTTCCATTACCTCACACTGTAAGTAGTAACAAACAAAAACCCAAATTCACTTTTGGATGGAACCGGGTAAGTACAAAATTTTAATCTAAAAAGTATAAAATTTAAACCGGACAAAAGAACAAATATCAATTTTATACCACATTACTATAATCATTTTTTATAGTAATGTGGTATAAAAATTAGCTTGCTTTAAAATAAATTAATGTTATGTTTGAAAGTATTGAAATTCTTGAATTTAGAATTATAAAAAAATTAATTTAAAATTTAAACTCAATTTTCTTAAATTTTAGTTCAATGTACTAATTCGGTGCTCTAAACATAACATACAGATCTTTACATAAAAAATAAAAAAAAGGAAGGAATAGAGCAAAAAAAAAAAAAATTCAACCCTTAATAAAAATCAAAATTAATATGTTGAAAATGCTATAAAAAAAAAATTAAAAGAAAAATAGAGGAAAAAAAAAAAAAAAAAAAACCCATATTTTGTCAACCCTTAAATGAAAGGGAGTCAAGTCCTAATGATGATCTAATGGAGAGCATTGATGCTATTGATCACATGGTGTCCCGGAATGAAGTAAGTTTGGATAATACATTTTTTATGGATCATGAGTTTGAGAATATGAATATGATGTCTCCTGAAACACCTTCAAGTGCACCTTCCCATTCCACTTCTTCAAAAGGAAAGAGAAAAAGGAATTATTCGACTGTTGATGGAGATAATGAAATAATTGAAATAGTGAGAGGTGTGGCTGCTTCTCTAAAAGAGGGAAATGATATTCACAAAACATTCAACCATATTTATGAGAAGTGCAACCAAAAGGGAAAATATGAAGAAGAACTCTTTAAGATTTTGGCGGAAATTGGATTAGAGGGGCATGCAGCTGTTAAGGCCTTTATTTTTCTGACTAAGCGTGACCATCCTGAGAGAATGACACAATTTATTGGTTGCCCACCTGTGCTTCGCAAGATGCTCCTGGAGGAACTGATGTCCAATGATTCTTGACGTTGATAATGGTTTCGGTTATACTAACTTTTGACAATGTCTTTTAAGTTGGTAATATTTTGGAACAATTAGTAGAACTTGGTATTATGTCTAAGTTTAATTATGTATTTTTTTTTATCTATTTTATTTTATTTTATTTTTTTTGTTATGGAGCTTTTGGTATATAAGCTCTATAGAACTTCGTATGGTGTGTTGAAGATGGCATATGTTTTTTTTTAAGGTCTTGATGAATTCCTGAGTAGGCGTGTGAATGTAGAAACAAAAAACTATAATGGATTAAAGTCTGTGTACTATGTTATACTAGGCGTGTGAATGTAGCTTGGATGTGAATTGAGGCTATATTGTGTTCAATTGAGAAGTGATTTGTTGTGTCGTTTTGTTATAATTTTACTTTTTGTGAATTGAGCCTATTCTGTCTTCAATTGAGAAGTGTTTGAGAAGTGATTTTTTACTTATATATATTACTTCTTCTTTTAAAAAAATTTGTTTACCTATGTAAGGGACAAGCAAATATTGATCTAAACACAGGGAATTAGGGGTGTGGCTACATATTTGTGGTGTTACAGGTATAGAAGAACCATATATATGTATATAAAGAATATACTAACTTTTAGTTGGTATTAATTATTTAGTATTATTTTAATTATCCAAAAAAAAAAAAAAAACCCTAAAGTTTATGAAGAGATGAGAAAATGTGGTATAAAAATCTTACACCCATATCTATCTATCTTCGAAGTATGCTATCAAGTTATATGTATATTATCAAGTTACTTATTAAAAAAAAAAAAAAACAACAACACTAGTATGCTATCAAGTTATCTTGTTTTTTTAGTTATTATTAATTTTAGTTTCCAATGAAACTGAGGGAGAGAAAAAAAAAAATCAGTATGCTATCAAGTTATGAATGATTATTTATCAAAATATATAAAAGGGTAATATAGTAATTTCATTATTATCCTTTCTTTTCTTTTCTCTCCTCTGTTTTATCCAAACAAGTATATTATGTTTTCCTTTCTTTTCTCTCCTATTTATCCAAACATTATAGCTATCATTTCCTTTCTTTCCCTTTCTTTTCTTTTCTCTTCTAATCCTTTCTTTTCTTTTCTCTCCTCCGTATCCAAACGAAGCCTTAATAAAATCAAAACTAATATACTGAAAATGATATTCTACCTAGACGGCGTCGTACAAATCAGATCGCCGCGTTTCCACCTATATATAATACTCTTCACCGGCCATTTGGTCCCAACAGCAGCAATGGCGTCTCTAAGACTCTGTATCCTCCTCTCTCTGCTTCTTCAGTCCATTCTCTTCATCAACCACACGGTCAAATGCGATGGTAATATACATTATACTCACATTATTTCATTTCTTGATCTCATAAATTTCTATAAATTCTTGTTTCAATCTTTACAGCTACCTTTTAATTGTGCATTCCACTTTCGAGTTCTTGTTTTGATGATTTTTCTGTGTTAATATGTGAAAAACTTCTGATACTCTACTGTATTTTCTCTTAAATGGTTCTTAATTTTATTTTGCATCGATGTGTGTGTATATGTATGTGTTTATACTGCTGAGTTCACTCTGCTACTTGGTATCACTAATTTTGAAATGTTTGTAAGAAACAAAATCGAGGGCAGATCTGAATCCAAGTGATTTGAACTGGGTATGTGCCAATTTTTTCAAACATACTGGTTCGATATGTGTATGTATGTATTTGTGTAGACATATTTTTTCACTTATGCTGTTTTAATGTTTGATGCTTCTGATTATCTTGTTTTTCTGAGTCCAAATTGTGTGCATATCTTATAATTAGTTTTGCAAAATATTGCGGGTACTTGCATAAGAGATCAAAGGAGGTTTGTAATTTGTGATACTATTGTTTTATCCAAATACAGATCTAACAGAAAGAAAGAAAATTTTTCCAAAATGTGATATATATTGGATGTTTTGTGCTTATAATACTAACCAGAATCTTGATCTGAATTTTTTCATACAAAATTGATTATCATTACTATTTCGGGTCAGTTTTGAGTTGTCCTCCCTTGCAATCCTGTGCTATATCCATAGAGCTAATTTTCTTCAGAGAACAAATGTTTGATCTCAAGTTCAGCTTTTTTGGGAACAGTTTGAGGGCTAATCTGATGGTTGATGCAAGTCTGAAACTGCAAAACACGGTGGAAAAAATAGTATGGTCTAGATCCATTTCACAATAGTAAATCATGGTCTAATAGGGCCAATAATCAGTTTTGCATTGAAATTTCTGGCCTTGAGCTTGGTTTTTGGGATTTCTTGTCCCATTTCTACTTTAATAGGGTGATTATATATCCTTCAACCAATCTTTGTATGCTTATTAAGTGGAACTTTTTTAAAAGCATTATTGATGGTAGTTAGTTGTTGCAATTGACGCAATATATAGTTTACAGAACATGTTAGAAGTTCATTTTTGCAACTTACAAGTTGGCCCATGCACATTTTCAAATACCTTTTTTTTTTTTTTTCTTCTCATAATTGGCATTTTAAAATACCTCATCAAGCTTTGGCTCAACACTTCGGGAATATGTATCCGATCCAGTGCCTGCGTGATTAATTCGTTTTGTCTTGGTTGTGAGTACATACCATAAATGATCTCCTTTTATCACTCAGTCAGGAGCTAGTTGATGACATCTAAATAATTTTTTTACTTAATCTGAGATAGATGAAACTTTTAGACTAACAAATTGATTGTTCGGGCTGACAGGTTTAGTGTAACTGTCAGTCGACTCAGTCTTTATATGATATATTTGTTTAACAATCAATCCTTTTTTCTTTTCTTTTTTATCTTTTTTGTTCCCCTTTTTTTTGGACAGTCAAGGAGTTGCAGGATAAAGATGTCTTACCAGGCTACCAGCTAAGTTAGCTGGCATCTTCCTCTGGGGATGGCAATTTTTCTGACCAAATATAATAACCTAATCCTATCCTGCCAACTAAGCTGAGAAATTTTGTTATTAAATCCAAAACTTACTAAGAACTGGACCAACTGGTTTTTTTGTTCTATGGCTTGGTTCATGAACTGTTTAATAATTGGTTATGTTAAAGTTTCTGCTTGCGTGTGGCTTAAAGAAGTTATCTCTATGCCTTATCTTGCTGTGGTAGCATGCTGATTAGTGCACTATAGCAACTTTGAAGTTTGAAGGATGGTACTGTAGCTTATCAAAGACACTCTACTCCCTCTGTTTGTGTGTTAATTATTGATCAATATCTTAACACTTGGATTTTTCATCTCCATTTTCATGCAGACGAGGAAGAAAATCTTCTACAAGGCATTAACATTTATCGAGCATCCTTAAACTTGACAGCTCTGACAAAGAACGAGAAAGCGGAGTGCCTTGCTGAGAAAATGGCAGACCAATTCCAAAATCAACCCTGTACAAATACCACAGGTTCCAACACTGTACCAGGCACTGAACCTCAGTTTGCCAACTACCCAATCCTTCTAGCCAAGTGCGATTTGAATGTCACCAGCACGAGGGACGGAACCATAATGCCTGCTTGCGTTCCCAACCGGGTTCCAAGTCTTGTCCTCACTAACTTCACACAGTCCCAATACTCCAATTTTCTCAATGACTCCAAGTATACAGGAGCAGGGATTGGTAGTGAAGATAATTGGATCGTTGTCGTTTTGACCACAAACACTCCTGGGGGAAGCTTTGTTGAGGCTGCCAATTCAGGCAGTTCAGCTTCCAAGCTTGGTCCGATCCACTACTTGCCTGTTTTACTGATGGGTTTCCTCATATTTATATGAGCTAAAGAGGATGTTTGAGCATTTATTAGTTTGATTGCTTTTTTCATTGAAATTGCCTATATGACAGACAGTGTACCATACAGATACAGAGGGGGGTGACCATCATTGTAATGATGGAAAGGCTTAAGTTATCACCATATTGTTTGTTGGTGAAAGTTCTAATAACATCTGTTCCCTACATGTAACTGGTTAAGTATTTCAGTGAGGCATACCCACGAGGAGCATAACCTGTGAGTTGATGTTCTTTTCTTGTATTCGTTGTCATTTTCTATTTTCTGGATTTTTATGAGATAAAGGGGGAGAAAATTGATTCAATGACTTTCGCTTCAATGCATATTTTTTCGTTACCTGTCTTGTTCACTCTGGTGTTCTTTACCTTGTATTTCTCTTGTTTACTTGGATCCTGAAATTTTGTTTGGCCCTTCCAAGTGAAATCACATATAATCATCGCTAACAAATATTATCATTAGATTATTGTCCTCATCTTTTTTCCCTTGAACTAGGAATTCATTAAGGTCTTGCATTCTCTCTAACCTTGACCTAGAGTTTGGGTGTTTAGACCCAAATCGGACAAAGGTAAAACCTAAACACCCAAATCGGACAAAGGTAAAACCAGTTGCAAACAAAAGTGTTTATGCACATGTAATTGTAAGGATCATTCAGCTTTCGGGATTTCCCATGTAACAATGGCCAGAAGAGAAACAACCCAGCCTCACAAGGCTCATGAAATTCTAAGGCAGCCCCAAATTCAAGGGCTTTTGAGGATACCCTTTTCATTGCCTCAACATTTGCCCGTGGCCTTAGCATAAACGTCCTCACTAGTACAATGGGAAGCATAGCCTAGTTTCAACGGTAGAGCTAGATAGTACAGGTTCAAATGAAGCACAATGGTTACAAATAAGTTAGTTTTTAATAATCCTTAAGGCCTAAACTATGACACTCTTATTCAAATCAAAACTTTACCCAACACGGAATAGAACTAAAGAAGACATCTCTACTACAATTCAAATTCTCCTTATAAATGAAAATTGGCTCCACTGTCCATCACACTTATTGCATTTGGTACAAAACCCATCAAGGTGGTTGGAGCATCTTTATTTACAAGGAAACCTTGCAAAACTTTTTATCATCATCATCTTTCAAGTGCTCTTTAATCTGGTCCGAGATAGAACCAGATATCTTTGAAGTGCAAGAATTAGAACCCATGTGACTTTTGTGATCTTCTCCTTTATCATCAAAAGCAATGCTGAGCTTAGCACAGTCTTCAGTATCTGGGCCTTTAATCCTTTAAAGAAACCAAGTAAGCCTTCCTTTTTCCAAATGGTATAGAGTGCACCTGACACCGTTTTTCGCGTTCGTGGCATTTTTGGTTGAGCTTCATTATTCTCATCTTGATCTGATTCGGCGGCCTGAATCATCACCTTACACCTATCGAAATTCATAGATAATTCATAACTAATTCATATCAACAAAATTGTGAGAACCTTTACATAAATGAAAGGGATTTTTTTTTAATTAATATTCCAAATATTTTTAAAAAGCCTTCCCATCTAAACAATGATTTTTTAAAATCAAATTTGACGAAAGCAATATAATTAACGTAATTTCCACAAGGCACCTGAAGTCCCCCCAGGAAAATAGCAGTCAGGAAATGCATAGGGAAGTGTAAAAGAATTGATGAGGAAGAATGAGTAAATAAGACAATCCACCTTATAGCTGGGTATGTTAAGCAGGTGGCAATACACTTAGAGACTGCACCCAACATGAAAGCAGAAAGAGCAGAAAGGGCCTCTGGAGATGACACTGTACCTTTTCTGCTATTCAGCTGGCCCTTCAGAAGTCTTTGTTTCAGCTGATCAAAGAAGGTATACTGCACACAGCAATATAGTTCTTGTTTCAGTTTGATTCATCAAATATGGCTTAGCAAATATACAATGCGAAAATTTTTAGTGAGAAATTGAGTTGGTGATTACAATCTTCAACTGTGATATGACTTGGATGAGATTTCACAATCCACCATCTTTATCAAGAAAATAAAAATAAACAAAACTTACAACGTAATGCTACTGTTAAAATAACTTTTAGAAACTCTTGGAGTACTTGGACATCAGACCAATGACATTCTGCATATAGACGACAGTAAAAACTTCACACTAGAAAGCACAGTCAAGTACCTGGATAGAGGGATTTGCCGTCAGAAGCAGAGATATGCCAAGACCATCGAAGGACTCACTCCAAGTCCCCTCCGATAGGGTTTCCATGAGTCCTTTGGATTTCCCAAATTCAATTGTTTGCATCCTTGATGATACTGTATCTAGAGGCTGAACACACAAAAAAATTAGATATCTAACATCAAGACTTGAAGTAGTTATTGGGAACTGTAACGGAGTAACGAGGTGGAATGTAGAAACGACATAATAAGGAGAGACATTAAAAAGTCCCTTTGTAACACTCAAAATGCGTTCATCTATTTCTTGAAAGCATTCAATGATTATCATTGTGTGTATAGATCAAACAACTAGATTTTCTCACATTAATTCATTAAACTTTCAGAAAAGTTTAGCCATTCAATTTTTATCATCATTTTTGTGATGACTTTCTCGATGCCTTCAAGGCAACGTGAACAAATTTATCTTATCGAATTCTCTTGGAAACAGAGGGCCGTTGCTTGTTTCATCAGTTTAACGATTGAGGGCTAGTTTGGGCCTTAGAGTAGTCATTTTGTGAGATACAAAATGTTAAGTTCGTCTCAAGTCCTCCCTCCCAAGACCCTGTTGTAGCATAACAAGAACTGATAATGTCCTTTTTTTGTCCCAAATTCTTTGGAAAGTACAATGCAATAATTCCCCTCAGATGCTGTGCAAATGCCATCTATGCAAATCTATGCAAATTAAGCCTAAACTATCAGATTGGATTCAATGCTAATTATACAAGAATCTCATAAGCTAAATGTTCAGTTGTTTAGCCAACACAGTTCAATCATAATTTGATATGAAAGAAGAGTACGAGTGTTTAACATAGTTCAGAAGTGGCAGATGTATCCTGATCAGAAGCAGAACAAGAAGCCACAAAAAGAACGGAAAAAGAAGGAAATGAAAAACTCACCTGGGTCACTATGACAGTACAAGCCCCAGCGGCAGCAGCAATAAGCAGGTTAGCTTTTGTTCCCATAGATTTGGATCCGCTTTTCTCCAAGTACACCCTTTTAAAGAAGTTGTATCCATAGAAGTATATAAACTGTGAAATAAAAGACTGCAGGTTCTTTGTCCCAAGACCTTGGTACAACGAAATAACCTGACCGGTAGATATTGCTTCCCAGAGAACATCAGAAATGTTCCTGCATAAGCCAAAGGGTTAAATTAGATAATCCTTTCTGAAATTTTATTTTTTTTCTTGCCTGGGCTCTCAAAGTAAGTTTGGCTTCAAGTATTAGGTAATATCACATAAGCCATTCAGTAGAAGATCATCATATGACCAGTTGTAAATATATGAAGCATTGTGCATAGAAAATCATGTCAAAACTTCTAAGAGGATTCCCGATTCTTCCATTCCTTTTTCATTTAGGAGTTCAATCAATTCAACATAAGGTGTAGTGAAACCTTTTGTGTTCAAACAGAACAAAATGCAAGTTTGAGAAAAGCACATTGAGGATGACAAATGGGGGTTATTTCACTTCCGCCATACCAAGATTCATGTTAAGGCAACAATATAAGAGGCGTTGCATCTCAAATGAGCCTTGACCAAATCAACAGCTTTGCGCCAAGTGTTGTATCCTAGGTATTTCCTCTACTTCCCAGAGTGGTAGATTGAGGGTTCAAGTCCCTATAGGAGCAAAGTAGGTGAGTGAGTACTTTGCTAGGACCCAAAAATAAAAATAAAATAAAATACAACAAAATACAGAACTGATGCCATATAAAATTTCACAGAGGACCAGCTCATGCCCTCTTGTCCGGATCGAGCATTCATGGCTAAGCTAATTCACTGATTCAAGATTGCCCCCCGGTTTTCTTTTCAAGTCAGGAGTGGCCCAAGGTAACTCCAACAGCATACACATTGATTTAACTCTGTTCACTCTTCAGCGGCCATTCAATCAAGGAGATAAGCGCTGATATCCCAATATGCCTAATTCTTCAAGCCTTCCGTGAGCTCAGCTGGGATCCAGAGTCTTTCATTTCTTCTTAAAGTTTAAACTTAGGACTAATTAAGTTTTTCATTTCCTCTATGTGAGTAATTGAATTCACCCTACGGGAGTGACTTTCTTCAATTCACTAAGCAGCATAGATTAAGTAGTGTTGTGGTAGCTCTTTCAAGGATTGGTGCTTTCCCTTCGCTAGATCACAATAAGAACAAAAAGTAACTATGCGAACTGCAAAAATGACGGCTTCTTGAACATCAAGAAATTTGTTTCTTGCTAAAATCTCATATTTCCTTCTTTGTAGATATATATAATCCCATCAATAAATTCAAATTGAGATAGTCTATGACGTCAAGATGGTCACTGCAGCACATGTGCAAGTTGTGACCACATACAAGCATGTGCAGAAAGGCTTGAATTCAAACAACCAAATATTTGAATGCTTAATTCTCTGGCTCACTATTTAACCTTGTAGGATAATTAAATATTGGATTCATAGAACTGGTCAGTGAAGAATATTAGTAACGAGTGGGATGTACCAAAAGAGATGCATGGTGTATGGAAACTGAAGACATGCAAGCAATGGTATCACAATACCTTAGTTGTATATTGAAAAGAAGACAAGAGGCAACACTGTTGCATCAACTGAGAGAGTGAATATGGTTTTTTATTTTCAGCCAACAATTGTGGTGTCGGGTCTCTTACAGCACCCCGTAATCTACCACCGGGCACACACAGTTCCCCGTCCCACATGCACCGGGTAATTATTGGAAAATTCACTGGCGATGGCTCCAAGCAGATTCGAAATCCCCTTGGGGTTAGGTCAAGAGAAGGTTACTGAGTCTGAAATTGGCATGAAAGAGAAGTCTGAATGCGCACAAGTGCTTGCACGTGTGTGTGTTGCATGCAATCACTTGTCTGTGTGTGTGTGTGTGTGTGCGCGCGCGCGAGAGAGAAAGAGAGAGAGGAGAGGTGGATTTGGATAGCAATTAGGTGACAAATATGTAAGAGGTGTCGAATGTTTTTTTAATTTTTAATTTTCTTTATTTTTAACCTAGCAAGGAGGGGGGAGGATGGGGTGAGTCGAACCTGGACTCCCACACGACTCAGGGAGTGCCTCTTCCAACTGGGCCAGCTCAGCCCAAATGTGTGATTATACCATTATTATTACAGAAAATAATGTCTATAATATACTAACAAGAAAATAATTCATACTACATGCATCAAGTGTTTTCATGTTTTCATGTTGATTAGAAAAAGGGAATTGAAATGGAAAATGCTAATAAAATGGTTATAAACCCTTTTATGTCTGCATTGCTACCACTCTTGCCAGTGCCTCAAAAAAATGTCTCAACAGATGCAGTGTATCTTCACTTAATAATTCTGGCTTGAACCAAAATGGGTTAAGTCCAGAGGCCTCACAGACCAAGATACAAGAACTCTCCCCATGGGATGCAATTAAGAAATATGACTGCTAAACCACCATATTAAATGTGTCGTGTTCGGGCAAACCCCTATAATCAAAGGTTAAAGAGTGGCTAAAAAATTATATAGAATTGACAATTCCCTACATACAATGCTTACTAATTTATCAGCCGTTGATTAAAATTCAATACTTATGTTAACAATTTTGATGTCCCGAAAGCACAAGCATGAATTCATCAGCTTCTAAAAGTTCGCATTTCAATAAATTTGCTAACAAGGGTTTATTAGACTAGTTGAACAAAGCATGAATTTTTACAAACAGATCGAAGAGCACAATTAAATCCCATGAAATGAAAAGATATGAGAAAGAAATAAATTATGAAACGCAAAAATATATATATATATATATATATATCTTATGAAACGCGCACATGTGAGACCCACAAGATTAATAATATCTTATCTAACCTGTATTTCTGCTGATTCTGAGCTCGAACTTCGGCTTGGTACTTAGTCTTGCAGGTATCTAATGGGTACAACAGGGTTGTGCTCACTAGTGCTCCAATGGCACCTGATGTTGCCTCTGTTAACGATTCCAGATCAAATGCCATAATAATCTGTCAAATCTATTTAAAATAACTGAAAATTATAGGGAAATAAAGAAAAAGAAATTCTCGAATCCAGAGGGTAAAGAATTAGGAAATTGAATGAGTATTTCTTGGTTTGATTTGGTTGAGGAGGGGAGAGAAAGCTTAGTTGTTGTAGTTGTATAGAGAGAAAGGAACTGAATCTGACGTAGACGAATACAAACTGAGCGATCAATATATTGGGATTCGGAACGTGAGCGTGGGCTTTCCTATACCCCTCTTTTTGTCTTTGTTTGGACGGTGTGGGTTGACCCGTCAAACCGCGTCGTTTATCACGGGTTTGGGCTCTTCACTTTTGAAAAACGTGGGCTTATCTCTCCACGGGCCTTGGAGCAGTCAATTATTGGCTTTAGCGGATAAGGGTTTGCTCTTGCCCATCAACATCCAAATTATTTATCATATGTCCAATTGACTTCTCCAATACTCTTCGGCAAGAGAAAATAATACTCTTCGGCAAGAGGAAAGGAAGCGTAGACGAAAGAGAGAAATGGGGTGATGGAATGAGACTTCATCATGTCTATTCATCTTTTTGTTTGGTTAAGTTTTCATTGTGCTCACATTTTATGACAATGCCATGGGATTAAAAAGGCTCATTTCAATTAAATGGACCTAATTCATCTGTTTTGTTTCCAAAGAATGTGATGGATTCCACTACCAAATTTATTGAGTGGGCTGGCGAGGACAAAGAGTGTTAGATAACTTAGATTTATTATACTTCATGAGCATTGCTTGGAAGAAAATATTATTTTGAATTTGTTTTTACCTTCATCAATGAGCATTAGTCTAAATAATATAATTTCTCCTCTTCAAAAAGGATGTTAGAGTCTTCGAATTGGGCTAGGGAGAAGAGTGGTTGCACGTTTCCTAACACTGTGTTTAGAATCTCAAGATTTGACGAGAATTGAATTTCAAAAGAATTTTGATTTGTTTGGAATTATGGGATTTTAAAAGGAAATGGTATTTGATGAGATTTAAATGGACTATTGTGAATAAGAAATTTAGAAAAATTTGAAAGGATTTTATAACTAACTACTTAACTTATCAAAATAAATACTTATCAATATGAATGGGAAATGTGGTCCTCTTGGCTCCGTCTTCCATTGATGTTGATCTTTCTGGTTGTGTTCATGGACGGATCCACATTGAAGGGTGTGGGGGCAATTGCCCCCACTGAGGTTTTTTTTTTTTTTTTAGTATTTTATCTTTATAATTTGTTCATTTTCTGTAATATACCTATGAAATATTACATTTACCCCTACTAAAATTACTTTAAAAATGCACTATTGCTTCCCAAAATTTATTTTTGCCCCCACTTACCTTACATCCTAGCTCCATCCCTGGTTGTGTTTAATCTTTGTCCAAAAAATAAAAATAAAAAAAACTTTTCAAAATTATACTCCACAACTAGTACAATCTTCTTTCACTTCTCATGTTTTACCATATATCTATTTCATATCTTTTACGTCACTTATCCAAAATGATACCAAATATATATATTCAAATTGCAATTTATTCTAGACTGCAAATAATTGTTATTATAATCCAATTCTAGTTCTAAGTTAAAAAAAAATTGGTTCCAAACAAAGGTGAATATTCCAAAGAAAGAGAGAGAAAAGTATGTTTTTTAATAATGGAAGTCTACTTTAAAGTACAAAGGAAAAGGACCAAATGTATGTTTTTTTATGAAGGGAAAGGGTTGGATTAGGGCAGAGAGAAAAAAGAATATCAGTGTCTCTCTCTCTCTCTCTCGATCGACTTGCTTGGTTGGTTAGAAAGACATTTTTCTTACTCGAACAAGTCACTTCTATAAAAGGTTTACACGTAATAAGCTTGGTTTGTTTTTATGTGGAGTTGTATAGCAGAACTTCCAAAATTGCACAAAATATGTTTTCTAAAAGGAAAATTTTTTTTTTTTTATGACGTCTGCAAAAGGGACTTTCAGAGTCACCATTCTTGTATTATTAGCTGTGAATTTACATACTTGCCATTTGCAAAAACAAACACTCTTACCAATATCATTTTTAGTAATTGTGTCCTTGCCATAGCCACACAGAGACAGAGAGGTGGGGGCTACAAAATGCTATCCAGAACCAAAGAAGGAATAAAAGTCAGGTTTGCGCGCCCCCTTTTTTAGGTTGGTTTTACTTGTCTCCGAGCTTAGGTCTATAGACTATAGAGTGGTGGGCGTCTGAGAAATTATTAGTTGGCCGACACTTGCATACATGTCCCTCACAAACTTCTACACAACTAAGTGTGTCGGTTTGATTTAGTATTTTAGTTACACAAAAATTTGTAATTAATTGATCGAACCATATAATAATTTTTCAGTTTGAGAGAGATAAAGAGAAGTTAGTAGCAAGTATTTATGTGACAATAAGTCGATTCAATCATTGCACTCTAGTTTAGATTATATAAATTCTCATCTTTTAAAGAAGTTGAGTGTTTGATTCGTAGTGAGAATAAAAATTTATGATATATGTGTATTTGCTTGAACTTTTAAAAAAATTATAGCCGGACAATTTTATGAACTTATAAAACTTTAAAAAGTGACAATAGTATAAGTATCCGTAATCTCTCCTTCTCAGATGAAGTAGAAGGTTGAGTTTTAATAGAGGAACCAAATAGATGTAGTCTTATTTGTGAAGGAGTAATACTATTTACACTTATTTTTCTAGACAAGGAATGTTGTTGAAGGAAATTTATTCATTTGACGAGGTGAAAGAGAGCTATACAGCACAGCTTGGAAAATCAATTATAATATAATTATTCAAAAGAAAGATATATATATAACATAAATAAATAAATAAAAAGTTGGAAATGAGGTTTGTGTAACTTTGAATTAGTTGTATGCAATCGCATTAGTACTAAAACCTCTCAAATATCATAGTACTAAAATTAGTCCTTCCCTCTTTGTGTAATAGGATGCCTGAAAATATATATTAATTTTCCAACATGTGCTTGTTGAATGGAGTAGATGCTTATCTCCACGATGAATGTGACTTGTGAGCCATTGATGGATATCTAGGAATTGAAAAGAAAAATGCTTTAGATAATAAGGGAAAGAAAATCATGGTGTGTGTGTGTGTGTGTGTATCAGCAATTAATTTTGACCTACCCCAGATGGGCACATCCCTACATGTGACTGCAACCGATGAATGGAATGGTACACCCCAACTTGCACTTAAAACTCCCCAATGTCTACATGCCCTCTTTGTTGTGTTTGTTTTTCTAGTTAACTTTTTAAGATTTTCTAAGAATGGCCAAATCTGTTGGTCCCAATTGTGTACGGTGCTAGTACAAATCCTCGCTGTTAGATACACCTTGCTGATATGATCACATGGAGTATAGTTTGTATATCTCAAAAGTGATAAGGCCCTCTTTCTTCCACAAAAACAAAAGAATGTCCTAACCAGCTTTATTGCCCTCCTTTTTACTCTGTCTTCTTTTTAATGTTCATTGCTTTTGAAGGGGATATACCTCTATGAGACTGACTCGTCTCGACATTTCAAGATACTAGAGAAAAATTAGATGTACACAATTTTACTTTCACGTGCGGAGACTTTGTTATATTTTTTTTTCATTTATGTATATGCTCTGAAAGTGCTTGCCCAATAGTATAGTTTGTATATCTCAAAAGTGATAAGGCCCTCTTTCATCCACAAAAACAAAAGAATGTCCTAACCAGCTTTATTGCCCTCCTTTTTACTCTGTCTTCTTTTTAATGTTCATTGCTTTTGAAGGGGATATGCCTCTATGAGACTGACTCGTCTCGACATTTCAAGATACTAGAGAAAAATTAGATGTACACAATTTTACTTTCACGTGCGGAGACTTTGTTATATTTTTTTTTCATTTATGTATATGCTCTGAAAGTGCTTGCCCAATCATGCTGTCCAATCACCATGTGCAACATATTATTGACTTTTTTTTCTTCTTTAATTTAATCCTGATTTGACTTAAATTGATGAACCAACATGTTTGCGAAAGCCAGTGGCTTGTTTCTTATTTTTATGATTTATATAATACACATTCAACGTGCCTAACTTTCTCCTTTCTTTTTGGTTTTGTGCCATAAACCATATTATATCAGTAGTATTTGATCCTGCAATTTAATTCTTAAATAATAAAAGTTTTCAAACACTATGTTAAACATGACAGTGATGTAGGGAATCTTGAACCATTATTCGTTATTAAAGACATGATTCTTGCTTTAGATATTGGATGCTTCTTGTCTCTGTCAAATATGGATTGGAGTTCAGATACATTTCCAAGAATATTAAGACGTTTTGTCTATATTTATTTATCTGTATATAAATATATATCTGTCAAAGGTTTGAGTATATATATATATATATTTATCAATATCTACTCACACACACTTTTGCCCACGCTCGGATTCGAATTCCTCTTCTCATCTTTGAAGATGGAGAGATTATACCATTAAATTAAAGAGTAAAGACATTTTAGTATGTTTGAGTATATTCCACTCCCTTCTTAAAATATACGTGGCTGAAATCATAGTTTATATATGTTTATCACAGTATTAGGGTGGTCGGAGAGTTCTAGTATATGTGACCACCCTTTATTGGCATTCCTACATCAAGATAAATTAAGATCTAATCTCTTGTCAAAGAAAGATCAAAGAATAAAATATACTCATAATAGAATGAGCTTCTTTGGCTAAATTTGACAGGACACAATAATATCTGGTCATTTTCAGTTCAAAATGGAAAAATAATTGCCTAACCAACATCTTGTTTTAGTTATTGCCGAATCAAGAGAGAGTGAAACACATATGGCATAAGAAACCAAAAGTTCAAAGAGTAACCACAAATTCAAGGTTATTGTAATGTTCTCATCTTCCAAAGCAAAAGGTTGAAGATAACATTACAATAAAAAAAAAGGTTATTGTAATGTTCTCGTCAACCTTATAATCCTCTATAATTGTAGTAAGTGCGTGAATTTTCTGTCAAGGTTGAGATAAAAAAAAACAAAGGAGCAACCACAAAGTAAAGTGATTTTCAAATCAACAAAGAGAGAATTTATAATAAAAAAGGGGACAATATATAAACAAATCAACAAAAGATTGTGGAATTTGAACAGGAAGAGATCAAAAATGGAACTTTAGTCTAGGGAGTAGCCACACATAAAGGCTCCCAATTACATAATCTTCCAGTGCTAAGACCACGTCCACCTTCCTTGCACCTGCTTGGCCATTGAAACTTTTTGATACCCTTTTCAACCCCAACATCGAAACTACTGCCATCCATGTCCTCCCTAAGTACATATGCATCGCTTTCTGCTTCACCTTCTTGCTCTTCAAATTCTTCTTCAACTTGTTCTTCAATACCACTTTCATCATTTTCTTCAGTGGCCACTTCCAAGTAAGAAGTAGCAGTAGCACTACAATCTTTCAAGAAGCACAGTCGAAGACGGCCATGGCTTCTTTCAGCTTGAAAACAAGAAGGTCTCGATGGAGTCTCCACGGCTTCAATAACAAGCCTGCCGCCTTCACGATGAGACCTAACTTGGAGACCGCTCATCGTTGTCAAGGGAGGTGGAAATTTGCGAGAATTGATCACTTTCTTGGAAGATTCAACATGTTGTTGTTGCCGCGACTTCAGCTGCTCCCTTGCTGGAGAATTTCTGCTCTCCTCATCGGATTCAGAGAGCGAAAAGCTGCTGCTTTCAGCTATGTCAGTGCCTGTCTCGCTGCCCAAATTTTCAGTACACATATCCAAGCTCTTATCGCTAAGCTTGAATGAAGGTTGATTGAGCTGCAAAGGAGGGACATAGGAACTCTCTCTGTCCAAATCTTGTTTGGGACTTTGGGAGGTATTGTAGAGAGTTTGGAGGGAACTCCAACCACCAAAGTCAGAATTTGAGGAGGATGTGTATTTGTCATCATGACCAACACATAGAGTCTGAGTCTTCTCCAAGTGTGGTACTTTTGGAGAAGCCACTATGAGCCTCAGTGTCCTTGTCTCAACAAGCTGAGACTCGAGACACGACTGTAATCGTTGGCACACAACTGTTGACATAGCAATAGTATAGACACGCACTGATGAAAAAATGTTGAGAAACTTAGAACAATGGTTTTATACAAGTAAATTGTATATCAAATCTCCACCTATATATAGATGAACCTAGGCAAAAGAAAGACTGAAGAGTTAGGTACTCTTGGACTGAATGGAAAGGAAAGGAAAGGAAAGGGTATGGTTGGAGAGAAAGAAAGAGTGGGGAGGTTAGAGGAGAATGAAGAGATGATGATAAGTGAGGAGGTGGATGTGAATTTGTAGTCCACAAAAGTGTCATGGTGGTCTACTTGGAGAGACAATTGGAGGGGCCTTCTTCCACCACTTGAAATAGGCAGTTGCAATTTTGCCACACACTACAAAAAAACAAACACACACGCACAAAATTGAACAAACACACACACACACATACACAAAATTAAACAAACACACACACACACAGACACAAAATTGAACAAACACACACACACACATTCATTATATATATATATATATATATATATATATATATATTATACAAATAAATATACACGTCCTTCTCCATATCTCATCTAGGTAGGAAAATGGGAATGTCATTTCTGTCATTAGTGTTGTAAAAAAGGAGAAACGAGGCAATAACATTCAACCAAATAAAATTTATTTTTATTATTTTTTCGTACTTCAAAAAGAAAGCCAACAAAAAGCCAGCAACCAACAGAAATATAATTCTCCCAAATTTTCTTGCAGTGATTGATATTTTAATTTCCTCCCCCATTTTTAGACTTTTATTTTAAAACAATTGACTCTTCATGTATGATCTGCTGAATTATGTGTCTTTGGAGTCAAAATCTATGCTCATTTGCGATCCAAGGGAACGCAGAAAGAACACATCTCAGCCCACACCCTTTGAAATGTCTAGGAAGTTTTAAGTTATTTATATGCACATTATTGACCAAACCACCCACCATTTTCTTAATATTTCAGAACAATTATAAGAAATGATGATGAATAAAATAAATGCAACATGCAGTTATAGAAGGGCGACTAGCTAGGGCAAATGTCAAAGGTGTGTCCGAAATTCTTGTTAGGTTTTGGAGAAAAAGATGCAAGCATGAATTTCTTGCTTAGAGAAAATATGCCACAGTGACTACTAATATGATTTGCGATCAATTGAATAAGATTTATGACATACATCCCCACACCGATGCTGTCGACTCTTCAAACATAAATTCCACCACATCCTGTGAGACTGTTTAAAGTTTTTCTTTGAGTAAATGAAAGAGTCATGTGTGGTCTCACATGAAATAACCCTGATATTTTTTTTTTTTTATGGCACGATCTTTTCATGCTACAATTAATGTTAAATTAATATTAATTAACATGTAGCTGTTTTAGTGAATCACGAGCCCCACTATATGTCAGTCACCCCGTTGTCGTCAAGCACCCTAATAAATTTATAAATAATGTTAGGGTAAACTATTAATACATGGACTTAATAGGTGTATATTACATGATGATGCGGTCAAAGTCACGAAGTTTTAATAATTGGATGAACCACTAAACTATATCTATAAAATGAATTCTACTTTTTATTTTTTATCACACAACAAACTATATTGCTATAATGACCCAAAACAACTACTATTATATCATAAAAACCTTAGAATATGAAATAAACTTACTAAAAGATCCTTGAATAAATTATTTAATATTTTTAAAATATTTTTTAAGTTTTTCACAATAAATTAAAATTTCACAATAACTTAATATGGACTTATAGACTTCTTTAGACAAAAGATCTTATATATAAATTAAATTTAACGAAACAGTATAGGCTCTGATAGCAAAAATTAAATTCAATCAAATCGGATAGAAGCATGCAAATACCATAGAGATAAAATTAATAATTAAATCACAGAAATGACTGCTGAACCTAATAACACTCTGATAACGCCCTGTAAAAAAAAGGCCTGAACAACACCATCAAAAATAGGCCAACAAGTTAACAGTTCGAGTCAATTCACAGAATAAATTGTTAAATTAAAACTAAGGCTGCTTGCACTGGTTGAATTCAGGAAAATTCTAGGATCTACACTATCTGGCTAAATAAAATCTATATATTTGATTTTTTGTCTACTAAAATCTTTTACCCGAAAGTACTGAAAATACTAACTAAGGAAAATGAAGTTTATTGGATACTTTCTTCATTCCTTTTTTGATATATTTTTGAGCATCGTGCTCATTATCATATAAATCTTATACCCTCATTATTTCTTTGACTTTTCTAAGAACAATGGACATTCTCTATGTGGTTTTAAAAGATTTACACGCTTGGTTTTAGTCCGGAAGGAATTAGTTGATAACTTAAATCTTTTATTTTATCTGATAGTTCAGATAATTTTCTACAGGATTCTCTAGGAATACTTTCTTATATTAGTTCCAATTTTTCTTCAAGTTTGTTAACTTTTTCAGATAACTAGAGTAATAACTGGATTAAAAAGTTATTTTGTCTAATATTTATATTAGTTGATTGTACGTCGGTCTTAAAACTTGTAAATCCTACAGGGTCTTTGTCAATTTTAAAAAGTTCAGCTAAAGCTGCTAGATAATCAGGATTACTAGTACTCATAAAACTATTGTAATAACCTCTGGATATCTGTTTTCAAATATTTTAAATAATCTACAATTATTTTTTTTATTTTCTATAATATTTTTAATATCACTGTTTATGTCTTTAATTGCGACTAATATTATTTTGTTGTCTAGATTATTTGGACTAGAATTCTGGCCTATTTGGTTTTTAATGTAATCTAGATTTTCTCCTAGTCATTTTATAGAGTTATCTGAGTTATTAAATTTTATTCTACTCATAAACCTAATTAAAATCTTTGTCATCTAACTTCTAGAATATTCTGTATAAGAATAATTCTAGATCTAAGTTCATTTATTCTTCGACGAAAGTTATGTGTTGTATTATCGGTTTCTAATGAAGTGTAACAGTTTCTTAGTGCTATTTGGCAAAATTTTAGAATTTCTAAAAGTTATTCTTTGGATAAGTTGTGCATAAAATAAGCCTAAGGGGTGGAAATACAAAATCAACTTACCAGAGAGGCTTAAATAGAAATTGGTTCTTGTATTTGTAAATATTAAAATTACGCTCACCAAATGATAATATACTTTAATTATAGTCACTTATGTATAAAAATCCCTAAATGCTAAGTCGGTCTCAACCTAGGAAGAGGAAATTTTGGAAAAGCCGCTGACGTCAGTGAGCATCACAATATATATTCTTGTTCCATAAAATCAACAACCAATTTAATGCATATTGTGCTTTTAATATATATTCTGCTTTTTAAAGTTGGTTGTTGCAGGTAGGAGATGATGTGCGCTTCAAACGCGCACACACATAATGAACCAAAAGAAATTATTAGCTTAATTATTAGCTTAATTATTAGCGTTTGGTGCCCCAAAAAGAGCATGCTTTTCGATCTTTTACTTTCTGCTACAAAAAGCTTCTTTCTTAACAACAATATATGAGCCCACAAAGGGATAAGCATCTATAAATTTTTATATAATCGGAATTACTTGATTTCAATGCAAGTACATGTGATGGTTTTATTCAATTTTTTTTAGTTACGTGGTAGGATGTGATTGGTCCGAATCATGTAATAATTTTTCTATATCAAATACTTATGTTATAATTATTTAGACCATATCTGATTATTTTATGCGAGTGAAAAATTGTGTCATTATATGTCATTCTCAATAAAATTTGTCCTACTTTCGAGATTGTAAATTGTAATACAACTATTTTCTAACTTTTGAATTTTGTATCATAATTTTTTTTTTGACTAAAAATATTATTATTATTATCATTTTCTTTAAGTGAATCCAAAAGTTGACCTTCTAAGATATTTTACTTTATTTAATAGTTTATTATTATTATTATTATTGGATTTGATTAAAAGGGACAAGAGAATCCAATTCAATTCATGGCTTACCCAAACATATAAACAAAAGCACATCTCCCTACTGTTGCCTTTTGCTGACCATGTTAGTGCCCCATCTCCTTTCCACTACTACCTCTATTACTTTATTATTATATTTGAAAAGTGCTCACAGTCCATAAAGAGCCTGTTGGTGTTTTCCACGGCCCAGGCCCAACTTTTTTGCTCTTTGGGAATTCTTAATGTATGGGTTGTTCGACAACATTACTACTCAAGTCCAAGTTCTCGAACCCACGCCACACCCAATCTCTCATCTGTTCAGAAAGTCCAAGTTCTCGAACCCACACCACACCACACCACACCTAATCTCATCGTTTACCTTTTAAATCCTCTGAAAAATATTTGACCTACCCCCAACTATTCTATTGTAACAAAGTAATATTATAATGACCAAAATACTCTTGATATAATTTTTTAGAAAGAAAATATATATAGGTTTTGTTTAAGATTATTATCATTTTTGGTTATCTTTCTCTTTTTATTTAAAAAAAATACAAAATTTTTAAAAATTGTTCCAATTTTTTTTTTCCATAGATGCAACATTATTTATTTTCCTGAAAATAATTTTTAAAAACACTATGCCGAATGAGTTATTTGTATTAATTTTAATCTTATATTAAGAAACACCATTCGGCATAGTGTTGTTAAAAATTATTTTCAAGAAAAGAAATAATGTTGCATGATTTGCATCTATGAAAGGGGAAATATAACAAAAAATGAGAATAATCTTGAACAAAACCTATTTTTAAAAAATATATATATTTTTTTAGGGGTATTCCTGTTCTTATAAAATCATTTTAATGGTGTGTAATTTTTAAAATTTTCTTAAAGTTTTATTTTTAAAAAATTAAAAAATGGTTATAAAAAACTAAAATGAAAATTATTTTAAAGAAAACCTAAAGTTCTGTTTGGTTTGTAATTATGAAAATAATTTTATGATTTTAGAAAATTGGAAATAGAAAACAATACAAAAATTTCTGCTTGATTTGTTTTATGAAAACTCAGTTATAAAAAAATCTGTTTTCAGAAAATTATAAAAAAAAAAAAAAATTGTTCTCTGATAACAGTTTTTGTTTTCTGATTGACAATTATTTTCAGAACTACAAATCAAGCAAACTCTAAATTTTTTTATATTTATATTAAGAGACATTTTTGTAATTATAACATCACGCAACAATCCGATAATTCAGGTTGGTTGGTTGGTTTATTTTTTATTTTTTATTTTTTTATGCCATTTGCCCTGTATAAAAAATTAGAAGTCCATGTTACCACATACAGGAACTAGTTAATAAAATAATTTAATACCACACACTGTATTGAGTATCAAATATACGTATACATTCATGCAAGTCAGTATGTATACTATGTACAATATGAAATTGTATATAATGTTATAGCATGGTATATTATACAAACAATATAAATGTGTGACTTTAACTATAGGGTAAAGTACAATAACACCCCTTGATGTTTGCCATAAAGATGCTTAGATACAAGTTAGCCTATTTTTGGACAATGACATCCCCTCAAGTTTACTTCCTTTGACGAAGACACCCCTTATTGCTCTAACATGTGATAAAATGACCTAAATGCCCTTTGACTTGTCAAATGACATTTTTACATTATAAAATTACCAATTTACCCATTCTAAATTGTCCAAAATAACCTCTTTATCTCAACCACATACCCACAAAGCTACCGCCGCCACCACCACCACCATTTCTTTTATCTCTTCATTCTCTCTTTTATAGTATATATACATATATTATACACATATACGTACACATATAATTACAATTTAATCTACTCCTACACTACCCGAAACCTTCCCCAAATTAATCACAAAAATTCTCCACAAACCAATTTCAATGCTCAACAATCAGGGTATTAGGGACTTTAATGGGCTTCATTCAAAGGAAATTCAGTTTAGGCTTAGGTCATTTGGTGAAATAAGGTAGAAACCCCATATTGGTTATTCTCTCCAACCCAAATCGTAGCCGCGGTCTGAACTTGGTTGGTATATTCGGACTCACCATGAAAGCTCATAGTACTTCATAAACGGAACAGAGTGGGTTGGGATGGTGGATGGAGAGGTAGGAGTGGGATAAGGAAATAAAAGAGGAAGGCATGCCTATGTCCACGTTTCCCCCAGCTGTAGTTCACCGCAACGACATGGTCAAGCTCTGAGGCGGAGTGACTGGCCGGATCAACTGTGTTGAAGCGGAAGGTACAGGTCTGCAGAGGCGAAGGCAAAAGGGGCCTGGATCAGATTCGCGGAGGCAGAAGGGGCTTTAATTAGGTCTGCGGAGGCGGACGGGCCTGGATCAGGTCGGCGGTGGCGCCGCCACCATTGTCGAAAGCCTACCACCGTAATCACTACTGCTTCGAGCCACCGTCTGTAGCAGAATATGGTTTGTGAACTAATCCGCGCGAGACCCAAAAGTTTTAGTTCCACTTTTGCTTCAGTCCGGTGAAGCATACTGACCCGATTCAACAAACAAGCCGAATGAATCAGTGATGGTGGTGGTGTTGGGTCCGATAAGGGCTTTACAATCGTTGTTGGCAATGGAGGTGTGGTGGGTTTGATTAAGGCTTTGCAATCGGTATTGCATGGTGGTGGTGTTGGGTTTCAATTATAATAAGTGATAATGGTGATACCGATCGATTAGGAATCTGCAAGAGTGCATATGTGTGTTGGGTTTAATACGTTGATGTGGGGTTTTGATTTGGGGGTCAGTAGTGGTGTCTCCTGCTGTGGTGGTGATGGCAATAGCAAGGGTGTGTTGGTGGTTGTAGGATGAGTATGGTGGTGGCGGTGGCGGTGGCTGTCACCGGTTGTGGTATGAGTATGGCAGTGGTGGCTGTCACCGATTACGGTGATGGTGGCGCATATGTGGGTGGTGAGAAGAGAGCTGAAGGAGGGAGGTATTGCTTAGTAATGCATTAAGGGCAATTATGTCATTTAAGTTTTCAAATATTTTATCAATTAAATGTTGAAGGGCAATTTCGTCTTTTACTAACTTTTTAGGGGCTGTTTGGCTAGAATTTTTGATAGGGAGTGTCATTGTCCAAAAACAGGCTAACTTGTATCTGGGTGTCCTTATATCAAACTTCAGGGGGTGTTATTGTACTTTACCCTTAACTATATTATGCTTCCATGTTTCTGTGACATCTATCTATAAATATATACCCTTTCTTTATCTTTAATTTTTTTTTTTTTCCCCCGGTTAAGAATGCAGAGTATAGAAATATTATGTAATCTAAAATTTTAACTTTGTAATTGAACATGACAACGAGGATGTTGATGATGGGTTTGAATCACTCTAAGATAGGAATAAATTTTCAATTATTATTATTAATTTTTTTCTTTCAAAACAGGTTCCAGATAAATTTTAAAATATATTGTGGTTAAATAAAAATAATAATATAAAGTTTTAGAAGGCAAAAACAATATTTATCATGGTCTGATCTGTAAATTTACATTTATAATAATTTAGATAAAAAAGAAAAACCAAACTAAATTTTTATATTTAATATTAAGAATACTACGAAATTTTTTTTAAAAAAATTCGGAAAGTCTAGAAAAAATTATTACAAGAATGAGTTTGATATGTAATAATTTCTGTAATGGTATTATGGTAGACATAATATGTGCTGTAATAAAACAGTATGTATGTGTATAAATGCAATATAATGTATACATACATACATGTACGTACCATATGTGTTGGACGGAAAAAGCAAGAAAATAAAAATGCGACCATTTCAAAGCGACCTTCTCGCAATAGGGGAACCAAAGTTTCTCTCTCATCCCACGGACCGATGGCGAAGGCGATGGTAGAGATCATTGTGGTAGGTGGTGTTTTCCTCCTTATGCTACTTCTGATCCTCCTCCTCATCCTCCTTGCCTGCAAGCCATGGCGATATTTCTCCAGATCCTCTCGCACCCGCACGATCAAGGTACCGTACCATATCCTTCATTCCCACAACATTCATTACACCTATGTATTATTATTATTATTATTTATTTATTTATTTTTTAATTTTTTTTTCTCCTCTCTATCTATCTGTCTATCTATATATATATTTGCATGTATGTGTATATTTCTTTCTCCATTGCTTTCGATTTTAGGGTTTCGAGCATGCATTTGTCCCCAATATTTGCTTCAGATATCGTTTCACCACTTGGGTTGGTAATTGCGTGATGTTGAATGTGCTGCATTGGTTTTTTATGTGGTTTTCTTTTGCGCAAAATCATGAGGGTTTTAACTTCTAATGTATTGTGTATATTAGAGCCGAGTGCTGTTAAAATGTTTGCACGATGCGCGAACTTATTATTCTATCTACTTGCTGTTGTTGAACTAGGTCCAATTGAAAATTTGGGTTCAATTGATAATCATATGCCCGAAATAATAGACTGTTCAATGCAGTCCACTTTGCATCTTAGAATTGGGGATTGTGTGCTGTCCAAAATGGCAAAGATTTATGCGCTCTCCAATTTTGATTATAATTTTTGTGCTTTGACATTGCCAATAAGATTTGTAATTAGGGATTTCGAAGAACCATCATTTGCCTCAGGCCAAATTTATTTATGTTAGTCTATTGATTTGTTTTAATAGAAGATGTTTTTTATGGGTTCAAGGTTCCAACAAACTTAAATCTTTTAGTACTTATAATGTAAAACACCTTGCATCTTATATTCTTAAAGGAAAGTCGGATGCCTTACCATATAACATCTGTCATCATTTATGAACTAATCTTACTCCTGTCTAATCAATTTAAGATATGAATATGAATAATGATTTTATTGGTGATAGTAATTTATTCCTCTAAAATATTCTCCAGATGAATCTTTTTTATTTTTTTTATTTTATTTTTATTTTTTTCATTTGCTTTTAAAGGGGCGTTTTTTGATGCAGCATCCAAGGTCCTTGCACAAACATCAGATCAACTGATTGATTTGGCCAAGTTAGGATCAACCTAAGAAGGTTGGTTGAGATTGACCGACTCTTAATTATTAGGAAACTATCAAGTCATCTAATTTATAGGTGCACGTAACCTAAGCATCTCAAGATCGAGAGAGAGAGAGAGAGAGAGAGAGAGAGAGAGAGAGAGAGCATCTCAAAAGGGTACTTGCCAAATCCTGAAGACAATAAATATCTAATTTTTTTTTTTTTTTTTTTTTTTTCCCGACAATAAATATCTAAACTATTCGTAACATATTAAATAAAAAAATCTAACACATCCTACCAAATATGATTCATAATCTTCTTTCAAAATAAGTAAGAGGTTTTATGAATGTTTATAAAATGTTGTTACAGGAAAATTTTATTTTGATTTTTCATTTATAGGGCGGAAAACTTGCATGTAACAAGGGAAGAATTTTCTATAGACCTGAGGTCGAACTTCAAGTTGTTGCTTGCCTCATACTATAGGTGGAAAACTCGAAACATTCAACTCTATGTGCTTAAGTTTCAATTCATAAACCTCAGAAGCACTTTGAATCGCTGAGGACGGACTTACTTGACAAACCAAGCTAATGGTTTTAGCTAAACGGTTGTTCGCCAATTTTGCTTTCAAATGTCTGTAGTTTTATTTTTCCCTTTGATTCTGGGTCAGTTTTCTTACTTTATTTGGCACGAGGTGGGGTTCAAGTTCATAATTTCACACTTCAAGCAGATATTACAAATTCCTTGGCTTTATGACATCTGGACCCGAGGGATTTTGGGGCATCCTTGTCTGACATCTCCATGAAGTAACCTTGATTTCCTATCTTAAATATTGATAAACATGCACATGCTCGAATTCAACATTTGTAAGGATTAAGTTGACTAGCCTAGCAGGTTGTCCATATCTGATGACAAAAAGTCTACTTAGTGCAATGTATCATGTTCACATAGGATCTTCTTGATCAAAACCATTATATTGGAAGCAAGTTTGCAAGGACTTATTTACCGGTGACTTTCTTCAGCGCTGCCATAGTATTCATTAAGTGATAAATGATAACCTAAGGTTAATGCATGTTCCATACTTTGTACCATTTGTATCTTCTGCTTCACATATAATTTCTGAGTGTCTTGATGACTTGATGTACTTTGGCTTTTTTTGCTGGGCAAACAATACTTAATGATGTGTTTAAATAGTTTGTTTCTGCGTGAGTGGCTGTTTGCTTTATAGATTAAATCACCTTGTCACCATATTAAGCTGCATCACATTTTGTTCAATTGTATAAAATTGGATAGTTTTTTGTTTTTACCTTAACTATTTGGATAAAATACACTGACACCCCTTCAGGTAAGATCAAATCTCACCTATATGTTTTGGTTTTAACTTTCACTTAGACCCCATGTCAGGTTTCCATCCAACAAAAATGTAAAATGTCATTTGTACCCTTACTTATTTAATCTATTTTAATAAAAAAATATTAAATTTCTTAAAAGACAAAATTGCCCTTAATTATTTCAACAAACCATTACTTTATCTCTCTAATATGTATGTGTGTATATATATACATATATAGAAAGCTAAAATTTGCAGATCTGTTCCTGCAAAGAAGCCCAAATGGCCAGATAGCCATAAATTGAAGGAGGAGAGAGTGAGGACGGCGATAATGATGGTGGCTCTCCTCCTCCTACTGAGACCTCCTCCTCAACAACTTTGGATTGAGTTGACTCTCCAAATGATGCCGCTTCCCTAAACCTTGCCGCCCTCGATGCTGTGAACTACATTGTTGCTTCCGCCGCCTGAATCTCGTCGTGGCCGTGCTGACGATACCGCCGCTTGAACCTCGCCGTGGCCGGACGTGAGATATTTGGCGTGGTTTTTAAGCCTGAATACAGTGGCTGGGGGGATGGTGTTTGTGGCTTTACGGGGCAAGGATGGTGGCTGTAGCGCTACGTATGTGGCTGGGGGGATGGTGTTCGTGGCTTTACGGGGCGAGGATGGTGGCTGTAGCGCCACGTATGTGGTGCTTGAGGATAGCTTTCCGGTGACGACCATTGTTATGGGTTCGTTTGCCAGAATATGCAGTGGGGGGTGGTGGTTTTGAGTGCGGAGATTGTGGTGGTGGCGCCGCCGCTGCCATAATCGACTGTTAGTAACCTAGGAGAAAGCTGATGGGGTTTGTGATTTTGGGGCTTAGGAAACTATAGGGTTGTGATTTTGGCAACAATTATAGCTTGAGCAGATTCCGATAATGGCAGATTCCGGTGAAATCGATGGCTATAGTTGTTGGCTTTTAATGTTTACAACCGTTGGGTCGGATTTGCGATTGGGTGTTTGTTAAAATATGGTGATTAAAGTTGGGTCGGATTCATGTAGTTGTTTGCGATGGAAGTGTGGTGTTGAGCGAGTATGGCCGTAGTAGCCTTCGGCGCCACTGCTGTACTGGATTACGGTGAGTGGGGGTTTTAGGGGTTCTTCAATTGGTCAACTATATGTATGTATCTATAAATAAAAAATATATATGTATAATATATACATTCGCATTTATTGAGAGAAGGGTTAAATTTTAGAATATTTTGGTAATTTAAAATAAATCTCTTAGGGTAGTTAAGTCATTTTACACATGAAAGTCAACACAAAGTCAAAAGGGTAGTATAGTCATTTCACACCTAAAAAGTACTCTGAAACCACTAAAATATGACATTTGGGGTTTAAGTGAAATCCGGATCTACTCTTCCAAATATGAGTGAAAGTTAAAACCAAATTGTTCATTTAAGTAAGATTTGACCTAACCTGAAGGGGTGTTAGTGTAATTTACCCTAACTATTTTATGATTATGTGGTAAAAAAAAAAAAAAAAATCTAATAGTTTTTCTCATTCGTCGTCATTTTGCTATTTTTATTATCACTCCCTTTTCCTTCTTCTTTTTCTTCCTTTTTTTTATTTTTTATTTTTTATTTTTTATTTTTTTTTTCATCTTTTAGAATTACAACGTGGCTATCACCTTATGATTACTTCTTTTGTAGGTTGATGACTTAGAGAGACCTCTTGTTTCAGAAGATCCAAATTTGACCAGGAGCCCAATTAATGATTTTGCTAGAAATAATGCTGCAGAGGAGACATCTCATTTAACTGAAGGGAATTTCAGCTCGTCCCGGGCACATGGACTCGGTTATAAACAACGAATTCCATCTAAAGCTTCCCAGTTGACCCAAAGTATTCAATGCTATCTTCTTTTTTTTTTTCGTATATAGTTTATTTACCTCTTCAAATCAATGTGTTATTTATCTTAGTTCATATTTTTTTCTGTACTGAAATTTATTTTCTATCATACTGTTCCAGGTGGTAGTTTTGTTCTAAATGTAGAAGATATAGTAGTTGGTCAGACGCTAGTTGGTCAGACGCTTAGGGTTCCACTGGTGACAAACGACTCCGCTGAAGAGCTGAAATCTGGCAGAGAGGAAGATTTAAGTTATGATTCAAAATTTGGTTCAGAGAATGATAGCTTTAGAGAATTTGTGCCTAAAGGTACTGGAGATCAAAGTGATTTCTCCTTTATTCACTTATATAAAATGGCCAATGTTATATCTCTTTCTATTTGGCTGATTTATAAAGCACTTGATCATATCTTTCTGTTAGAAGTGCAGGAAGCTGCCTCACCTTGGAGGTTATCTCCGGTCCTTCTCGTGGGCTCCGTTGTTCTGTGCAGTCAACAAATACTTCTAGGCTTCCACTTACTCTTGGGAGAGTTTCTCCAAGTGATTTATTATTGAAGGACTCAGAGGTTTCAGGGAAGCATGCGCTGATAAACTGGAATTTGAATGTAATTTTATATGCATTCTGGTGAACCTTTGAGTTTTGCATGTTCTTGTGGTTCGCTAATTTTTTTTTATCTTATGTGTTGATTTCAGAAGTCAAAATGGGAGTTGGTGGACATGGGTAGCCTAAATGGAACACTGTTGAATTCCCAGACAGTCCACTATCCTGATTCTGGGAGTAGACATTGGGGTGAGCCAACTGGACTTGAAAATGGAGACGTGATAACTCTTGGCACCACCTCAAAAATATTAGTACGTCTATTTGCTCCTGTGTCATGTTTCAATATAGAAGTGATTGATTCCTATCATACAATTTTTTAATATGTTCAGACCAAGAGAATTCAACTCTGATTAAGCACATCGAGTACTCTTATAGCAGCATGAAGTTCTTGTAGTTTTTGAGAATCTGCTAAGCTCTTTGCAGTCTCTAGAGTTGGAGAAGATTGAGTAATATATGCTAAGTTTCAGGGTATCAGGAACATTTGCAATAATAATAGGATTTTCCAATTATGGCATTATTCTGCTGAGGCTAGAGAATGTGTTTTTCCCTTGTTTGTTGCCATGTAAACTAAAATCAATGTGCATTTGCTACTTCTTTTCATTGTCACAGGTTCACATCACATCTCGAACTGAATACCAGATCCCTTTTGGTGTTGCTGTTGCATCAGATCCCATGGCTTTGCGCCGAGGAGGAAAGAAGCTGCCTATGGAAGATGTCTGCTATTACCAGTGGCCCATTCCTGGGACTGATCAGGTCTAGAGCTATTTGGATTTCATCCCGCCTGTCTTATCCACTTTTCTGAAAATGGCTAATCTTGTGCAATTGCTGAACTTGCAGTTTGGATTGTTTGGTATATGTGATGGACATGGTGGAGCAAGTGCTGCCACATCTGCAAGCAAGTTAGTGCTTCGTTTCCAACTTTAAAAGTGCTATTTCCATTTGTGGCTAAATTCCCTTCCAAGTTTCCCACAACATATGACTTTGCATTGAACAATAAGGACGCAATTTCAATATACTCTTGTTATTGAGCTATGATATTATAATTGTTATGAGATTTTTGAACAAGTAAGAAAGTCCCTCTTGCCTATATAGAATGCTAATACTTACAACAACTAATTTAAACAATTTCCAAAGCCAGTTGGGAAGCTTTGAAAATAGATCAGCTAATTATGGCCTTAAATCTGTTTGGACAGGATGAGAAAGTGATTACCTAATTCATGCTTCTTTTTTTTTTTTCTTTTTGTTTTTTTGTGTGTGTGCACGCTGATATACTATATTTTCAGGATCTTCTGACCTGTTTATACTTATCCTGCTAATTGACCGGCAAAAACTGATTTTCTATAGAAGATAAACAAATAAACAGCAGCAATTGATTGAATTTGCAGTAGACAGTGGAAAACCTAGTTGAGTCAGGCTGCAGATTGAATGCCTGATATTTGTGTTTCCTTTATAATCCTTCTGACCTTGTAGATGATGCCTTTTGAGGAGCATCCACTTCTATGATGCTTATCCGTTATGTGTCAAGAAGCTAATGTTCCATCCTACTACTAGTATCCTGTCAAAAATTTTAATCCTTTCTTATGAGTTGATGTATCAGTGCCTCATTGCTGTTGCATATGTTCTCGGTTATTCTTAATAATTCTACTTTCCAGATTACTGCCTGAGATGGTTGCAAGTATCTTGTCAGATACGGGCAGAAGGACAAGGGTTTTGTCAAAATGTGACGCTTCAGATGTTCTTAGGGATGCATTTTTACAAACGGAAGCACGCATGAATCACTACTATGAGGTTTTTCATCCAGCATAGTTATACTTATACTGTTTGTCTTCATTTCTGGATGTGTTTTGTTGATGTATAATTGAAACAATCAGTCTATGCTTCTGTAGTTCGGTTTGTCGATCAATGCTCAACACAGTAACTTCCTTTTCCTTTCTGTGGTTTTTTCTCTTTTTCATCTTTTTATTTTTTGATACATAAGTTACTTGTTATTGTTCTTGTTTTCATATATAGTCTGTTTTAAATTCTCATCTGTTTGCTTGTGTACTTGTACCGGATATCTGAATGCTATCATAGTGAATATTTAGTATTATGTCTTCTTTGTCTTATTATTCTATTCAGCCACTTACCAAAAATAAGTAAATAAAAAATTCTTTTTTTCAGCCATATGAGATAGCAGTGTGACTGTTACCTCCAAGACTCTAGCTTAATGGTATCAACTCTTCCTCTCACATGGGAGGTTGAGGGCTCAAGTCTTCAAAGGAGCCACAGTGGGTATGTGTGTGCGTGGGTTGTTTGTGGTGGTGACTTACCTACCAAAAGTGGGAGTTCGAGTCAGTTAAAAAAGATAGCAGTGACTTTTTGTTTATCATGTATTTAATTTGCTTCTCCTGTGATCAAAAGATTCAAAACATGTAATAGCATTATTGTATATTTTGGATAAGCGATTTTGCTTTATGGTGAAAGCATACAATAATTTATCTGGATATGATGTATATGGTATGATAAATGTGTTTATAGAACAGCAAACATGGATTCCTGCTTCAGATTTTATAGTTCTTACTATTGGTCTGTGAGCTCTCTGTGAAATTGTCGTCTTATTCTGATATTGGAGAATAAGTGCGCCATTTAGAAAGATTTACAAGGTCCACATTGAGGGTAATGCTAAGGGAAATTTGGAGACCAAAATTAACACAGTAAGGAAGATATGGTAACATGTGGTTTACCAAGGTTATGGCCGTATATAGAGCATAATGGAAAAATAGGATTCATGTAGCCAATCCCAAGTAGGTTGGAAAAGGCTTTTTTGAGTTGAGTTGATCATTGTTACTGGAACCTATTGTAAGTGAATTAGAAATGAAATACAGAATGAAGGGCAGAAGGTTAAGAGGAATCCTGATCACATGGAAGTAACATGGGACCCTATATGGAGTTTAGTAGAATTTCTCTTTGGGAACTATGGAAGAGAATGGGGTAATTATTCTCTCTACTTGGGATACTCTCTTTAAATTCTCAATGTTGTAATTCTGTGTGTTGTAGATGTGCTGAGTCACTGCTGACGTTCACCTATTTTTATGAGCGAAAAACATTCATTTTATCTTGAATGCAAGTCTCCTGGTTATAAGTGGCACTATTTCCTATGGGCATAACTAGGAAAAAGTATTTCCTGCTGCCCTTGCAAGTAGAAAGGCAGGATTTAGATTTGAGGAGTGTAATGATGTGTTAAAGACGTGCCAATAAACAATTGCTACCAGCTGCTTTCATCGCCCATCTCAGAAAGAAAAAATAGAAATTACAATACAGAGAGTGACCTGAATACGCAACAGAAAAGGACAAAAAATATTGTTACCGACCGGCACTTCGGGTTATACATAGGGACTTAAATCCTTTAAACATACTTCACAAGATTATTCAATGGAGTAGATTCAGAATTTACATTTACTAAATGGCTGATTATTGGCACTGTATGTGCTTATGTCAGCAAACACTGTACTGATTTCCGAACAGTGTGTGGCCTGGATCTTCTCTTCATTTTCATGTCAGAATCCTTGACGTGTCAAAAGGAAAACATATGGATAGAAATTAAGACTTGTCCAAATAGCATAGATTTTAGATGATTTAAAAATATATATATGGGATACTGAGCAAGCGAAATAAAAAAGGACAACATTATAATGGTAAAAGATTATGAGCAAGCGAAATAAAAAAGGACAACATTATAATGGTAAAAGATTATGAGCAAGAGACAAGTGCTCAGGAAGGAGTTGCAAACTACTGTAGTCATCCTTAGGAATTAAGAAATGGTCAGCCATTATATGCATTCCTTTCGTAGACAGTTGATTTGTACTAAAAATATCTGTATGTACTTGGGAGGGAAAAAATCTTTTTCTTAGGGGAAAAAAAAAAAAAATTGCTCTCTCTCATGTATAGAACTGATTTATAACAAATGAAAGACTGTTACTTCAGTATGTTAATCTTTGATAAGGTAAATTACAACCTAGAATCATGAGATTCTTTCTGGGGTTTCCTAGCTTGTAATGTTTAAATACACCTGAAAAGGAGAAAAGAACGTATCCTGTGTGCTTATTGTTGTCTGTAGCCTGTCCTATGTCTAGCCTCTCACGTGGTTGTTAAGATTCAATGTTTAAGCATGGGAATAAATTGATTTAACGCTTTGTATTGAACGTAATTTTTTAATGACACACCGATTTGTTAAAAGCTTCGATATTTTGCTTCAGATTTAAATTTAATTGGAGTATTATATTATTTTATTTGTGACCATGACAACAGTTACGTCATCTTGTTCTTTATTTTGTTATTGGTGGTTGTGAGAAGGCTAAGGTTATGGTGTCTGCTATAATAATCAAAATCTTTCAGGGTTGTACTGCAACAGTGCTTCTGGTTTGGGCTGATGGCCATGAAAATTTCTTTGCGCAATGTGCAAATGTTGGAGATTCAGCTTGTGTCATAAAGTATGTGCTCATGCTTTATCATTCTTGAACTATTATAAATAAATTGTCAGAATTTGTACATGTTTAGCTTGAATTTCTTTATATCATCTTGTTTTGTATTTTTGAGGTTAAGTCCATGAAGAAATATAGCAACCTCAACTTCCTCACGGCGTTTCGTCTGCTGTTCCTAAACATTTAAGTAGAGGCTACTACACATGCTCTATACCTTCAATGATCCCTTAATATATTGTGTTCACTATATATAAATTGATTTGCTCAGAATATTATTTGTGTGTGTGTATGTATGTTCATATGTGTTTAAACACTTGGAAGATTTGAGATGTTCATGTTTAATGGTCACATATGTTATGTACCCAGAGCTCAACTATGTTACATGGACTTGGAAACGTGTACAGGTTGTAGGTGAATATTAAAAGGGCAGATTTATTCCTCAAACGAAAGACACAGAAACACAACTGGATATTCGTTTTTGAAAGTTCATATATTTTCATGGAATATTATGTATGAAAGAAGCATTATACACATATTGAAGCAATACGATACGAAAGGATGATGATGATGCAGTGCTATACGGAGTAGCATTATAAGAGAGTTCTATGTCCAATTATATAATGACTTTTATTTAAATTTTTTTGGTTAGTTATTATTATATATATAATTGGATATGTAAGTTACATGCTGAACAAAATATGTAAATGACATTCCATCCCATAATTAAGTGTGGGTCTGACATGGGTTGTAAAATAGGATCTCAGCTGTGGGTCATATCTTACTATTTCAAATTGACATCATATTGCTTTAGTTGGATGTTGTTATTTGCCATCTTTATGTGTGAGGTCAAAGAAGATGGTGTTCTTACAGATACCTGCACTCCAACAATTTCTGTAGAAGAGAATTATTAATACCTACAATTTTCCTGTGCTGACAGTAAAACCTATACTGCTGGGATTATGTTCTCAACCTAATATGGCCATAATGCCATATAATTAAACTACATATGCTAGTTTAACAACTCACCATTTTTACTTCAATCAAAACCATGTCTTTCTGTTAATTTTTTTTTTTTTTTTGACCAGTATGTCTTTCTGTTAAATTTAGGGATTGTAGCTTTTTTACTGACTCAACTGACTTTCTCTTTTGCATTCCATATACTTTCTACAGCCTCTTTCTTTTGTAATTTCCTCTTTGATACATAGTTGTTCATCGTTCCACACAGTACCAAACCATTATGAATTTTCTCTCATCTCATTTTCAATTGGTGCTGCTTATAATCGTTTTTAGTTTCTTGTTAATGCTAGGATCGTCATCATCGTCATCGTTATAATATTATTTTTATATGCTTGTCCATCTCACATTCTTATTAAAAATAAACCTATTATTTGGATGCTTCTTTTATGCTGCTGCATCTTGATTGCCCAGCATTAAGCATGGATGGCCTCACCTGTCTCTTTTATTTTATTTAATTTTTTTTTTTTTTTCATAGTTGGTACTCACACACACATGCGGCTTGAACCCTTGACCTCCCTTTGGGAAGGAAGGGCCTGATACCGCTAGGCCACCGACCCGTTGTGATGGCCTCACCTGTCTAGTTAAACTATCTTTTGTTTTATTGGTATTTACCACCCACTCAACTGTTAAGATGCTTTTCTTTTTTGCTTAATCCATCTCAATTTGATTTACCAGAAACATCCTCATCAACCTCAATCTGGTCAGTGACAACAATACATGCTTGCTCTTTAGGGCAACATGTTATTTGTCTATTTATTTATTCTGATAATTGACAACATGTTATTTGTTGAATGTCCTTAGTTGACTATAGTTTTGATCTGTCAACTGTTCTAGTTTTACTAGCATTTTCAATAATTATTGGCTGAGTGGTTAGAATTGGGTGGATTCCCATTATATAAATGGTTGCCCACCTTTCCCTCTCTCCCACAATTATTTTCTTTTCTCTTGTCATCTTTACTTACCGTGCTTGCTATTGGAACACCTGTCTAATTATCGCCTATTGTTTGAAAGAAGATTATAGTGGCTCATGATATTGGAGTTTTTGGTGCTCAAGCAAGTGAAGAAGGATGCTTAGCTGTAATTTAAGTGTAATAATTATTATTACTTCTCTGTTCCCAAATCTGATATTTAAAATTTGGAAGAAATTGTGTTGTTAATTCTTAAACTAAGTAGTGGGGTAGCGGTATCAGCCTCTTACTTTTCAAATGGAGGTTAGGGGTTCAAGTCTCAGAAGAGACGCGTGTGAGAGTACCAACTAGGAATATATATATATATATATATATATATATATATATATAAAAAGTTATACTTACCAAAAAAAAAACTAAGTAGTGGGGCAGAATTAACTGGTTATTGAATTGTGTAACCGTAAACTCTGCTAATAACAGCAATTGTCACTTTAGCATTATTCAGTTATCACTATCCAACAAAGGTGAACGTAATGAGCCATTTACCATTTTGATACAAACCAACAACTGTAATATGAACTTTGTTATAGCTTCTTTTGTGTGTATTAAAATTAAAATCCACAAGTTTTGGTTTAGTCAAATTGAAATAGCCCTTTTCTGATATCATCTTTTTACACTCTTGGTTTTATGATCCTGATGTGGCAGTATTGATGGGAAGCAGATTAAGATGACAGAAGATCATAGAATAACCAGTTATTCTGAAAGACTCCGTATCCAAGAAACAGGAGAACCTTTAAAAGATGGGGAAACACGCCTATGCGGTGAGGGAAACACTGCTTTATCTAATTTATGATTTGCTTTGCAGAATGTCAGTAATGATTCTTTCATTTCTTTGCTCCCCTTCTTCAGGTTTGAACCTTGCTCGAATGCTTGGAGACAAATTTCTGAAACAGCAGGATGTTCGCTTCAGTTCAGAGCCTTATATTAGTCAAGTTGTGTACATAAATCAAGAAAGCAGGGGCTTTGCCCTTTTAGCGAGGTGATCTTGCTTCCAACTAATGTCTTTGTTATGTCCTGGACTGTCTTTCAGCACCAATTGTCCTTATAGCTCTTTCATTTTTCTCTAGTTTGTGATTGATCTCATGCCTGATACTCTGGTTAATGATGAATCATAGTTGAGGAATTACAGTTGGTTAAAATTATTTTAGATGGGTGTGCACTAGCAGAGTCCAGGATACATAGTTTGTAAATGACAGGCACTAAAAGTTTGTCTCGTGCACATACTTCATTTCATATTTCTCATCTCTAACATAGTGGAAATGACTTGAGATGCAGTGATGGATTTTGGGACGTCGTTAACTTCAAGAAGGCATTTCATCTTGTTCATCGGGTATTTTCACTCAACTGTTTGTCTATGGTTACAAATATTTCTGGAAATTTCTCACCAGCACATCCTGAAGCTTCTTAATTTTGAACTGCACAGACAAGGGAGAGAGATGCTACAGGCAGAGAGAATACGGCAGAAAAGATTGCTAACTTTTTGTTAAGTGAGGCCAGATCACAGCGTACAAAGGATAACACCTCTATAATTTTCTTAGATTTTGATACAAGTAGAATATCGTGTAAACCTGATTCTTAGGACAAGTGTCAAGGTGTATATTACAATCTCTCATTGTTTTATTTATTTTTTAATTTTGAAATTAGTTTGATATGCTAGTCTTATGCTCACGTCAAGTAGTGATTTCAACCCAACCGATGAGTGCATTACGAGCAATGCAGAAGTCTTGACACCTTCTGAAGTCACGCGACTTTTTCAAATCTTAATTGTAACTGTGAAAACCTAACCTTGAACAGTGGTGAGTAGAAGGGACGCCAAGTGCTGCAGGATAAGTTTGGTATGACAAGGAGTGGATCATGCTTACGAGTCACAGAAACTGGTGTAAAAGTTACTGAAGATGTGGATACCAATCCTGAAAGCTAAACCAGGTGAACTCACTGTAATGACCAACAAAGTGTATACACGGGATAACCAGATGCTATCAATGATATTGAGGCAAAATAGCAGATATCAAACAAAGTCTCCAACTTACCGTTACATTTACCAGTCGATTTGCTGCGCAAGGGAGAACTAACCGAGAGAATTGAGTCCTTCCTCTGATCCTATTGTCACATTTGTCTGAATCTTCAGAAAAAAAAATAAAAAAAAAAATAAATTAAAAAAAAACAAACCTCCCTTTCTCTATGTTCCTCCTAAAGTCAAACCAATTGTGGCAATAACAAATATTATCAAATGTAATTTAAAAGAGAGTTTATCAGAAGTGTCATGAGGTAGATCTGATTTAAAATTTACTTGTCTAAAATTGAGGTTATTAAGAAAAAAAGGAAAAAAAAAAAATATGCATATTTTATGGTATGTGGATTTTTTTGGGGTTGTTTCTTTGTCATATTTGGGCCATAGTTGTTCAAATAATCACATAACTAATATGTTTAATTGCTATTTTTTTTTTTTATTCCTGACTATTGTTAATAACTCAAATTGGTATTATTAAATTCTTAATATATTAAATATTTAAGTACCACTTAAAAAGAATAATTTGAGTTAAAAATTTAAGTGGAGAATAGAGGACACTCAAACCATCATTATTTTTCATTTTTTACCCGACAAAACATACAAAATACAGTACCACATATAGCCCTTGTTATATATTTTATCATAATGAATAATAATATATTAAAAAATAAACATTTCAAATAATTTTTAAATTATTCATTATGTTTGGTTACATGAAATTAGTGTCTTGAAATTAAAATTGAAGAAAATAAGAAATCGTCGAGTTATTCGGTTTAAAGAAATTTGAAGAGTCATATTTTAAAAGGATATTCTCATACTTAATTCACTCCAGAAAAAAATAAATAAAATCAGAAACATAGACATATGCAGATTTCAAAGGTCCATATATTATTATACTCCCAATACACACAGTTACAACTCAAGAACAAATAGTTAAGCTCTCATGCATACACACTATAGTGTGCTATCTTTAATGTGACACTAGTATTTAGCGGGAAGAGGAATACATACACATAGTTACAACTCAAGAACACATAGTTAAGCTCTCCTGACATACATGTTATTTATTAGTGAGTGCGGCTATTCTCACTTCTATTTATAGAAGTTTACATTTACTATATTTTTCTATATGTTTTCTCTAAGTTGAAGATTGATGGGCCTTCTTCCTTTGTGGGGGCGATCCACCTATACATAGTGGCTCATATGGAGGTCTGTTCTTACTGTTTTGGACTCTCCCTGCACTGGGCCTGACATTTAGACCTTTTGGTTGGTGAGGAACCTAGTCGGTCGGATGTATTGGGCTGTATCTGGCCCGGCTTAGGCCATCGACATTTCTCAACCTTTCACTTGCCCCTTTAATTTCGCCATAATGATTTGGGCGAGATTAATAAGTAATGATGATGACGTGGGTTATGATTAGACGTGACGGCGTGCAAGAATGTGTACGGCCGAGCCTTGTTAATGTGCTTCGGTTTATGAAACATTATGATTGCTTTGACCCCTGATATTTCGATGTGATCGATATCTACGTTTATAAGTTTAAAGTGACTTTGGTACTTTTCATTTGTTGTCACTATCGAACTTTATCTCTGTCATCTCTGTGATCCAATTTTCAAGCACTCCTCCTGCAACAATCTATATCATTTTGCTGTGATTCTCTATTTCGTGCCCTTTTTTCCTTCATTCTTCGAGATTAGTCTTGCATTTCTTCTCTTCTTTCCTTTTTGAGCCTCTGTGTTTGCATATTTCTCTTTTGAAATCATGGTTTTTGACCTTAACGCTCTCCATCTTAGTTGTAACATCCTTGGCTTCAGGTCGTCCGTGAATTATGTTAATTACTTGGATCGGTTACCCCTCGTGCGGGTTAGCCCTTGTAATTCGCCTTGAATGGTCATCTGGGCGATTCTGATCCTTATCTTGGACATAGCTGGCCATGTCTCCTTTTGCAATCAGCATCTCGACCTGTCTCCTCAGGTTTCTACACTCGTTTGTTTGGTGTCCAAAGTCGCTGTGGAACGCGCAGTGCTTGGATTGGTTTCTTTGCTCAATCGGTTATTTGGTTGGTTGAGGCGGTCGGAACATCCCTTTATTCTTTTGATATAGTTGTGGCAAAGTGACCTTGAAGGGGGTGACTATCTTATCATCTCGCTATCTCCTTTCGGTATTCCAAGGCGTCATTCGGGACTGTGATACTGGGGGTCTCTAGGTGATCATCTTTGCTCTCGACTTATTCTTCATCGTGACCATCATTGTCTTCCATGTATTGACTGCTTCGTCTTCCTCGAGTCGTATGTAGCCTTATGCTCTTGAATTGAGTTCGTCTATCGTTTTAGGCGGTGCCACCACCAGGGATGTGTGAAATTGAGTCCCCCTAATCATGGTGAGCTTGAATACCTGTACTGCTGACGATAGATGGCAATTAACCACTATGCTCATTTCCAAATTAAATCTAGTGAGAAAGGCTTGGAGGCGCTCCCCTTCCTGTTGCCTCATAGTGAACAGACATGATGTATCTTTTTCAATCCATCGATTACCGAAATACCGACCTATGAATAAGTCGCAGAGTGCCCGAAAACTACCGACCAATCCCTTCGGCAGGTGCTTGAACCAATTAAGTGCAGGCCAGTGAGGCTTACTGGGAAGACCTTACACATCAAAGCATCATCTTATGTGTCTAGAACCATCTTCAGCTTTATCTGATACACGTGCTCAGTTGGATCTTTAGTTCCGTTAAAGGGGTAATGTTGGCATTGAAACTTTATGGGTTTTGGAGATCTCAGGATCTCTTCTGTGAAGGGTGAATCGATGGCCCGGGTTGACATCCGGACAGCCTCATTGATCATCGGGGGTGTTTCTTGGTCCTGCTGCTGCTTCCCGGTGGCCTTCTGGTCATGAGTGCTCAACTTTTATTGGTGCAAATCGTCGAATGCCTTGTCTACAGTTGATTCTTTATGCCATGAAGGAATAGCTTCAGCGTGCTCCACCTCTTCTTCTGGTCTAGGCATCTAGTGCTGCTGGTCCATATGGACGGATCCTGCTATTTTTGCCCGCCGGTTAATGTTCGTTAACTCTACTTGCTCATCAGCTACCGGTGGGCGGGGGAGCGGTGGAGTTTCTCTTCGTTCCATCCTGGATATAAGCTAGGCATTCTCCATCTGTAAAGTTTCAACTATTTACATCAATTCATCATGCCTCACCCATTGGTCTTCTTCCTGCTAGTGGGAGCCTTCTTCTCTGATCATAGTTTCCGATCGGAGCTGTGTCATTCGTCGCTAAAATCAATGAATCCTTCTGTTCTTTCCAGCAGACGACGCCAAATGAAGATGCAAGAAAATGTTGTTCTATATTAGGAAAAGATTTTTCTTACACTCCAAACAATTAGCTGAGTGCGGCTATTCTCACTTTTATTTATAGAAGTTTACATTTACCTTATTTTCCTATATTTTTTTCTCTAAGTTGAAGGTTGATGGGCCTTCTTCCTTCGCGGGGCGATCCACTTATACATAATGGCTCATATGGAGGCCCGTTTTTACTGTTTTGGACTCTTCTTGCACTGGGCTAACATTTGGACCTTTCGGTTGGTGAGGAGCCTAGTCGGTCGGATATATTGGGTTGTATCCGACCCGGCTCAGACCGATCGATATTTCCCAACCTTTCGATAGAACTCTACAAGCATTATTTTTTTAGACAAAAATACCCTTTTAAATTATCTAGCCTTTATTCTCTATACTCTTTTAATCAATCCATATGGAGATGTGGTGTGTATATATATATAGACACACATACATATACAATAACTAATGTTGTGTGACTAGATTCTGAAAAAAAAAAAAAAAAAAAAAAAAAAAATAAATAAATAAAATCCATACACAAGATGGATTCTAAGATTTTAAAAAAGTATATATGCAAAATTAGTTGTTATATACATACATACATAGATACATGCGTATATATTTATTTTTACAGTGAATGAATTCTTTCCTTTTCTTTTGTTTTCTTTCTTTCTTTCTTTTTTTATTTTATTTTTACAATCCATTTATAGAAGGGTAGCTGTAAAAATAAAAAAAATAAAAACAAAAAGAAACATATATATGACAAAAACAAAAAAGGAAAGAAAAAAAGAGGAAAGAATTCATTCACCCAAAATAGTTGTAAGAAGAAATATATATATAACAACTAATTTTGGTTTTTATTTATTTTATTTTTTTAAAATCTCAGAATCTATTTTGTACGTGTATGAATTCTTTTCTCGCTCTCTTTTTTTTTTTTTTTTTTTTTCATATTCTTTTCTCGTTTTTATTTTATTTTTCCTTCCTTTTATTTTTTTCAGAATCCATCCATCCATCTCTTGTGAATGATTTTTTTTTTCTTCAAAATCCATTCACACAACATTAGTTGTTTTATATATACACACACACATTCTCATATGAATTGATTAAAAGAGGAAATAGAAGAAATTACATAAGGATTATATAATTTAAAAGGATATTTTTATCTAAAAAAATATAATATTTGTAGAGTCTCATAAAAATAAAAAACAAATAACTAATGCATTTAAAATTTAACAAATTCTAACAATGACTTTCCTTTGACAATCGCTTAAACGACTTAGCATTCCTCTTAGCCAAAAATAAAAATAAAATAAATAAAATAAAAATAAAGGTTTTGTAACAAGTGATTAAAACGAAAAAACAGGGATATATAAATGGTATTTCAGATATTCATAGGGGTAATAAAGACACTCAACGTGACAGAGGTGCGTGCCGTCAATATAGACATAAGAAAGGACTTTCCTTGTAATTTTGACAATATTCTGCTAGATATACAAACGAGAGAGAGGGAGTCGAATAGAGAGGGTTTTCGCGAAGTGAGAGAAGAGAAAGTTTTTAAGTTTTATGTATGTAAGCACTAAGCACAGAACAGATTTAGATATATACCATACCGTTAGAGGTTCCTAAATTTTCCTTTTTTTCAAAATCTCAAATAAAACGGTCTCGTTCGGGACCTTCCCGCCATGGTGGCTCAGGTGGAGAGACAAGGTTCTCTCGGTGACCTCGACCAAGACCATTTGGAGAAGACCAAGACCTTGATTTGTGCCCTCAACCTCCTCTCTCGCAACCTCCCTCTTCCCCCAGATGTCTTCGATGCCGTCTCCTCCATCTATAGCGCCGATGCCGACGACGACAATGCCCACAACGCCGTCAGCGGTGTCGCTGTCGCCGGATCCGATGGCGGTGGCGTCGACAAGGTTTGGGTTCGACTTCTTCTAATCCAATTTTGTTCTTTTCTTGGAACTGGGTTTCACTTGTGTTGATGTAATTCGCAGCTTTAGGGTTCTTTAGGGATGTTTAATTTCCCTAGTTATGCGGTTTTGTTTTTGGTTCTTTGTATGTGAATATGTTGTGTTCGTTGAGTTACTCCGTTTTCCCCTATAAAAAGAAAAACTTTATGATGTGAAAGACACTTATTGAATTTTTCATTGTTTCAGTTTGTAGGAGAATTTTTTTCATATAAAAGAACATAGTGATGTGAAAGACACTTCTGGAATTTTTCATTGTTTCAGTTTGCAGGGGAATTTTTTTTTTTTTTTTTCTTTTCATATAAAAAGAAACTTTGTGTTGTGAAAGACACTTCTTGAATTTTTCATTGTTTCAGTTTACTGTTGTACAGTGTTTATTTGTGATATTAATATATGATTGGTATTATTTAGGCTTTAGATCATTGCCTCGTTCACGTTGTGTTCAGTTCTTACTGCACTTAGGAGATAATTTATACAAATTGACGGCTTAGTGCCGTTGAGGATCTGGTACAACGAGTTTTGCTTAATTTAGTTATTGTTAAGTTGCTATGTAATATCAGATATTCGATTTGCTCTGCATAACAAACCTATGCAGGCCAAATTTAATAATTTTGTTCTTTTTATGTGGTTTTGATCCGGAAACATATTGCTGGTGTTGAGCTGATTATAGATAAAAGTTGTTATTCCGTGATTCCAATTTTTTGCCTATGATTTATCTTTTAAAATCCGTGTTAATGTTTGTAATGCAGAATGGTACTGGGATTTTAAATGAAGTAGATTTGTTGGTGGACCTTGAGGATGCATTGGTGAAGCAACGACAATATTGCATGTCAAGTTCTAGGTTGACAGAGTCAAGAGAAAATCGCTTTCAGAGCCACATCCTGCATCGCTTAACTGAACTTGAAGGTTACTATTATTTGCAAAAAACATTTACCTTGTACATAATTGTTTTGTCAAGCCCATTGATGGAATAAAAGAAATCGTTTTGATATTTCGTCAGGTCAATATGATTGAACATGATTGGATCACAGTTTTTGAGTTTTTAACTATGTCAGCAATATACCAGTTGACATTATAGAATACTTTGTAGTCATGGTTCCCAAGTTTTTTTAGCTTGATATTATTCTGTGCCCTTATTTGCATCAGATGGACATGTGAATATGTTAAAATACACAATACCAGTAATGATTTAGCCATTATATGGTGCCTGTAGTTTTGTAATGATACTAATAATGATTTTTTCCTTTTTATTTGGATATTAAGTACTATCATTAATTCATTAACCCCCCCCCCCCCCCCCCCCCCCCAACAAAAAAAAAAAAAAAAAAAAAAAAAAACACCAAATCAGTGATCTTTGTTAGGGAGCATATCGTAATTTCCAAATATATTTACCCTTAAGATTTTTGTGGAGCCCATTTTGTTGAAAGCACAAAATGTTTTTTTAACTCTTGATTTGATAACTTATGGTGTACATTCCTAATTGAGCTGCGAGTTTAAGTTTTAATTTATATATTCTTTTAAGAGATTTCTTATGTATATTTTTGAACCAGAATTGCCTTCAAGCAGAGGTGAGGACCTGCAGTCAAAGTGCTTGCTTGAACTCTATGGGCTAAAGGTAGATTTGATTTTGAAGTATTTTCATGAATTTCTTCTATTGCTTATTTGCGCATGAAGTTTAGATTATTGATCCGAGTATCAGACACAAGGTTACAACTGTCATCTGAATTAATAAAATGACAGATCTTGTTGCACTTTGTGAAATTGGAAATGAGTCTTGCCAAAATCCTCTTTTAGGTGGATGAGAGAAAATTAGTGTTCAGAAACAGTTGGTTAACAGAGAAGACAAACTTGGTTTCATATTTCTAGGTTGCTTCTTGAGAATTTATAAAGATTTGCATGTGAAAGAAAACCAAATGCAGCATATATAATGAATCAATGATTTTACCGATGTATCTTGTGTTTCCTATACATGTGATATGCAGTTAAAGAAGTAATGTTTACTGATGGTTATAAATAAAATATTTCACTTTTGTATAGTTATACTAAATATTTAGAAATGTTGTTTGCTGCATGCGTGCATATGCACGAACGGTGCATGCACTTTTTATATATATTTTTTGGTACAGAGGGATGACACACTTCCGTCCTTGTGATATATATATATTTTTTCAGCTCGTGGAGTTGCAGAGCAAGGTTCGGTCTGCTGTGAGTTCAGAATACTGGCTTCGTATGGCTTGTGCATATCCTGACAAGCAACTGTTTGATTGGGGCATGATGCGATTGCGTCGTCCTCTATATGGTGTTGGAGATGCTTTTGCCATTGAAGCTGATGATCACATGAAAAAGAAACGTGATGCTGAGGTTATTTTGTAGTTTCTTGTTTTACCCTTTTTTGTTTTTAATTTATTTATTTATAGCTCCATAGTCTTCATTTACTGGTAGGGGAATCTTTGCAGTATTGGCCTTCTAACTAGTGATGACTTTCATAGAAGGCTGTTACCTAGTGTACTCCTCGTTAAGTGAGGATGCCGGATGGATGTGTTGGCCTAGTGGGTAAAGAAACCTAATCTTTGGCGTTATTTTTTATGAAGTTGCTGTCCACAGACTTGAACCTGTCTTACTCTTTGTACGATAACTACAGAACATAGTGCTTTACCTTCTAACTAGTGCTTTACGTAATTTTGATTTGAAATATGCAGTCAATGGGGATGAAATTTGATCATAGATAATTGTAGCCATGCAACATCTGTAATATGTTCTTAATGGATGGAAGAGAAAATGATGGCTTCAGACATATTCAATGGGGTCAATATTTGCCCCGAGGGACTCCTAGGAAGGGTCATTGATTATTGATACCAAGCTTTGGAAGTTTATAGATGACACCTTTAGTTTTTGGAATTCAGATTATTGACCATCTTGGCTAAGACGTTTTGCATTCTTAAGTTGCAAATAGACCTTTAATTTCCAGTTCATTAGTGATGTTGTGAACTATCTTTATGCAGAGGCTCTCGAGGTTGGAGGAGGAGGAAAAGAACCGTATTGAAACTAGGAAAAGGAAATTCTTTGCGGAAATACTAAATGCAGCCCGTGAACTCCAGTTGCAAGTGCAGGCTGCTCAGAAACGCCGGAAGCAAAGGAATGATGGTGTTCAAGTATGCTATTTGTTTCTTTCTGTTTTGTTAATTTTTTTTTCTCTTTTGTTTTGTTCGATGCATGGTAATAACATGGCAATTGAAAATCAAAATTAGCTAGAGGAAAGGTGGAATCACACTACAATATTATATGGGAATTATGGAGCAGTGAAAATATGCACGTCAATTTGATTTTTCCTCTCTCTCATTTTTTTTTTTTTAGTTTAAGGAGAGAGGGGGGGGGGGGGGGGGGTGTTTGTGATGGTGGATACAACGATCGGCAGAAAATTTGGAAAATCCCCTTATGGGAAACCAAACATTTTGATAAAATATTGCTTAAAGTTATGTTGTTGCCAGGGAAAGGTAATTATAATGAAATGCAATTCTTACCTGGGATCAGGTTTTCTAACCCGTTGTTTCATCTTTCCTAGAAAAAGAAATTCTGTATTTTCATATTAAAAAATTTCTCAATGCCATCTGAGGACATGCATAAATCCTCTCAGTTGTCGAATAGTTAACGTCAAGCTACGAAAAAAGAGTTTACCTATTTCTCCCTCAAACCTTTTCCTGTCTTGGAAAATTACCGGTATTTTCTTGCAAGATCCTTTATTTTATGGATTTGAACTCATTCTGTTTCTCAGTGTTTGTCTTCCTTATGCAAGAATCTTAAGAGCAGACAAGTTTTGCAAATAGCTTGAGATTTTCTTTTATGTAGTTTCAGAGAGAATTTTATGGCTATTCATAGTTGGTTGTGTCTACATCTGGCAGAAGAAAGGAGAAAGAGGAGGGGAGGGAGAATGAAGGAATATGAGGCAGACTTCTTCTTTTTCTTCTTCCTCTCTCTCCTCCCTCCCTCTCTCTCTCTCCAAAAAAAAAGTGCTGCTTATGTTGCTTGGATCCATTTTAATAATTTATATTAAACAGGCTTGGCATGGACGGCAAAGACAACGGGCTACACGGGCAGAGAAGTTAAGGTTCCAAGCTCTGAAAGCTGATGATCAGGAAGCTTACATGAGAATGGTAGAGGAGAGCAAAAATGAACGATTAACAATGCTTCTAGGAAAAACTAATGACCTCCTTGTTCGTTTGGGAGCTGCTGTTCAACGTCAAAAAGATGCTGAACACGATGGCATTGAACCATTGAAAGGGGCAGAAGCTGAGTTGCCTGATTTGTCTACTTCAAAGAGTGGAACCCCTGGGGATTCACTTCATGAGGAAGATGCGGATGTAGTGGATACCGAATCTGATCCTGGTAGTAAGACGGGTGATCTACTTGCTGGCCAGCGGCAGTATAATTCAGTTATTCATTCAATTCAGGAAAAGGTACATAATGAGATCTTAAATGCTTAGTTACCTCCCCCATACCTTCATCTTACTTTTTAGTGTTTCAGTTTAGTTGGCTCTTATTATGCAGTCGAATTCGTAGTTACCTCTATGAGATTTATCTCTAAATGGGTTTCATTCGCTTTAACAAATGGGTTAATGCAGAAGTTTAACATTTAGACTGTGGAACATTCCTTGGTAGAAATTGGGCCCCTTTTGAGAGGAATCCCATCAAAATAATGGCCTGAATATTGATCCTAACTTGTGTAGTTCGTTTGAATCTATTTTGAACTTTTTTCTTTACCATGCAAAGATGTTATAGATTTGATGGCTGGTCATTCTAACTTAGCTATTTTCTATGATAAGGATCATGCAGTCTTGGGGTTGTGCCACACAAAATGTGGCTTCTATGCCTGCATGCCCTTGTATGTTGTCACATTGTAATTCCTTAAAAGTCAAGCGCAAGAGGCAGTCTCTCAGCTGCTCAACAATTTAGCATTTGTACTCGTAGTATCATGCCTGTATTTAATATTGTAGTGAATTTATATTTGGGTGAAGTTTGAAAAACACCCTCGTGGTATGCATATAGTGCATATTGCACTTGAGGGCCTAACGTCAGTTTACTGTCAACAAAGATTTGAAAAGACTTAAATACTCCACTCACAAATGAAAAAAGAAATAAACAAAAAATAGAAATTGCAAAATGACAAAAAACGGACAACTCAAAAGTTGTGATCTGACTTGCCCTAAAAACCCCAAACCCTGATAAATAAGAGGTACAATATATACATACATATATATATATATATATAAGATGAACATTAGGGTTACAGAGGAGAGAAAATGAACCACGCCTCCTCCTCCTTCTCCATTGTTAAGGTTACAAAGCAAAGAGAAATTGATGTCCTCGCAGTAGCACCCTCTGTACATGAGAGAGAGAGAAATGATGAGAAAGATAGTAAATAACTGGGGAAATCTGTCCAATTTACTATAAAATTCCATGGATTACCAATTATTCACTCAAAATTATCACATTGCTTGAAGATTGAATTTCAAAATCATTGACAAAGAATTTAAAGATTGAAGAGTATGAAGACTTGAAAATACCACCACCATTCACTACTTTGCCAGAATAGAAAAAGGAAGGCTGGAATGCACATGGGTCTTGGCAAAATCAATAGGTTTTCTTGATCAACTGATTCGGTATATAGCTTCAACTTTGTAATGAAGTATGCATTCAGTATATAAAGTTTCTCTGTAAATGTATATATGTATGTCCTTTCCTCTGCTATTTGTTGTATATATACGTATGTATATCACTTGCCGATGCAACCTTCTGTGAGTATTTGATTACATACCATGCATGCAATTGAATCCAACACCAAGTTCAATCACAACAGTATCTTCAATTTGGAAGCTGTAATTCGTCCTAGAGATGGTGTCAGAAGTGGCGATGGCAGACGGGTTTGACAGGGAGTGGAGAGAGAAGATATAGAAAGAGCATGAGGAGAGAAGAGATAGAAGTTGGGTATAATTGAAATTTGTTGAAAAAGGAAAAAGATTGCCTGTGAAGTTTTGAATTGCCTTTAGTTGTTTTGGTTTTAAAAAAATAAAACCTCACATCAATGAGAGAAAATAGTTGTATTGAATTCAGATTGATTGGAAAATTTCTTTGTGTGAGAGAGATTGAGAATGGGCAGAGAGAGAGAGAGATTGCAGAGAGGGGATGGATGGAGAGAGAGCTGAGACTTAAGATTGAAGGAACACGGAGGGAGGGAGGGAGGGAGGGAGGGAGGGAGAATATGCTTGAGGGCATTTTCGAATTCTCGAGTTTTCAGATGTTAAAAATATCATGTGCAACACACTGTTGTTTAGCTGTCATCTGTTAACGACTCACAGACGACAAGACCTTGTTTGCAACATATACAATATGGATTTATATACACAATATAGACTATATGGGTGTTCCGTCACAAAATGTGATCCATAGGGATGATTTTTATACTTTCCGTTTTATATATTATGCAATTTTTAATTGTTCATTCTGAAAGCCTTCGTTCTATTTAAAGCGTTGGATCTAATCAAGTTGTAAGCTCTACAGGTAACTGAGCAACCAACCATGCTTCAAGGTGGAGAACTAAGGACATACCAGTTAGAAGGGCTTCAATGGATGCTATCTTTGTTCAATAACAATCTAAATGGAATTTTAGCAGATGAGATGGGGTTGGGGAAGACAATCCAAACCATTTCCTTGATTGCATATCTCATGGAAAACAAGGGTGTGACTGGGCCCCACTTGATAGTGGCCCCGAAGGCTGTACTTCCGAATTGGGTTACTGAATTCTCAGCGTGGGCCCCTAGGTACGCATAGAAATTTCATTGAAACCTGTTCCTTTTGCTTGCTCTGTATGCCTGGTTATGCAACAGCACTCAAAGTTCACGTTGAAATTATGTATGGATTTTCTTCTTGTTCCAGTATTGTGGCTGTCCTTTATGACGGGCGTTTAGATGAGAGAAAAGCGATGAGGGAAGAGTATGCAGGAGAGGGGAAATTCAATGTGCTGATCACCCACTATGATCTTATTATGAGAGACAAAGCGTTTTTGAAGAAAATTCACTGGTACTACATGATTGTTGACGAGGGACATCGGTTAAAAAATCATGAATGTGCTCTTGCACGGACTCTTGTCACAGGGTAAGCCACATGCATATTTTACATTTCCTATTTCTCTCTCTCTCTCTCTTCCCGGTGAATGCATTTTTTTAACTTGAAACTTGTCCTCTCTACAATCCATTTTTTCATCTTATTCCTGAAATACCCATTGTGGTAGGGGGAAAAGGCCATGTTTAGTAGTTTCATTGCCGTATATTTTGAACCCATTTATATCACAGGCTTGACCTGGCTTGGCCTTTACTAATCTTTGGGTTGTGAAATTCCATCACAGTTATCAATTTCTTTTCAACACTATATTATGGACTAGTTTGTGGGGGCATATAGTATATAAAATTTCCAAGGTTTTTAGTTTGTAGCCTTTGCCTTTCAGAATACATTAGGACACTTAATACTCCAGTCAATACTGGCATCCTGAGCATTGATCAGGTGACAGTGATGTTTAATCTATGAAACCTCTCATATCTATTTCTGTTTATTATTATTATTATTTTAAAATTATGGCAGTATCTTTTGTAATTCTTTCTAGTGCAGTTTCTGAAGCCTAATTTGACAGGGTTCTTATATCTTTGATGGAGCTTATATATAGAGTTGTAATTCTATTCCTATATACGTGAAGTGGTCCAAACTGAATATGAATTCCTAGCATTTGAAGCCATTTCCTTTATTATAACTAATTGCATTTTGGTAGATAGAGTTTATGTTCCATGGTCTCAGGTATTTGTATCAGGTGTCGGTGTGTGTATAATTGTCAGATCTCTCCCTGAGTCCCAAATCTTAGAATTTGTTTAACATAAATCAAATGGGATGTGATCAAATTTGAGATTCTCCTTCTTGCATCACATGGAGAAATTCTCCATTTTGGGTTTGTGTGGCAAACAGTTGTCCTGTACCCAACCATATCATCTCATCTCGACATGGGTATGTTGTAGGGAATAGGAGAGTCGATGTAAGACGATATAAGGTCATATCATGTATGAACATGACTATCACCATCATTATGTCATTGGCTTGAGAAATTTAAGCTTACGTGGATGTCACAATCATAAAAGAACTGTGATGGTATTGAGCTTTAATTTTTCACTTTGTTATCTTTCAACTATCTAAGATTAGAAAATTTTATCTGCAATTGGATTAAGATATTCTGGACCAGTATAAAAATGCAATGGAGCAAGGGAATATAATAGCATAACTCTAACAATGAAGCAACCACAATGGGGAATCTGGAAAGCTGGAGACTGTGAATGAGAAATCTAGAGTTGATTTAGGGATCCTTTGTAGGTTTTATATTCTATTTTGTGCTTTCTTTATTCCTGTTTTTCATGTTGATCTACCTTTGCTTTTGCCTTTTGATTTTTCATAGAAGTACTAATTAGTTACAGTTTTTGACAATCAATTGCCTCAAAAGGCAAAAAAACAAAGTTGAAAGAAAGACTTAAGTAATTCAAAGTGAAAATCATGACAGAAATGACCATTTCATCAATTTAAAACAGAATAAAGTTGCAATTGAACTTCCATTCAAATTTTACCATGGTAGATAGCCACTTGCCCAAAAAGCTTGAGTTGTTGGGGAATGAGTCGGACAATGTATATCAAGGTTTGACACCCTCTTTCGCATGCGACCCGTTTCCTGAACATGGACAGGTAGGCAACAGACAGAATAGGAGAACTCTTTCGCGTGCGACCCGTTTCCTGAACATGGAGAGGTAGGCAACAAATAGAATAGGAGAACAAGTGTCGACGGAAAGATTTGAACTCAAGACCTTCCCTAAATAAAATTTCTATACCATATTAGAAGCAGAATTCTGCATATCTTCAGTTCTTGGAAGTTAGTAACCACCAAGCCTCTAGCTCAAGCGGTATCTCCTCTTCCTCTCACCTGGTAGTTTAAGGGTTCAAGTTCCCATGGGCATGGGTGTGTTCGTATCTTTCCTAAAAAACTAAAAACAAGAAAGAAAAAAAGAAAAGAAAATACTGTACAGTTGAGTCAATGACGCGCCCTTTCAGTCTGAATTAGAATAAGACCTCTACAGAACAAGAAGAAGAGCCTCAAGTCTCTACTATTACAATGACTTTCTGGTACAATCCCTCATTGATTCTAATCAAAGGAAGCAGCAACGAGAAGCGTGCTTGTATAGCCTACTGAACCTCCTTTTGATGAAGAAAATGCCCTATTCAATGTGCATTGGTCCATCCTTTTGAGGACGACTGGTTAAAATGAAATATATATCACTATAGAAGAATGTTAAGCTTAGTTGACATTTTGTGGACTGGATAGACTAATGCAATTCTTTTTAGTTTCAAGTGTAATATGCAACTGTTAAGACAATATGGTAATAATGTGGTGGAAGTGGCTTCCATAAGTGAATAGGAGATAGGAAATAGATGCAAACCTGATTTGAGAGATACAGAAACATTGGCTTCAACTCTAATATATTATGGATCATGCAATTTCTGCAATCACGCCTAGAGGAAACATAGATGATTATTTTTTTAATTTTTGATCTTCTGTATTGGCTTTTGTAGGACTTATAAAAGTTCTGTAGATGCTGCAAAGCCTGTATATTAAATGTAGATGGAGTTCGTTTTTTTATTCTTTTCCCAAAACCAAAAAAGTAAGAAAAAAGAAATTCGTTGTTTTTTATTGTGTCCTATTATCTAATTTCTGTCACCTATATTATATAATATTCTTGCAATATTGATTGTCATGTCTACAATCCTGCATGTTCTTTCAGATTAATTTCCTCAGGCATTCTAATCTAAGTTGGATATGTTTTTATAAGAAAATAAGAGGGGCTCTCTAACTCAATTTACTCTGTATGCAGCTATCGGATTCGACGTAGACTTCTGTTAACTGGTACCCCGATACAGAATAGTTTACAGGAATTATGGTCCCTGCTTAATTTTCTCCTTCCTAACATTTTTAATTCCGTTGAGAACTTCGAGGAGTGGTTTAATGCACCCTTTGCAGATCGATGTGATGTTTCTCTGACAGATGAGGAAGAGTTATTGATCATTCGTCGTTTGCATCATGTATGTGTTCACTCCTAATGCATCTTTCTTGTTCTTCTCCTGCACTTCCTTTTGAATCCATTTTATTTATTCTCAGGTTATAAGGCCATTTATATTAAGGAGGAAGAAAGATGAGGTGGAGAAGTTCCTTCCTGGGAAAACGCAAGTCATACTGAAATGTGACATGTCATCATGGCAGAAAGTGTATTACCAGCAAGTCACAGATGTAGGGAGAGTTGGACTGGATACGGGTAAGTAGTTTCTGCCCTTAAACTATGTTCTCTGTTTGGTGATTATTATAAATCCAACATACAAAGAAACTAATTGTTTGTGTAAGTGATGATAAAAATCTTAAATTATTCATCTTCAGTCAAGTGCCTAAATATATTTCTAACATGGCATCTCTCTCTCTCTCTCTATCTCTCTTGTGATGTTGTGGACTGAATTTTATGCCGGGTTGCATTGCGACCTGTTGGATGAGCTTTGTGTGGGCCCAAGCCCACCAAAGATTTGGGGGCAAGGCCCGAGGAAAATTTTGACCCGTTTTTGGCTTGTGGGTCGTGGACCCTAATTAGTACTCTTGTAGCCCGATATATAAGGGCACTTAGGGTTTGGAGTGTATGATCAAGAGACTCTCAAAATTGTACAGAGAGAGAGTAAGGGGCTGAAACTTGTAATTTCCAATTTTACACATAGTGAAGACTTTCGCTGGATCTCCACCATGGACATAGGCTTTGCCGAACCACGTATAAATCTTTGTGTGGTGTGTTTATTTTTATGTCGTGTTTCGTAATTGTTGCTTGGTTCGCTGCGTTTGTCGTAACATCTCTCTATCGCACAACACACTCACAAAGTTCCATGATACATTCTAAACAAAGTTCCATGATACATTCTAAACAAAGTTCCATGATTCATTCCAAGGGTTGTGGGCTTGTGGCAGCATTTTAGAGATTGGATATTGCTTAGAAATTTCAGAGTCTACACTTCCAGTTGATAAATGACTGTTAGACTAAATGTATAACAGTGTTCATAAATTTGTTGTAAAGTGGGAGCTCCGTTCATTTTGTTCACAGTTTGTACAATGGTAGAATAAAGTTCATTGTCAAAGCTCATCAGGTAGTGATTACTGGGTTGTCATTTCCATTTTTTGAAGATGTCATTAACCTCATCACTGTATTTTAGCTTTGGTAAAACTATCATTCTGATTGTTATTACGTACTGATGATTTTTCTCATGCTTATTAACTTCTATTCATCAATTTGGAATTTATAGTTTGCTGAAAAAAATGCTAATAACTTCTATTCATCAATTCAGGATCTGGGAAGTCAAAATCTCTTCAAAACTTGTCAATGCAGCTCAGGAAGTGTTGTAACCACCCATACCTGTTCGTTGGTGAATATAATATGTGGCGCAAGGAGGAGATTATCAGGGCATCAGGGAAATTTGAGCTACTTGATCGTTTACTCCCCAAACTTCAGAGAGCGGGCCACAGAGTCCTCCTTTTCTCGCAAATGACCCGACTCATGGACATTCTTGAAATTTATTTGCAACTTCATGATTTTAAATATCTTAGACTTGATGGCTCGACAAAAACTGAGGAAAGAGGGACGTTATTGAAGCAATTTAATGCTCCGGACTCTCCTTTCTTCATGTTTCTTCTGAGCACCCGTGCTGGAGGCCTTGGCCTGAACTTACAAACAGCAGACACGGTGATAATTTTTGACAGTGACTGGAACCCCCAAATGGACCAACAGGCAGAGGATCGGGCACATCGTATCGGGCAAAAGAAGGAAGTCAGGGTTTTTGTGTTGGTTAGTGTTGGATCAATTGAGGAGGTAATCTTGGAGCGTGCAAAACAGAAGATGGGCATTGATGCCAAGGTCATCCAGGCAGGACTATTCAATACAACTTCCACAGGTTTGTCCTTACAGACGATTTTTTTTTGCTATTACTTAGTTATGTTTGTTGCATATTAAACTTTTTTACACAGCGAGGACATTTAAGTAGTAGATGAAGTAGAAAGAATGTTATGGCAAACACCTGCCGTGATTCTCTGGACCTTGTTGCCAACATATAATAGGATAGACTTTAGATTGCTTGTACTGTGGTTTTCTCTCTTTTTGCCCTTTAGGATTCCCTTTTAGAGACTATTTTTTCATCATACATATATCTAACCTTTATTGGGTCTTTGCCTGCGTTAAGGCAACTTTTGTCTCTTCCAACATGACAAGCTGATATTGAACAATTTCTCTTCTACCCGTCCTCCTTTCGGATTAATCGACAACAGAGTTAAGTAGTTCATCTTTGTTAATGCAGCACAGGACAGAAGAGAGATGCTGGAGGAGATAATGCGTAGAGGTACGAGTTCACTTGGAACGGATGTGCCAAGCGAGAGAGAGATCAACCGTCTTGCAGCCCGATCAGATGAGGAGTTCTGGCAGTTTGAGAAAATGGATGAGGAGAGGAGGCGAAAGGAGAATTATAGATCTCGTCTCATGGAAGAACATGAGGTACCAGATTGGGCATATCCTGCACCTGATAGCAAGGAGAGTAAGGGCAAAGGATTTGACTATGAGAGTGCCAACATCAGTGGAAAACGACGAAGAAACAGGGTTGTTTATGCTGATACGCTTAGCGATTTACAGTGGATGAAGGCCGTGGAAAATGGAGAAGATTTCTCAAGGCATTTGGTTAAAGGAAAGAGGAGGGAACATCTTCCTGTCACGGGAAGTGAATTGACTAATAATAATACTGGAGAGAAGAAAGTAATGGAGTTGAAGAGTGAAAATATATCGATTGTGAGTGAGGGAACAAGTGAAGATACCTTTGGTTTGACCCCAGAAAGATTCAAGTCCGAGGCAGTAAATTCCCAAAAAAGTGAAGATAAGGATGTTGGAGAGGGCAGTTGGAATGGACACATCTTGACGTGGAAGCCCCATAAAAGGAAGAGATCAAGCTTAGCATCCTGAGTTCATAAAAAAGTAGAGGTTAGAATACTAACATCGGATCGGACGGGATTGAACAGTCAAAATACTGTAGCGGTGAAGGGATTTGATTATCTGATCCCCTTGGAGCGCCTTCAGATTGAAACTTTAGATGCTCATTGCTTGTATGTGGAGCTCTGCGTTTGGTTGTGGTGGCCTATTAACCTGCTCCTCTTTGGTGTGGCAAATCATGAAGTGACCCTCTCGCGTAAAAGTGCGGCCGTGCCTTACCATCCTCAACTATTTCCATTAGCTCAGATTAACTTAGAAGTTGTAAAATGTCTTTCGCACATCAGTGGCCATGTAAAATTATCCAATTATAAATTGATATATATATTTTTTCATTTTCCCTTTTTTCATGGATTGCGTGAACCGGAATCTTGTGTTCTGGTTTCAAGCCACACGGGAAAGTGGCGACTAACCCTAGAACAAGAGAACATGGATCATGGTTAAACAGCTTGCAATGGTTGCATAAACAGAACATGCTTTAAGGTGATCTCAACCTTAAAAGATTTTCCAGACTCAATTGCAACCATTGAGAGTTGGTAGCTGTAATAATTGTTAACTGTGTTTTTGACATATGCTAGAGAGAGACCTGGTGAGATTATACTTTATAGGGTTTAACCTCAATAATGTTGTTGGGAGACCTTTTCTTTGCTATATTACCATGGCCAACCTCTAAAATTACATACATAGAAATGGTCAAGGTGAACAGGTTGCTTCTAATGCAAACCTAAAAATTTGATTTGTTTCTTTCGAGTTGGGTGTAATTGGGTTAAACATGGAAAAGTATTTGATGAAATGCCTCATAAAAATGCTGCAACTTACCAATGGTGAAGCCTCACATTTGTTTGTTTGATGATGCTATAATGAATTGTGCAGGTTAAATTATTAATGTTTAAAACCTCTCTCGTACCAAACATACTTTCAATTATAATTTAAAATACTATATAATAAAATATTGCTTCTGGTATATGGTTTGGGTCTGCCATTGGGCCTGGGCTGTATTTTATTTTCTTGTTTGGCTTCGGCCTCCTTGTACATATTTATCCAAAATTTATAAAATTATTTGACTTTCGAAAAGGAAAAAAAACAGAAGAAAGAACTTGAATATATTTAGGTACGTAAATCACATTAAGTATTAATATTTAATATAAATCAATAACCATTTTATTTTTTTGGATTAAAAATACAATTCACAATATTAACTTTTTCTTCGATAGATAATGAACATATATATTTTTCTATTTAAAACAAAATTATAATTTTATATGAATAAGCAAGTGAAGTCTGTGCATTAAGCTTTATGTTTACTTGAAGACGAATTATAAGACGTGCCCAGGCGCATGGAACTTCTTAGTTCAAAGGAAAATCACATACTTAACGACAATGTTATTTTGTTGATGTTTATTGTCTATAATAGTGTGTAATTTATTTATATATGTATACATGTATAGCGTGATTAGTGTCATATAGTTTGTTTAAATTTAGAATTTCTTATAATATTATAAGATTTTAATTACGTTGAGTACTGCACGCGTCTTTTTTGCTAATATATATATATATATATATATATATATATATATATATATGCATGACTTAAATTAAAATTTCTTATGAATTTTCTTTTTTAGTTGATACTCACATACACATGTTTCTTTTAAGACTTGAACTCCTGATCTCCCATTGGGAAATAAAAGATTGATACCGCTAGGTCACTGACCTGCTAATAATTTCTTATGATATTAATTATAATTTTTTTTTTTTTATGATAATTATACGAATTTAATCACCTGCATTGTAGGTGTGTTTTTTTGCTAATATATAATATATATACGCTGGCGCATGACCATATGAAATGTTGATTTCTTTTCCCGCTTAAGATGGTTTTATACCTAATCACATGAAATGTTGAACCATCATAATAAACTCTGATCTCACCTCATCCACAAATCTTTTAGGTCAAAAACATGATACACATGTCTTGTTCGTGAACCATTGCCTGACCAATCACCCTTTTGATTCTCAAACAAGCCATTGCATTGACCACTTCATTACCATGCAAAATTAAATAAATACATGCAATATATACTAATAATACATATATTTACCTGAAAAAAGAAAAGAGAAAACACTAACAATAGGGAAGAGATGTAACTGCTTTATACCAAAAATAGGTCAAATGAACCCTATAAATCCACCCCTCAACCACCATTGTATCTCCACAAGACAACACTGTAATCAATTGATCCTAGGTGTGATTTGTGATAATTGTTATCGTATATACGAAGTCACACCTTGATCAACTCATATTCATCATGGACATGAAGATGATGATCTACTGGGTAGTCCTCGTCGTTGCCTTGTGCATGAGCGAGGCCATGGCCGGCGACAAGGACAAGAAGAAGAAGAGCGATGCCACCACCGCCTTGCCGGTTCTCGGTCTTGTTGCCGCCTCCCTTTTATCCTACATTGCCTTCTTCCTGCACTAAATTAGCTGCAGATCATACAGAAGTCACCATTGCAGCAACAGATTCCAACAGATGGGGAGTGAATTAATGTTTTATGTAATTACCATTTTTTGGTATTAGGAGCTCCCATGAGTTCCTTTTCTCTATGGTATAATTGGAATAATATATATATGTTGCAATGAAATAAAATGATTTATTTCTTAGTATATGGTTTTGCTTCATGCATGATATATATATATATATATATTTTTTTTGATAACCGGGTGTTTAAGACTTTGTCTTGATTAATTCACGGGATTCGTGTAAGGCGATCCCACACGGATTGAGTAAAATTCAAACTATGTCCGCGATCGTTGTCCCAAGAAATTACTTATACTTGAAGAAAATCAAACTTGAAACCTGAAGACTTCATTCATGATATTTTCCTTCTCACTTTTCATATATACATCTTACACATAATAAACACACATGGAGAGAGCAATACACACACATGGTCCACATGGAGAGAGCCGTACGTAATTGGTAAATACTTTAGCAAAATTGGAGCGATGGTTTTCTTCTTCAAACAGCTTTTTCTTTTTTTTTTTTTCTCTTCTTTTTTTTATTATAAAAAATAATGTTTTCAACACAGAAAAACAAAGAAGAATAATCAATGTTAAAAGAAAATCATTAATAAACATACACGAGATAATATCATGTAGACATGTATAATTTTTCCCTTTTTTCTAATCTTATCTTCTTCAATCTCACCAAACAGTTGAGTCCAAACTTATATGGATTGATCATCTGATAAATAATTAGGTATTGTTAGGTACACAAACATCGAGAGATACTATGAATAATGATTGTAATTTTTGTCTATGGTAAAGAATCTATCATATTAAAAAAAAAAAAATCACAGTTGATTATTATAATTTTTTATTTATTTTTTAAATTAAAGCAAATGTACACAATCATATATTGGTTTAGCGGGACTTAAACTCTCAAATTCTCTTTCAAATTATAGAGATCATTCCATCATATTTTATTGCTTCAAATACACATAAGATGATATTATTACACTTTACTATCATTCAGTACTATGCCAAAGAATCTTCAATTTACTTGCGATTGTTATTCTAATTCTATCAGGTTTAAATATAATTGCAATGTTGATGCACATGTGTGTATATATCGGAAAAATGTTTTACTAATTTCTTAGCGTAGACAGGAAGAGAAGATGAGTACTAGACTATAAACATCAATTAAAACAAACAACTGTCTGGGTGGTGTAGTCGGTTATCACGCTAGTCTCACACACTAGAGGTCCCCGGTTCGAACCCGGGCTCAGACATTTTTTGTATCTTTATTTTTCATATATATATTATGAATCGTGAAATACTTTTTTTTTTAATCTTTTTCTCCAATATTATATTCAAAGAATTGGAAGCAGATGGAAGTGTTTTTGCTTAGGAAAGAATGTACGTATATTATTAGCATATCGTAGCGTTTTTGCTTAGGAAAGAATATGTATACATAATATACGAACACGTATACGAATCAAACCAAATACACAAATTGACTGGAGCAGACTAATTTTTTTTTTGTTGGGGGGTAATTAGATTAGACTGTATTTATTCTCTCCTAAAACATCTACCAAATAGAACAAACAATAAGGAAATAGAAATATAATCATGATTGGTGAAAATATCCACAAGATTTTGCATCTTGATTCTTGAATGAAGGGTTCGAAGATTAAGGTTTTAGGAATCAAGGTTTTTTTTTTTTTTCAAGCAGCCCATTTGTCAATGGATATAAATATGAGCTCTTTATTTATTAATCAATATATTAAAATAATTTTTAAAATTTGTGAAAAGTAATGAAAAGGCTAAATCTGCCAATCAACTATCAATTCAGAGAACTCGTAACTTTTATAATGAAAAGGTTTTCGATTTTAATATCAAAACTAAAATTCTAATGCACAAAGCATATGCTAAAAGTTAAAAACTTGTGAGATTGTAGTCCACCATCATCCAACAAGCTGCCTTTGATGCAATCAGGTTGAATTGATAAAATATTTCAAGATGCACGTCATGAAATATATATATATATATATACATATATTTCATGACGTGCATATATGAAAAGTATTAGGATAAAAGCACACACACTCAATGAAGTTTTTATTTTGTTACCGAAGAAAACTATATTAATGTGCCAACACCCCAAAGTTAACCTGTAAAATGTCAACTTTGTCACTCACTTTTTTTTTTTCTTTTAATTTTCAGTTTTTTTTTTTTTTAATAATATTTTAATGATCAACAATGATCATGGCTTCCGTCTTTTGCAGATACTAGCTTGGCCTTCCTGGTTTAGTGAAGTCTTGTGCTCTGATCGTACTTCTGCTGCTTCTTAATTAAAGTTCTCCTGATTAAAAAAGATAAGGAAGAAAGGAAAAAAAAGCCAAATACACAAATTGAAAATAGAACACGCACATGTAAGATATTCTGAAGAGCGCGCACACTAATTTAAGTGGAGAAAAGAGGCCAAGCGCTTTATCATATTTTTTGCAATCTCAGTTTCTGGATTGCGGATATGAAACCCATGGTCTCCTCCTTCCACTTCATACAGCTCCACTTCTCCTCCCCATCCGCTCTCTCTCACTCTATCATAATAATGAATTCCTCTGTCTTTCGAAATGTCTTTATCACCTACACACACGAGAAGCCGAGAACACCCAAGCCCCGACAAGCTCGGTGCTCCAGGAGCAAACGGATTAATCATCGGATTGTCTATACCATCAAGAGCTGATGGATACACAAATTTCCAAACACGGCAAATCATATTCTGCTGATGCCCCGTGCTCGACTCTGACCCTATAGGTTTTGATCCCCAGAAGAAAGGAAGAGAAATAAAAGTGCCCAAAACTTTCACATCACCGTGCAAGCGTTCAACACCTGCACGCATGGTTATATTATGTGCAATGTTAGCCCCTGTAGCATCGCCGCCTATGAAGATTCGATCAAAATCGCCATGGTTAACTAGCCATTGCTCTTTACCTATGTTCTCTCCACACTTGTGTGAGGAGACCCATTTGAGAGTAGCCCAGGAGTCTTCATAAGCTGCGGGGAGAAGGTGTTCTGGGGCTGACCTAAATTCAACTGATACTGCAAGAACTTTGGCTTGGGAGACTAAAAGGTTAATGTAACGGTGGTGAAGGAAAGAGAAGGCAGATTCAACCAAAAAGCCACCGCCATGGAAGTAGACCAATATGGGAAGTTTTTCGTGGTGGCTGTCTGTAAGCTTTGGGAGGAAAAGCCGAGCTGAGACATCCGGGGAGATGGAGATGTCTTTGGATGAGACACCGGTGCCTGGGTCATCAAGTGTTGGTGGGACATATGGAGAACCTACAAGTCGCTCAACGGTGCCATCTGTGTAGACTCGGAAGAACGGAAGAAACTCAGTGACCACCTCCTTAGTGTTTGAAGCCATTACACACACACGGACATATATATATATATATATATATATAGAGAGAGAGAGAGAGAGAGAGAGAGAGAGAGAGAGAGAGAGCGATCCGAATACTCTCAACCAAAGCAAAAGAATGGGTATGAAGCTTGCTAGGATTATTCCTCATCAAAGATTCCAAACATACAATTTTCTTTGAGCTTGTCTTCTATTGCTGTTGCATCAGCTCTTCACCTTGTGACAACAGCTTCAGACAAGCCCCATTCACAAGTTGCACAACATAATCACCTTACAAGAACATTATTGAACCACTCCTTATAAAAAAATAATCAACCTCAGATGCAACAAAATTCCTTATCATCATCATCAAATATTTTAATAGGCAGCGTCATTGTTAGATATCCTTTTATTATTTACCATATTATAACAGTCAGACATTCCTAAGCAATGTGATATACATTGGTGGAATATAATATATATGCACATGTATCTCTTCTAAGGTGTTGATTAAAATCATGGCCAATCAACAATAGATCTTTGTATATGTCATCTCAAACCAAGTGAAATGGAAACCTTGGAAGACCGGACCAGCAGAATTTATGAGCTAAATGCAAAGGTGAACGAGGAAAAGGCAGACTAACGCAAATATTGAACCACCACGATAGTAAACCTACACCGCAAACTTCTCACAGAGCTTCCAGATATGAAAGTTTGAGTTATCCAGCATAATGTTTGGGTCATCGAACATTATGGGGACGTGAGCTTAAGATGTTCTACTGAGTATCTCTGCAGACTCATAATATGACAAGCTCAACTGCGACTACTGTTTTAGAAGACATCTAGAGAAAACCGCATACTGGATGGGGTAGAAATATCGAAAATCTGATACATGTAGCTCAATCACAGCACCAAGGGGTAATGGTGTTCATGCCCTGGACATCCCCCACCCAAGACAATATGACCCTATGAATAAAGCAATAAACATAATAATGGTCCTGTATTAACCTTGTACTACAATTCAGTTTAATGGTGATGAATGAGTCTTCTATCCTAATAGGGTTTTCAAAAATAATTATAATGGAACTCACTACAATGACTCCCTGTGGTACTTAAGACAAAATTTAAAATGAATGGCTCTACTGCAAGTACTCAACTATGAGGAACATATGACAACAGCAACAACAATCCTACCTGACCTTGCGCGTGAATACCTGAGATCCACCGAGATAGACCAACAAATAACCTGCTAGTGAGGCCTACTTGAGGACTCTCATAAAGGCCTACTTACGAACTCTCACATATCTGTACATGGAAAATGCAGCAAAATTATGAAAAATCTATATCGAAGAGCTGCCTCGCAAATTTCCAACCCAATTACAAATTAAGTACTATGATAACTAGACAAATAGCAATTAGCAACTACTTCAGTAACAGTCATCTTAACATGTTAGGAAACTACAGCCCACACCTTAGCAATACACATTCCAGGTTTATTTAAATCACTAATAGCATTCAAAAGGTTCGTCTCCGAAATCATGTCATAACAAGCCATCCAGGACTCTTCATACTTTACATAGCAAAAAAGTTGCAACTTTATATTTCATCCTATATGAAGTTCCACCTACCAGTTTCAGACATCCAGGATGACTCTTGCATCACCTTCTGACAAAACTAAGCATCATGCAATCATCAAAGTACATATCATGACAAGTTGTCTCACATTCTCTACCAGGAATAGGTCTCCACCCCTCAGCACGCTGTACACTGCATAATACTAGCACAACTTGCAACTTACAACCACCTTCTAGGGCTCAGGACGGGATGTTCTGACACCATTGAAACCTTATCCACTAATCTAAAAATCCACAAAAGTAACAACAATGAAAATGGACTTTACTACTTTTACTTGGATATCAACAAAGACATAATTAAGGCAATTTATAAACCTTTAATACTCAATCGATGCAACGAGCACCCAATCCATAAAGCAGTAAACTATTAACACGAGATTAAATCAACATATGTGATAGGAGATACACCTGCCCAGCCAAGAAAAATAGCATTGAAATTTGACTGATCCAAGTCATATGATTCTCCAACTCCATGAATGTCATTGGTCAAGATTGAATGGATAAATTAGAGTTATACACTAACTTATACCCTTAGCAATAGAATTTCTTTTTATTTATTTATTTTATAAACAAGCCACAAAACCTGCTAATAAAAGGCTTCGTAATTGTTCTCTTTGTAATAAACATGTCTTTAGCAATGAAAACTAAGGTATAAAAAAAGGAATGGAGAGTAAGCCTTACGAGTATATATTTTAGGTATAAATTTTGACACACACTAAGTTTTTCTTTTTGCCTTTTATTTTCTTTCTTTTTATTTATATATATATTGGTGGGGGGGGGGGGGGGGGGGGGGGGGGGGGTGGATTAAACAAATAAGTTGCAAAAAAGAAAAAGAAAAAGAAAAGGAAAAGGTGGCCCAGATAATAATTATGTGTTTTGCTTAAAGCGTAATTTCTTTTTGAAACCATGTTTTTCCATACCAAAGAATAAATCGCTGCAAAACAATCAATATGAAGACATGTCAACGCAAAACAACAAAAAGATGTGTTTTCAGTTATCAACATTTATTTTGAACCCATAATACATTTGATCACTATAATAGTCACAATGAGTAAAAATTACAATGGATGGTCCTAGCAGCCAGCAATATCTAAAAATATGAAACTACAGGAGGAACTCACAGTGTTTACAAGCAACAGAACTCTAGCTTAAGAAGAAAATTTAGATCCTTCACTTGCTTGACAACAGCGAGATCTACCACTTTATGTACATCGTACTCCGTTAGAAATCAAGAATCAAAGAGCAGCAATCTACAGCCGCAAGTTATATGGGTTAGACCTAGTAAGTGCTTTAATAAAGTAATTGCGGATCTCTGGTATTATGCGCTGGACCAGTTGAAAGTACCTGCAAAATTTTAACGTGGATAAAATTTTAGCAAGCAAAGTAAACAATATTCTAATCCATAGTCCATGTCACTATCAATATTAAGTTTTATATTATAAAATCTAAGACTATTAAAAATGATTCCAAAATTGATGGTAATAATGCAAGATGGTGATTCTCATGGTGTTTGACATAACAAAAGTCAAGAGAGGTCCCTTTGTTGATTCATTTTAATTTTTAACAATATTAAGCTTGCTTTATCACTGCTCATGAGATTTAAAGCAAATTATGGAACACAAAATCCAAACTATAGATGATTACTTATTTGGTACTTACTCAATCTGATTGTCATGAAAGAAACTCAAAAAGTATTTTCTTTGCTTTTTCCAAGAACCATTTTCATATATTGTCAGATCATATTTCATACATATAATATAACTAAAACAATAATAGATGATACAAGTTCATCACTTGACCATGAAGCAATATCATGTCCATATCAAGTGTTTTGACAAGACAAGTCAGTCCAATGTGGAGGCAATATGAGTATAGGGAAATATGGTCACAACATCTACAAAATAGGGGAGCTACGGACCTACAGTCATAATATCTATGAAATAGGGACAATGCGGTCACTAATAACACTTTCAATCTTCTCTTTTTTTCAAATGGAAGAAACAGAGAGAGTGAGATAAGCTCCAATACAGGCAAGTTAGAGAGGGAGCACACACCCGGGCCTAGCACTTAGGTTATCAAACTGCTCCAAAATATACAGGATGCATGTGTGTCTCAATGAAATAGCGTGGAAGGCTTCTGATAGCTCGTACATGCTTGAAACATTTTCCAACGATATATCCTGAATAGAAAAGTAAAAGCATAATCAGAAATCCATAGATTCAAAAAACCTATAAAGGTACTTGAAACATATAAGTGTGCACGCGCACCACTTCTTAGCTCACCTGTGCAATGGTATACTCACAAAGACGCTTGAGTCCCTCCAAGAGATACTGATCAGCAGCTCTGAGGAGATCTTGTGCAACATCCAATGTAACATCTACGGATCCTGTGTATATGAATCTGCAATAAACAAATGGCTAGTAAAATACCAAGCTCATTGGACATATTTTAGTTAAACTGAAATTGTAAAGGCTTTTCAACCTCATCATCAGTTCAAAGACTTCCCATCTTATGTTTGGAATCTCTATGTCTCTTGCATCCTTCTCCTGCAATTCATGTAACCAGAAAACAGAAAATGAATGTCTACATAAAAAATTTACATCTTTTCCTACTAGTATCTGTACTTAATAGTTTTTCAAACATATTCAACAAATAGTTTCAATACTCTGTGTATTAACAGTCATGTTTTTAATTGGGAGTTAACAAGAAAAATAAAAACAGATAACAGAAACTCCAATTCATTAGACGTAAAAAAAACAAAAACAAAAAATAATTCTGATCTCAACTGTGAACAAAGGGATAACTCAATCATACGGTAGCGTGCCTCAGTGAGAGAGAGAGAGGTTGCTACTAAAAACCTTCAGATGCAGACTCACCCGATAACCACCATCAAACATTGCACGGAATGCATCTGAAGAAGCAAGTAGGCAAATTCGATGGGCATAGAAACGTTTACCTAATATGAGGAACATGAAGGCAATTCAGTGACCAAAGAGGAAAAATGATAGATAACTTGTACATGACTGTTAAATAATATACATATTTTGAAGTACATATATAACAGATTTACACAACCAAAAATTGAAAAGGAGAAATTATGATTCACAACCTTCAACTAGAAAGATAACATCGGACAACGTAGCATTGTTTACGAATTGTTCCCCCAAATACACCTGCAGTAAAAAATGTCTGTCATGATAGGCACCTAATTATTGTACTACATGTCACATTTAGATAATAATTTATTCACATATAAGTACAATTCAGGAGAGACAATATAACGGTAGGAAACAAAAAGTAGTCATTTTAAGAAAATATATTTTGATTCAAGTAAGCTGTGTAAAACATCAACCATTCAGGGGAGCATTGGACTAGACATCCTATAAACAACACCTAATGATAAAACAATGCTTCCATCAAGTATTTAGCTTTTTGGTTCACCTATTAAAAGTGAATGATGCTATGAAATTCCAAACACTCAGCTACAGGGAGTCACTATAAAGAGTAGACTAGGCAAAAGGCATAACAATTGGCATGGTTCGTAAAAATAAAAAAAAAAACAGCTGTCCTCAAACCGACAGCATGTTTTCTCACACTTGACAGTCCAAACATCTACAACTGCATCAAGCAGTGGCCCCTAAAGTTAGCTTAACTTTATGCATGTTAAACAGTTGAATCAACTCCAAATCATGCTAGAATACATTAAATTTTAAAAAATATACAATATAAAAAATTTCAAAAGTTCTTGTTTTTCTCAGGTTTCAACCAGGAAGAAAAGATGAAGATCCTTTAAACTAATGGTAATTGGCAATGACATGTTACGCATTGATTGATTTAGAGAAGGAAATGCCTCCAAACTTAAATTAAATGGGGATAGTAGTGACAGAATTGTTTTCCTTTCTTTCAGAGGCAATTTGAGTGTTCAATCCACTTGCAAAAAACATGAAATTAAATTTTTTTTAAAAAAAAGGGTATTCAATCCATCTGGGATACTCTCAGGCCTAGAAAGAGCCTAATTGCTGGTTTCATGCCATTTGGTTCCTGTCCAGCATACCTAGACATATTCCATGCTCTGGTACTGGTTCCTGCATTTTCTTTTGGGGGTTTGGGCTTATTCTTTTAATGTTGTCACAACTTCAGTTCTCTCTGGGGATTTCCTAAAAGACTTGTTGCTTGCTGTTGGGTGGTTTGACTCCTTTCTTGTAATCTTTGTTCCATAATATACTTCCACACTAACCATAGAAAATATATATATATATATATATACAAGACGAATGCCCACCTGTGGTGTTGGAGATGGAGGAGCCGCGTCGATAGGAGACAGAGTCATGGCTTTGTTAGCCAATTTGAAAAGAGCTAAAGAACCATCAAGTTGCTGCTTCAGGCTCGTAGAACTGAGAAGGCCAAGGAGTAACTCCAATCCTACACAAATATTGTATATAATAGCTTAATAATCAAATTCAGGCCAGATGAAGAAGTAAGCAAGATAAAGAAGTAAGCAAATGATGTCATATGGTGAAAATGGCATGCCATTGTTATCAATGAATATAGTTCTCTGATCTTCTGGGGAACAAAGATGGGCAAGAGCCAAGCCAACTCGTCTTTGATCAGCCTTCTCTGATACACGCATCAAATATAACAAATGGTTCAAAACCTACAAGACGGAAGATAAAGAATTGTAACTTCCAGAATAAATATAAAAAACAGGAGAACAAAATGGTATCCACATAACGGGTACTTGGCATGCTGCCAGCATCAAAAGGAGAAAATTATAGAAAGTAAATACGCACTCGTCCATGAATCTTCTCCTCTAATCTTTTCAATGTTTTGGCTACACAATCTTTCGTTGCCTGCAAGTACAATTATTATTTCTATATGGGTAAACTGCAGGTGCACAAAACAATTCTGACCAGGAAACTCTTGAAGGCTAAAACAACCACAGTATATGCTCAAGCATATGTGATATGAAATTATCTTCAACAGTGCAAGAAAATCACAAAGTAATAAGTACTGTTTGAAATAAATGAAAACAAACATACTTGAACAATAAATTCTCCATCCTGCAGCTTTAGAATACCTCCCACCTTGATAAAATCGGACACATTATCCTATAAAGGAGAAAAATAAATTCAGTGATTATAAATATTTTTAACCAAAAAGATAAAAATGAATCCAACTGATTGAAGATTTAGTTGATTCACCTAAGTTGATGCCCGACCTATTAGAATATATGTTTTACTTTTTATGATAATAATTTCTGAAGCCTTTTAGGTACTATTATTGTATTTTGATTTTTAAGTTATAATTGCTGGGTAGCATTATTTTAGAAGGTTTCTTAAGTTTTTTCAAGTTTTTATGAAGCCTGCAAATATACCCTATTTGTATAGAAACGGATTTTCCTTAGAGATGAACAAATTTGAAGGATAAAAATATCAGAAGAGCTTTGAGCCCCTTCTTTTACTCTCCAGTCTCCCGCTTATCCTCGTCTCAACTCCATCCATACATTTTTGTATTTGAGAGGCATGAAAGTCTCCGTTATGCATCCCTTTATTCTTATCTTCTCTTAATCCCCCTATTACTCACTTGTGAAGGGGAGGCTTGTAAGATATGATGAACCTCTCCCCTCTTCTCATTCTCTCTTATCTCCCACTTGAAAGATTCCTCTTTTTTACCGAATCCCCAAAAACAAGGACACAGTGACATGACAAAAATTCATATCTTCAATATTTTTCTTTAATTTTCTGCCAGAAAGATGTATTAATGTAGCATAGAGTATTCAGCATGAAACTGTTTCATTCATTTTGAAGTAAAATGTAACAAAAGGAACATAAAAGGATAAATTTATCAACAATTACATAATAATTTTGAAGAATCATATATGCTTGCTATGCCTACCCAACCAAATGTGTTGGACACATCAATTACTTAGTGTGTCCGACACAGGTACTTCACAAATTTAGAAGAGTCCAAGTAAAACATGGAACCCAACCCACCAATTGGAACCTTAAAAGAGCCCAAGTGGAAGCTTAATCACTAATACCATTTACTTGGGTTGCTTAATTTTAGATTAAAAAAATATGTTAAATAAAATTCAATTAAATAAAAGCAAGAACCTGAACCTGAACCTGATTAAAGCTCCTTGTAGATTCATCAAACTATACCTCATTATCCGCAAGGCCATAAAGAGCAAATGCAGCATTATGTTGCAGAGACCCATTTTTGGAATCAAGAAGCTTTAACAATGGCACCAAACCACCATTATGAGCAATACCAGCTTGGTTATGTGTGTCCTGAACAACAGAAAATCTTTTCAAGCCAAAGAAAACAACTATAACAATCTAATCAACATGCAGAACATTTGCGCTGAAATATGAGTAATTGGCAAGATAAGATAAAATGAATCAAAATTATATAGGAATTTATTACATAGAAATAATAAAATATTTATGTATGTGTATATATTTGGATCTCTTTGGTATAGTAATTCTAAAGAAACAATACACATAGTTGACGGAAAGGAAATGTATATTGATACGTTCAATCAAATCCCGTTCTCTATTCTGCTTTGGTTGCTACCTGACAGGAATTATATACATTGGGAATTTGATTAGCCCATTACTAAATTTTAAAACTTCATCATCTCCTCAATTATATAAGCTAATACTCATACTCCAAGTGAGTATGGAAATACATTCAATATAGCAAATTATCAGTGGACATCTAGCAAAGTAGCAATTATAAGTACGAGAATAGAATACATCTGCCGGTCTGATTGTTATTTTAATAAGGGACGCAAAGAAAAAAGAAACACTAACCTGTGCCAACCTCCCAAGTGCAAAGGCTGACATTTCTCTAAGTTGTACATCTGGGGATTGAAGCATCTCGATTAAAGGCAGGACAGCACCTCTTTGAACAATATGCACCTGCAATAATCTCTCCTTTCAAAAAAAAGAAACCAGAAAACAGAAAAGACAACTAAAAATAGACGGAGGCAATTAAAATATTGTTCAAAAAAGTCGAGAGGACAGAAGCAAAGAAGCAGAGCCTGCGACATACTCGTCCTTAACAAGTTAACATAAAAATACACCAGTTCAATTTAGCTGCCAAAAGGATGGAGCGAAAGAGTGAAGAAAACTAAAATTAGAAAAAAGTTTCCAAAAAGTTCTAACAGGCAATGCTATCTCTTTGTTCCCTCCATCTTTTAGGAAACCACAAGTGACATTAGCAAAGGGGAGAAGATCCATTTACCAATCAGTGACAACAAAAATAATAATAATAATAATAAATAAAATAAAATTAGATAAAGTGTCTTAATCTACCTTGCAATCTGAATCAGTAGCAGCAAATTGTCCAAGTAACAAAGCTGCCTCCCTTTGGCTCTCAGAACAGCAAGAACTGTCATCCAAAACAATAAACTTGAGCAATTGCAACCTTATAAAGCAACATGGAACAAGTAAAGAGAAGACTCTATCATGCTAATAGAAAAACTCGCAAGGATGAAAACTTTCGATGATCAGTAATACCTGAGCAATCCAATAACAGGTTGCAAAGCCCCAGCAAGGAGAACTTCCTTCTTGATGTTTGGAGATGAGTGTACCAAATTTCCAATTACTCCAACCTGAAACCCATAAAAATATTATATGAAGCTTACTAACATGAAGTATAAATCTCAGATTCCACACATTCAAAGTAAAAGCATGTAAATAGAAAAGAAAATCTACCGCTTCGTAATGTATAGCTGCATCCTCGGATCGGAGCATAAGAATCAGGGTAGGAAGAGCATTGCATTCCACGATCTGAAAAGTCGTAACAGCTCTATCAAAAACTGAAGCTGAAAATAGTTTTAGATATAAGATCATCTTTCCACAGAAGGCAGATCACCTGGTTCTTATTTTCATCATTCTTGAATGCCAGAGTTCGCAGCGCTCCAGCAGCTGCTCTTTGTACTTTTGGATCAAGGAATTCAAGTAACTCAACAAGAGGAGGAATCCCACCTTCCAATCTGAATATGCAGTCCAGACAATTAGAAAATAAAATGGTACTAAAGGTGCAACATGTCGTTAAATACTGAAAAGCTAAGCTTACCGGACACGGGTTTTAATGCTGCTATTCTCATGTGCAAGGTTAGTAATTGCATCAGCTGCCCTCCGAATGACACTGCTGATAGCCCGAGAACTGGAACCATCCCTGTGCCTCTTTAATAGATCCACGAGATGAGGCAAGGCACCAGAGTCGACTATGAGTTCTTGATGCTCTGGCTATAAACAGAAACAACACCAAAAGATCAGCAACTATTTGTAGAGTATAATTGGTCCATGAGAGGGGGTGGAGGAAGAGGGGAGAGAGGGGGCGAGATTCGAATCTAGTGCTTCATAGTCATGCAACCATAACAAGAGAAGTCAAACAAGGGCAGAATAAATAAAATTTAAATAGATTGGTTACAATAGTTGCAAGTTCTTCTGCATGCACAACTTAGTCGACAGTAGACAATTAGAAGGAAGTGCACAGAAGCCATCCAGCTCCTGCCAAATTGGACTCAATTTAATGAGTCTCAAAGTACCCTTACCCGTACACAAGTGCCAAACACAAGAAGGTTAAGTGCATCCAAACGGCCAACATAGAGGAGGGTAGAAAACCAATCATGATAAGCCTTTTCACATATCATCCATCAACGATATTAATAAGGCTTCAGATAGGGCATGATTTATCAAATTCTCACATTCAAAGTGAAAAAATAGAAACACACCCATAGTTAAACCTTTACTTTATTCACTTCTGCCACTGTTAGCACGTCACAAATGGCAAGCTCGCATGAATCCTCCATATCATGGGCCAGTACATGAAAAAAACCTTCATCCTTCTGTAACTTTCACAATTGGCACAAAACTACAATAGCAAAGTCCTTGAATTCTAGGTTCCGAACAAGTACATGAAATAAATGGCAGCACTGCTCTAACGCCTACTTTCTATTTATGAGATCAGTTTATCAGAATTGTACTTATACTACTAAACATTAGAATATTCCTTTTCCTTTTATTTCCAATATATCTTCTTCAATTGATTACAACTATATATCTTACTCTTGTGTAAAATAGGTAGTTTCAACTCTTCTCCAGTTTTTACTCTAAACATGACCATATGTTCTCCTATTTCCTTCTGAGGACTGTCAAACAAAATTGAAATCAGTTGCAGATTTGAAAATTAAGCCAAACAAGTTCTAACATGTTCATAATAACTTCTCTTTGCATACTGGTTGGTACTTCACAAGTTCTTGAAAAAAGAACTGTGAGATTTTTTTTTTTTTTTGGGGGGGGCGGGCGGTTAAGTCCTAGATTTATTGATTGTTAATATAATACATCCTTCAAACTCCAGTAAGCCAATCCTGCTAATGAACTGGATCATGAATTACTGATACAACCGCGTGACTTTTCTTTTCCCTTTGGCGGCCAATAAAATAATGTATCGTGAAACTTCCTACCTGTTTAAGAACACAGTGCAACTCAAAGAGCTTCAAGTATTCACATTAAATATGGTTTTAATAGTATTTCTTTGTATGTAATCAATAAAATGACTAAATTTTCATATGAATATCTATAGACTACACAAGAATTACATTAATGCTACATTTCATATTATATCTATATCCAATTTTCTATGCTTTCAACCCAACACAAATACAGTCAAGGCTTAATTATACATGACGATATAAATTAATATATATATAGATATAGATATATTAGGTATTAACATAATTAAATTACCTTTACAGCAAGAAGGCCCAGAGTGAAAGCACTCCCTTTCTCAACCTCATGCTCGAATGGCTTTGGAACACCATCTCCTTCGCTCGGCGGTGCCTGAAGATGCTTTACCAGTGCTGGTACGGCACCACCATCCACAATAACATTCACAACTTCCTCTGCCAACATCACAAATCAAGTAGTATAATCTCTAATTTCAAACACAAACACATATATATACACAGTCATACACATGCATATACAGTAAAAATGTAAAAAACCTATCAATTGCAATTATACACATGCATATACAGTAAACCTTTAAAATCGTATCAATTGCTAGAACGAATGAGATTTGCTCTGGAAATACCGTTCTTTGAGAGCTCGGCGAGAACGTGAGTGGCTCGCTTGGCAGCGGCTCGATCGGCTTCCTTCCAAGAGAAGGTGGTATTGAGGACGTTAACCTGCACACTGACCTCGCAGAGTAGCGCCTGGCGGGCGTCGCCGGAGGAGGACGACGATAGAACAGAGATCTCTCGCTCGTCGTCGAACTCCTCCTCCAGTTTCCTCTTTTGCCCCTTTCTTTCCGGTAAATTTTCCTTGTCCCGTCGTTTCTGAAACTCCATGGAAGACAAAGGGGGACAGAGAGAGAGTCCTTAATCAGGGATGGAGGATTGGGTTTTGAGTAGAATCCAGATCGAGGGGTATTTGTGGAAAATAAAAAAGTTTGCCTTTTTTCTTTTTTCTTTTTTCTTTTACTTTTCTTTTCTACTGTAGTTAATGCTAGTTGTACGATAAATCTGCTAACATGCGCTCCCGCGGAATGGAATATGAAAAATGAAATAAATAGGCTAACGTACGCGTGCCTGGTGAGTGGGTGGGAGAATGGGTCCACTATTATGTGAACATCGTGCTTGCGACTATGCTCGATTCCGGGTTGGTATGGCCCGGTTACACTAGGGGGCTTTTTTTTTTACACATGCAATTTTCCAGGCCCACATGGATTACACAAGGATAGCTCAGCTCAATGTAATTTTATGAATTAAAAATTAAGTAAATAATTGACGATTTTCTCTTCATGTAGGACTCACATGCTTTGTATTTCTGATATAATGACAGTTTTACCCTCACATGAGGTAAAATGTTTAAAAACTTGACCCTCGTACCTGGACTATCTGGTGTAAGGGGGGTTGGGTGTGTGAAAAAAAACAGAAGGGTAAATTATAGTGACACTGTTTGCCCCATTTTTTATCAATGACATCCCACATATGATGCACAGTGAAATGATATTATTGCTCCTTGACTTTGAATTGATCTATTTATATTATAGAATTACCTTTTTAACCTTTGTAATAAAATTATTAGGGGGAGCCAATTGAACCTCTCATTATCTGTATCAAATATGATTGATATTTGATTATCAACATCATTTTTACATTCGGGGTTGGCCTGTAATTTTTGCCAGTTGAACAAAAAATCTAAATTGGATTCAATCCTCAGTTGCGTGGCCTATCGATTTTGTCATAATTTTAGATCTTTTGGAAATTTTATCTAATTTGGTTTTCCTCAATTTATTCATTGATTTATTTTTTTTGTTGGTGCTTCCTTTGATAGCCTTTTAAACTTTTGATCCCAAGTAAGTAACAGCTAAACAGTATTTCAAGTGCTCTGTACTGGGTTTCATTTTTCTAAATAGTAAAGTAGGGTTTTCAAACCAATTTTAAGCTTGCTTGAAGTTGAAATGAGACCACAAATTTTCACAATAACTTGTCAGTACGACAGTACTTAGTACAAAGGGAAATACATTGCTCTCCCGTAGGAACCTAGAAAGGCCCAAAGAAACAAATCTGCTCTCAAAAAATAAATTCAATTTTTATGTTTATTAATTATAAATGCACGTATCTTACTATGGTCAGAATACGCATAATAGACAACAGATAATGAGTTCTTCATGGGGCTACTGGCAAAATTTACTACAAAACCTAACAAGAACTTCTTTTAAGAATTATGATATTTTACGTTTTAAATCAAGAAGGTTAATATCAACTTTTCAAATATTTTTAGGAGTTGTTTGAATTCAATTTCTGACTAGCCTATCTTTGTTAAAAAATGAGTCAAGTTGTATATGGACGTGAATAGGGTAACCAAAGTTGACCGATTATTAGATCTAATGAAGTCAATTTTAGAAAGGAAAAAAAAAAAAAGTTTAATTTCAAGGGATTGATTCAAGTGGATAATAATTTGACTCTGATGGCTCTGAAAGTATGAGATGTAAACTTCGTGCAAACAATTTCTTAAATGGTGAATGTGTGTTAAAAAAAAAAAAAAATTGAATTAAAAATATATATAATAACTCATTTCTCACATTGGAGAGAATATAATGCTTATCATGGCATAGGTTTTTCAATGCCATAATTTCAAACCAACCACGGTTTTAACTAATGTGCCAAAATATGGAATTTTCCAAAAAGCCACTCAACGCAGATTAACGGCTCCAACAAATAAAAGTCCTAACACACCAACCATAACAGCCAAGCTGCCGCCCCTGACCTGGTTTTCCCGCGTCATCGTCCGATTCTTTTCTCTTTTCTAACTTCACCTCTCTCTCTATATTATATAATAATATATATATACTTCTCTATTGTATTCGTTGCTTTGCTTGCATGTCTCATCAACGACTAATTCAACTCCACTACCGCCAACCCCATCAAATCCCCGCCTCTGCGGGTCGGTCCATTCCAACATGTCAATTATCTATTCCTTTCTTGCAAGGATCTGTTGAAGTCCACTTCCTCTAACCCCACAAAACCCATTTCCATTCTCTAAAATCTCTGCCCTGCTCTCATATGTAGCTCTTTCATCCTCCTCCATCATGCCGTTTCCCTCTCTACTCTCTCTCTTCCTCTTCTCCATCCTCACCCTCGCCCATTCTCAATCTCAACCCCTCAGAGGTAACAAACTTCACTCTCTCTCTACTTTTCAATCCCAATCTCAATTTTTTTTAACTCTGTATCTGCTTGATTTTTCAGGTGTCCTGATTGATTGTGGAGCCAACGTCTCTTCGCTGATTGAAGGCCGTGAATGGCTTCCCGACGCCGGTTTTGTCTCCGCAGGGACCCCCAAAAACCTAACAACTTCAGTTCTCGTTCCGATTTTGTCCACCGTTCGATCGTTTCCTCTCCGAGGCAATGTTCGCCGGAAATTCTGCTACGTGGTTCCGGTGTATCGCACCGGGAAGTACCTGATTCGGACCACGTACTTCTATGGTGGAATAAACGGCAAAGATTTGCCCCCTCCTGTGTTTGATCAAATCGTCGATGGAACATTTTGGAGTGTGGTGAATACCACGGAGGATTATTTACAGGGGATGTCGTCGTACTACGAGGGGGTTTTTGTTGCCAGAGGGAAGACGATGAGTGTATGCGTTGCTGCAAATACTTATACTGATTCGGACCCTTTCATATCGGCGTTAGAGTTTGTGCTTTTGGGTGGTTCACTGTACAATTCGACGGACTTTGGCAAATATGGTTTGAGCTTGGTTGCAAGACACAGTTTTGGCTACAATGGACCGATTATTAAGTGAGTCCTTCATTCTTTGCCTATAAATTTGTTAGCATTGTTAGCTTTGTACTATCCTTGCTTCTTTCTGAAACGGTGATCAAGCAATTTCCCCAAATTTGATTTATTGATGTTAGAATTTGACATTTGCAATTGTATAATCATTGGTTTATATTGTTTAAATATAAATAAATAAAAATTTGAAAATGAGAACATACCACGGGCAAAGTGAATGCCAGTAATGAAGAAGTCAACATGTATACACACAGTTATGTAGGAGAAAATTTAGGCTACATTTTGATTTTGCAGACTAGTTGTATTTTTGGGTACCAAGAGAAAGGAAAATACTTTCAAAATTATAACACAATGGTACCTCAACTATAAGGAGGCAAGTATGCGCAAGTGACAAATCCTTTACATTGAGAAGTGAATGTTCTTTAGGCTGTAACTACATGGGTTTCATTCTCTTAATAATCTTGTTAGCAAAGTCGTTTTTTATGTACACGTTGGCTAATTATAAATATTTTGAAACACCAGATATCCTGATGATATATTTGATCGTTTCTGGGAGTCATTTGTAGAAGATAATCATACCATAGCAAGGGCAAGAAATGTTTCTGTATCTGTTTCTGGTTTCTGGAATCTTCCCCCTTTGAAGATATTTCAGACAGCAGTGACAACCAGCGAACCGAGACCTTTGGAGTTGCATTGGCCTCCGGCATCTCTTCCAAATTCGACATACTACATTGCCCTGTACTTTGCTGATGATAATGATCCATCTTCAGCGAGCTCAAGAGTGTTTAACATAACTATAAATGATGTAATTTATTATAGTGATCTCAATGTGAATCCAGATGGTGTTGTCATCTTTGCAAATTCATGGCCTCTTGGTGGCCATACGAAGATAACCTTGAGTCCTGCAGTTGGATCGAGCATTGGTCCTTTGATCAATGCTGGGGAAGTTTTCAATGTGCTGCTCCTGGGAGGAGGAACTCTTACACGAGATGGTATGTTTTCTGACAACCTATGTTCTCACTGAAGCAACCAACCTGTGCCTTTTCCTAGAAAATCCCTCTGCCTTCTCCTTGGATCCTCTAACTGTGAATGGGGCCACATCTAGGATGAGCCGGTCTGATCTAGGGGTAAAAAATATATATATATATATATATATTTAAACAAAGTGATGGGGGAAGTGTGGTATATGATACCAAGTAAAGTTCTTTCCGGTTGATGATGGCTTAATTTTATTTTTTACATTACACTGAATGGGATAGTATATCCGTCACTTAATTATTGGCAATGGCTCATTCTAGTAGTGGTCTATCAAGTTAATATTCATAGGTTAGCAAATTTTTGTTCTGCCATCAACATCCTGTTAAACAGGGAACTTGTTTTCAGCCAGGAAAAGGTGCAAAGTTTATGTTGTCTCCTGCCATGCCCTCTTTCTCTGGGGTTTCCACTTTTTCTTCATTTTGAGCAAATCAATCACCTTCTCTGTACTACAACCTGTAAGGAATTTGAATTTGCTGTTTCAGTAATTGCTTTGGAAAAAGTAAAGAATAGTTTCCAGAATCCTCCAATCGATTGGAATGGTGATCCTTGTTCACCTCATGAGTACTCATGGACTGGAGTTACATGCTCTGAAGGACCGCGTATTCGTGTGATTTCCTTGTGAGTTCAGACTTGTGATAACAAAATAATTGTTGACTATGCTTCATTGCATACTGTTCTTTTTTTAACTCCTCTGTCTTTAACTCAACAATTAGTTAATTTTTTGTTGTTAACAGAAACCTTACAAGTATGGGTATTTCAGGATCGCTTTCGCCTAGTATTGCCAATTTGACTGCATTAACTGACATGTATGTTCTCATTTTTTTCTTTTCCTCGGATTGCTTATTAAATTAAGGTATAAGAGTCTGTTTATTGACAATATCATGCGAATGACAGCTGGCTCGGAAACAACAGCTTGTCAGGATCTATTCCTGATCTCAGTCCATTAAAGAGATTAAAGATATTGTAAGTTAGGAGTTCTCTCTTCTGTTTTCTGTTATCTTCTATCGTTGTGCTCAAAAGAGAAACACAATTGCACAGGAAAGGGTAGCTCAAGAACCACCATAGAGAAAAGTGGCCATAAGCTCTAATAACATGAAACTTATAATATTTAATGCTTGTTACATGAAATGTCATGAGGCAACTTCTATGTTTTTCGGAGGTTGTTTACATATGACTGCTCCTTGTGTGCATCTTATTATCCTAGTTGTAGGAACTTCTAAATTTTGCATGAAATATGATGTTCTTCTTCTCTGATTTGCTTTGTATTACACGGTTTACACCACAGGCATATGGAAGACAATCAGCTTACCGGAGAGATTCCCCCATTGCTTGGAAACATTGACAGCTTGCATGAACTGTAAGTTCTATTATCACAAGCCAATTCACACACTATTTGACCTGGACTTCTATCATCAAATGCATGCAGATGTTTATGCTTTTACTCTTGATCTATTATATTGCAATTTGCAATGTTTCATCTCAGCAGTTTGTCCTAAATGCTTCTTACTTATTCTGCTTTATGACAACAATTACAGAAACCATAAGATGATGGTTCTAGGTGTAAAGCTATATAAGGCCATTTTTTGGTATGTTATATACGTCCAATTTAGATAGTTGAAAGCCCTGAAACTGTAGTCTTCTTATTATGAAAATCACTAGTTTGATGGTCACTAAAAACTTGTTGTATGTTTGAAGTTCTGAAGCTGATGTGTTGTATTTAGAATATTTAACTCAAGCATGCACCTTTGCTTTATCCTATGCATCTATCTAAAAGCTTCCCAGCACTGGTTCTGGTTTCTCTGGCACCCATCCCTGCCCCCCACATCACACATCAGCATTTTTCTTATACCGCTGTTATTGTCTTAGTAGTGAATTTGAACTTCATGCTGTACTGGGGAGCTGGGCTAGCAAGAACTTATACCAATCCTAATTCAAGACAATTAACATGTTTAGTTATCTCTAAGTGCAAATTAAAGATACTTCTTTTCATAGATGTAAATTCTTAGCAAGATTCCATAGGATATTCATTGGGTTATTTTAAGCAAAAATAAAAAATAAAGTGGTTACTCTCATACTTGAACCTGCATCTTAATGGTTGTCAACCCAAGCTTTTCTCATTACACCAAGCAACAACTCCTAATGTTTGTTAAAAATTGGTTTGAGTATGACCCAAAAACTTCATTGGTATTTTTGGATTTTACCAGAGAAATGAACAAGTAACAAAGAGTAATTGATTGCTCCTTTTCTGCATCACACCTTGGTGCATTTTGACTATTAGGACATTCGTGTGCCTTTTGAATTGTTAGTTTTATACCTTCTATGGTGATATGTTATATCAATTGTTTCACCATACCAAAATTCCCTTTTCTGATGCATATTTTGTCATCGTATTTTGATGCTGGTTGTAAATGGCCTCAACCAAAACAAGCACACATTTTTGCTGAGCTACGATTCACTATGAACATCACAGGGTTGCCATCTCTCTCTCTCTCTCTCTCTGTGCGGCGCTCATGCAGAAATCTTGCATACCAACACCAACTTGTCATTTTTATTGAAGGACCAGAAATCTTTCAGCTATTATCACAAAGACACAAACATTGAAACAAAATAACTTAATGTTTTGCATTTTATTTTACAGTTGTATTTTCTTATTAGATATCAAATTTAGAAACTTAATGGTTTTTTGCATACCTGACATAGTTTCCTTTCACTTTCAGCTTCTTGCAAAATAATAATCTGACTGGTCAAGTTCCAAATAACCTTGTAACAAAACCTGGACTAAACCTTAAGTAAGTGGAAATATATATTATTCATATTTTATTTATTTCCATTTTAAGCAATTAATTCAATTTTTTTAATTCTTAGGACATCTCCTGGGAACCAATTTTTTTCACCGCCACCTTCTTGAGTTAATTAATATACACACCGAAAGGTAAATGTGACATGAGTTGATTTGATGAGAACTTGGATTACGATCATTTCTTATATATTTATTGCAAGATTGTGTAAGATGACAAATGTTTTTCTGCAGTTCTCCACAAGTACATACAGCCTTTTCAGCTCTACTGGTTCACTCAAAACATGATACTTGAAATTGGTGTCCATATACATTTTATTCTTTCTTTGCCAAACGAAATTGGAGTATGTTCTCAAATCACATGTCAGTGGTTGTCCACATATAATCATTTCTTTAGTTCCATTAGATTTTTTATTTTATTTTATTTTTATTTATTTTTTTTCTTTTTCTGATTTTGTTTGTGTGTCATATTGTATTTGTAATTTACACACAAGAAATATGTTGTGGTTGGATTTTGTTTAATATGGTTCCACTCTTTCTTACATATGATAGCAAATGCAGAGATGAGGTATATTCTTTTCCTATTGGCAGTTAACTTTCTATCCAAAGTTTCATTTTTATTGGTTATTGGGAATTTTGATACCATTATCTCAAAGATTGTCATATTTCTATAAAGCATGCCTTTTCCTATTAACAACTGTCAAGTGTTTTTTTTTTTTTTTCCTTTGGTTAAGTAACAATTGTTAAGGTTTCTTTGGCTTATTTTTCATCCTTCATGGAAGCTAAAAAAACATGTGACATTAGTATGTTGTGGTTCCATGACCTCCTCTTTGTGAGCAAGTGGTAGGGAAAATTAAACTTATGACAGAGAAAGTAATGTATAAGGGAAAGAAAAAGCATCCTTCTGACATCTTTTGTGATTATTATGATATATTGTTGCTTCATAGTGTTCACTTTAGAAATTTGATCCAGTTTTCTCTAATACTTGTAACTTAAGAATTTAAGCATCTTTAGCGACTGATGTTATAGTCCTCGTCTAAGGCAGATATCTGAAAGGACTAGAACTGCTTGACCAGTTTCACTATAGGCCCTGTAATACAGACATAGTTGATGATATCTACGTAAGCAGGTTATGTGATCGCCAGGCAATTATTGTGCCAAAAACAATACGACACCATTAGTTTTGATCATCTATCTCGGATCAGTTGAATCAGAGGCCCCACACCTGTGTCACTGCTTCCTAATTCCTCTTGAGAAAAGCTAGAAAAAAATCACTGCAGATGATACAAGTAGAACTAGATGAAAGGGTTGTTAATAGCATCCAAAAAATATAAAAGAACATTTACATTGTAATTCATTAGATCCATTACAAGCAATATTCATCTGGACATAAAATCTAAGAAAGAAAATTTAAAAGAAAAACAAGAAGATGGACAAACTTGATGAATCCTACATACCAAAACAACAAACGGTTATGACTTCCGTTCACCTCTCCACTCTTCCTTTCCTGAGGGAAAACAGAGGTGGCGGAGCACTGCTCTTCGCTTGTGTGCAAATGGGCACATTAACAACAGGCCTTATTCTTATCCCGGCTGATCTTGTCCTCTCCAACCCTTTTTTTATCCTCTTGAGATGCTTCTCTATGCTCCCTGATCCTTCCTTGCCTTCGTCTATGGGAGCCAAATTGGCAAGTGAGCTCCTCGAGGAAGACGACGAGGAAGAGGAAGAAGATGATGGTGACAAAGAAGAAGCGCGTTGTTTCTTCAACCTTAGTAACTCTTTCCATAGAACAGTGCATTTAGGCGGCCTAGGAGATGGATCCTCGTCCATAAACCAACTCACTTTGCTCCCCTCTTTCACCTCTTCCTCCTCCACTCCATTCTCAGCATGTTCTGTTTTAAGATTGATATTGTTGAGTTTCTCGGAATGTTGTATCTCCCAGAAAGGAAGTAGCTTTCCTTCAAAAAATAGCTCATCAGCAGTTATCATGGTTTGGCTAGTCAAACTGCTGGAGAGAAACTCGAAATCTGCATTACGAGTTCTCTCTCGCTCTGTTTCACGATCTTTTTTGGTCCTAGAGTCTGGGCTTATGGAGATGAAGTTTTTATCATCGAGGAAGTCAGCGGAGAAAGAAATCCGGGGACTTGCAGTCGGCTCAATAGGATTAGAGGTTGCCTGAACAATTTCTAGAGAAACCATGTTGGCTATAGTTGTCTCTGGATGCAGGGGGAATATTGATGGTGTGGAGTTGGCAAATGAGGTGTACTTGAAGTTTGAACTCATGCATGAGCTTTATAAAGTGAAGGAGATGCTTTACTGTCTCCTTGAATTTTCAATCTCTTGTTTAGTTATTGGTAGTAAATGTTTGGACGGTGAGATTATTAAAACCTAGTGGTCTGGTGAAGCCGAAACAAGTGAGCTAAGGTTTGTGTAGGATATGGGAACAGCACATGGACACCTTGGGACCTAAAAGACAAAAAGGTTTCTATCCTGATTTTGGATGAGATTCCTAGTGTTTTAATCTTGTGTATTGAACTTGGCCTGCTTTGTGGTTAAAAAAAATGAAATTTAAAACAAGAAAGTAGCAAAGTTCAGGTTCTTACTTAGTTCCTATACATATAATTTTATATAGATTGAGGTTGTGGTATATACTTCTAGCTACTAAGATTAAGGACCAGCAGTGGCCTTTTTCCTTTAAATTGGTGAAGAAGGTTGCATCATTTTGAATGGCATTTCATGGAGGTCCCAAGCTCTTTTTGATACTTAACTCAAAAGACTTGGCCACTAAACCCAACCTCACTCATCCGCAAAGAGGTGAGGACTGGGAAGGGGTTCCAGAGTCCAGACATGAGCAAAAGTGTGTGTCAGTACTTACCTGATTAAAATAATAATAATAAATAAATAAAAGAGAAAAATACATTACTTGAAAGTTTTACCAGTGAAAATTTAGCTTTCCACAGGAAGGGAGAGAATTGAGAAAGATAGGAATTTCATATTATAATAGAGTTATCTTTTAGCTTAGTGGGCAAATGGATTATTAAATATGGATTAGTCAAAGAGAGAGAAGCTTTGGTAGTTTGACCCCTATTGCTTATAGAGATCATTATAACATGGGAGGAGCCCCAAGCATGTGGTCACATGAGGCTAATCTCTTGCCATGTTACAACCCTTTCCCCCAACTAGATCTAAGAATCATATATTTACCAATACTGACCAGAATACCCCTTGGAATAGTTTGATCCTTTGCTGGTTTATCTGCTATTTTTCCTACCTGGGATGGGTTGTTTTATAACTTGGAAAAGTTGTACAAGTGGTTGATATCATATCCAATTCTTGAAAAGCCTTGTATAGATTTGAATACCCTAATTTAATGCAGACAGCTAATCAACTTAGGGTAAATCTCTTTGGGATTATGTGATTAAATTAAGTTACAAACACGTTTTTTTTGTTCAATCAATCATAATAATCAAGGGTTACAGGCTACTACTTAAAGCAACAAGTGAATGAGCAAAACTTTGCTAATGATATACAAATAAAACTAAATTAGAATTACCTCTTCTGATTTCTGCTTTGTACATTGTTTTTCTATACAGATCAAAGTTTACAGTCAAATACTGATTGAATATAACAATGTCAATGGTTGTGATGAACAGACTGGTTGATTTTTGAACCTAGGTGTGAATCGTGTGACCTGTTGAATTAGGATAAATTATTACATGGTCTGGAATTATATAGTCGGAGACTATATGATTCTGTCAATGTCAATGTTGTGACGGTTACTCGCAATTTGAAAGAAGAGGGAGAAGAGCGCAATGAGCACGGTTTAAGAGGAGCAATTGATGACCCGTGAAAGATTCAAAAGCAAGCATTATGGCTAAAACTGTAATGGTAGTAGGGGACCAGCCTATTTATATTGCATTATATTAGAGAGTGGGTTGAGAGCCTGGTTTCATGCAAAGCCTGGTTGTTAATTCATTACTCGTTCTGCATAGCTGTTGTTATTAATATGACAGACAGATGATTTGACCTTGACTCATCAATGGAGTTGCCGCAGAATACTTCTTTCTCAACTAGTATTGTGCATGGCATCCTATGAAAGTGGAAGTACCGCGGTGTTGGGTGTTGGATCTCTTAAAGTACATTATAATTTATTATTAGTGCTATAATTTTTTCATTTCAAAGTAGTCCCGAAGAGATTCGAACTCTCAGCCTCAAATAAGTGAGCTGAGAGTCTTGCTATGAGCCTATGAGGCAGTACCATTAGGCATTAGTTCAACCAATCCCTATGGTGTAGTGACTGGAGCCCTTATGGTTCTAAATTTGGGTCTCCCTTCAGAGTCCGGTAATCAGATTTATTTAGTCACATTTTCATAATTAAGTATTTTTTAGACCAAGACCCACTAATACTAAAAAGTTTCTTTTCTTCTTCTTTAATCTTTGGGATAGGTATATGGATCCGTTCAGAATTCAAAAACCAGAATCCGCTAAAAAGGTGAAATTCTCGGGGAATTTTTTTTATTTATTATTTGAATCAAATTTATAAATTTAAAGCAACTGAAATAGGAGAATATATTCGGTGTGCCTGGTGCACCGGACTATCTGATCCGTCCGTTCCCGCGTGTGTTGTGTACACACTGACATATTGTACATAGACGGCTCTAATGTCTATGTGCACCGAATACATCGAATATCTTCTGTTATATTAAGATAAGAGATGAGGGTGTTCTAAGTTCTAACATTACTTATGATTGACTGGACACTTGTTATTCAACTTTATTTATTTATTTTTTTTTAAATTAATTAGATCCGTGAATGTGTATACATGAGTGAAGGATTATTTCCAGACTAAATTAAGGAGTTGTATTTAGAATTTTTTTTCGCCTCTAATATGTCAAAAACTCCTTGTACTGCATTAAAGAAGCTGATTTGCAATCGGATTTGGATTAATTCAGACACTCACAAGGGGCCACTTATTTAATGCGATAAAGAACTAATCTGTAGTACGACTAGGTCTTAATCAAACGAACATATTCTTATGGTCTTAATCGAACGTATCCTGATCCTATCATTACTTTATACACAGAAATATGAACTACGGATACAGGGGAGAATAAAACCCTATGAAAATCAAGGCATATCATCTCTCCCGCAAATCTACACCAGAGAACTTATGCACTTAATTCACTTCAAAATTTGTTAGATACATTAAGGATAATAATCAGTCCTCGGCTACACCATCTCACCACATAAGTGAGGTAATTGTGGTACGACACATCATGATTAATAAAAAATAAAATAGAATAATGTCATTCAAAGTTACCCACCTTACTATTATTATTATTTATTTTCTTTTGATTTTTTTGATGTGTTAGAATAAAATTGTGCCACGCATAGGATGACGGTGGATGCGAGAATCCCATCACAACACCATGATATTATGCGGTGAAATCCACCACTCATTTGACATCCTTCGAATTAGAAGAGTGCATCATTGCTCAATAAGTACAGTTTTAAGGGTAAGCAATACTGATCTCCTCTAAAGTTTAGTCTAATTGTAAACAAATTTGAGAATTGTCATATTGTTACAGCATGTACCCTTGAAGTTTGCCCGATTTTGCAAAGACCTCCCCATAAATTTAATTTGAAGTGACAAAAATACCCTTTAACTAAATCAAAAAAACCCTACTACGTACCCTTGTACCATCAAATTACAACAAAAAAAATTTCAAGAGATGAAAATACCCTTTTCTCTCTCCTCCATTTTTCTCTTTCCACCACCACCACTGTCACATATGTATAGATATATGTGTGTGTATGTATATATTTATACAAATATATGGAATTTGTATAGATCTGAAAATTTTTTGGTAGGTAGATCAAAATTTTAATATATATATATATCTATGTAATTCTTTGAATTTAATGGAGAAAAAATTTTGTTAAAAAAAAAAAAAGTAGAAGGCTGCTAGCAATTAAGCTCTTTTTGGATTGGGTAATGCAACTCAAAACTTACTAACTAGTGTACTGCATATGCGAATCGAAGTCCAATGCATAGCCTATCATTGTTCTCTTTTTTCTCTTTACTTATTACTCTCTCTGTTCCAAAATATAATTGTCTGCTTTGGTAAATGTGACTTACAATTTTGTAAGTAGCCAAAGCAGACAACTATTTTAGGTCTGAGGAAAAATATGTTTTTAAATACAATATATATAGATATATATACACACACACACACAAAATACAAAATCAAAGAGGTAAATCATTAACATACCCATTAGAATGCAGATCATTAAATATATGGGTTAATTTTACTGACATCACTTTAGGTTTAGCCAAATATCACTCTCAAATATCTTTCGAAAATAACTACAACTCACATTACAAACTTCTGTTCCGTTTTTCACTCACACCCCAACCGTTACTTGCACAGTTATGATACAATGTAAAATGACTTAAATACCTTTTAACTTTATCAAAACAATTCTTTAGCCTAAAGAATCAAATAAAAAGACTAAAATATCCCTAAAACTATATACACATATTATACATTATATATATACATACCCATTTGTTTGATACATATATATACTGTAGAAGATACAAGAGTTTATCACTCTACAATCCACCTAAGAATCAATCGAACAACAACCAAAAGAGAGAGAATTGAAGTGAAAAATAGAAATTATGAAATGGGTATTGAAGATTAAGAAAAACAAAAACCATTAAACCCAATTGAGGAGTGATTAAAGCAGTGGAATCAGAAATTACCAGAAAGCGGTGAAACTAAAGAGCTCAACATCCAAACACATTAAGGGAAGAGAAGCAATGGAGAAGACGTCCTACCCCAATTGCACAGCCACTGTTGTTTTTTACTTGGTCTGTTTCCTCCACATCGGAGCTTCACCCAATTCCAAGCCCATCAAAGGCGTCAAGACCTCGGACGTCGCCATCGACTCCACCCGTAATCTCTAGTTCACGTCTTCCTTCCCACCAAACCATCACCATTCGATAACCTCCTACCCGTGATTGTTTTCTTCCACGGTGGCGAATTCACCTAGTTTGTTGTATCTGCCTTCTTCCACGGGATCGTGAATATCCATCACAACCCCATCACCGCCAATTTATTAGTTCGGCCATTCGCCGTCGTCGCCTATGTACGCAAGTTGCGATTGTTACACACACATACACACACACAGACATATATATATATATGAGGCCATTGTTAAGTAATATGATATTTTGAAATAAATAGGATTAAAAAATTAAGGACAAAGTTATCTTTTCTCATATTTTTAACGGAAATTTTAAAGAAAAAATAAAAATGGACTTAAGTGATAGTTATTTTCGAAAGATATTTGAGAGTGATATTTAGTCAAACCTGTCAGTGAAATTAACCTTAAATATATTGTTGAGATATATTCACCAATGTTTTTCTTGGAGAAGTGGTGATGATGATGATGTTGATTCGTGAGAAGAAGGCTAGTGGTGTTCAAATATAGCAGTGATCACTGTTTAACCCCAAAAACCCACAACGAAAAACTCACATGCCGCAATTAAGAATACCCTTATTGGCGATTTCGCAGATCCGTCCCTTGATGTTGTTTATACCACTCGCCATTAATGATGGTGTCTCCGACATCCATGCATGTGTTTGGAGATGGCGGCGATGGTTTCATCGATGAGTGAGTCGCACTTGTTGGCCTTGACAAGTGAGTCGCGGTTGGCTTGATTTAGGGGTACTTCCGGCAATGGCGGTAATGATGGGTAGAGATAGATGAGGTGGAGAAGAAAGGAGCATAGAGAGAGGAGAGAGATTATGGTTTTACCATTTGGGTAAGAATTGTGTGGTCCACAGTATAGGGGCAAAATAGTAGTTTGACATTTGTATATATTTTAATTATTTTTCATAAGGATAAAGTACAATCACACCCCTCGAGGTTTGGCAAAAGGACACTCAGAGAAAACTTATCTGTTTTTTGGACAAAGACACTCCCTGAAGATTCAAAAATGGACAAAGACACCTCTTTATATGAAAATTTGTCTAAATTACCATTTGACCGTTTATGAGATTTTTTTTTAACTTTACAATTTAATAAATTGGACCAATCTACCCAATAATTTATGCATAAAAAAAAAAAGTTAAAAAAAAAAAAACTTTATATTGTTCGCTTTTTTTTTTTTTTTTTTTTTTCTTTTTTGGTTATTTACTTTATAAATGTCCCAATTTCATAAAAATGTAGATATCTAAAATAATTTTTTGATTCAATACATATATTTCAAATAAATTATACTTTATTATTAATTCTTTTCTTTTTCTTTTTTATTTTTAAATTAAGATGCTTAATTCTTTCATCTAAAAAAATTAAACCAATCTCTTTTATGTTGGGAAATGCATAATATTTGATATATAATTTAAGATGCATAAAGTTATACTGGTACCATATTTTTTATTTTTAAGGAAAAGAGATTGGTTTAATTTTTTTAGATCAAAGAATTAAGCATCTTAATTTCAAAATAAAAAAGAAAAAGAAAAAAAGTAATAACAAAATATAATTTATTTGAAAATATGTATTGGATCAAAAAATCATCTACATTTTTAAGAAGTTGGGACATTTATAAAGTAAATAACAATTTTTTTTTTTTTTTGTTACTTTTTTTTATGCATAAATTGTTCATGAGGGTAGATTGGTCAAATTTATTAAATTGTAAAGTTAAAAAAATCTCCTAAACAGTCAAAGGGTAATTTGGTCAATTTCTTATGTAAAGGGCCGGGGTGTATTTGTCCATTTTTGAACCTTCAGGGGGTGGCTTTGTCCCAAAAATAGGTAAATTTCATCTGAGTGTCCTTTTGCCAAATCTCAAAGGGTGTGGCTGTATTTTATCCTTTTCACAATAAAAAAATGAGTGTAAGTAAGTAAATTTACAACAAATTATGAAAAAGGGGTCTTGGAAATAAAATGGCAAACCTCAAGTTTGTTTGTAATTAAGTCAAACATTAAGGGAGGTTATTGTAGGAGTGGCAATTTATACCCAAACCCATTAAACCGTCCAAACTCACCCACTAAAATTAAATCATTTGGGTAATCAATTTAAATGAATCGGTAAAAAAAATGGGTACTCATTATATTCATGGGTAAACAATGCGGTGAATAGTGGGTGCCCATCTCAACCCGCTCAAACAAAACCCTCATTTCTATCCTCCATTTTTGTCTTTGTCTCCTTTTTTTTTTTTTTTCTTTTTTCTTTTTTTTTTTTTTTTTACTATGTTTTCTCTTCTCTTCCCCCCCTTTTTTTTTTCTCCTCCGTTTCTCTCTTCTTCTTTTTTTTTTCTCTCTTTTGTTTGCTATCTCAAAAATTTGAGAAAGAGTAATTTCATTTCTTTTTTTTTATTTATGTTTTTTTTTTGAAAAGTAATTTCATTGGCTGACATAGTTACTACTAAATTGATCTCTCTCTTACAAATTTTTGACACTGCTTTAACTTTCGCAATAAAAAAAAAAAAAAAAAAATTTGGCACAAAAATTGCTCACACATCCTGCATTATAATTGGGTTGGGAATTAATTATTTACGGTCAGAATAAGAGTCATCAAGGGAGGTCATGGACAGTTTGAATACGATTGTGTCACATACGTGAAGTGTGGGTCCGACCAACTCACACAGCTTTTTTATCACATACTTTCATGATTTCAAAGGGTATATTATTACTCAATAAGTATCTTTCCAAGCATTATTCCAGTTGATCTTTAATTCTTGAGTTCTTCGATTTAACAGCTAGTGTAGTAGTATATTGCGTTACGAAATAACATATCTAGGCTCCCAATTATACGGTGATTGAGTCAAAATTGGAATGACTTTAGAATACAACCAGATTAATGTGCTGTCAAAAGTTCTTCATGACGAAATCCAGATTTTAGAAAAGATATTTTAGAAAAGGGAGAAGATATTTTAGAATGGAACATTATTCACTCAAAAACGACCGAGACCTAATTTAATTAATTAATGGGCACATGGAAGATTCTCGGAAGCTTGAAGTTTTTTAAAAACTATAAAAAAAATTATATATTATAATGTCAAATTTATTAAAAATTTGAAAATTCATATGAGTGATTGTAACGTGACAGGAAGTGAATCATTTATGAAGTTTCCAAGTAGTAGTAGTATTAATTAACTAACATGCACTGTTTCAGACCAGAAGAGATGAACATCCAGTTGCTATCATCGATCAAACAAAAACCAAACCCAAACACAACAATCTCACATTCCAAGACAAACTCACACTCTACTTATTAGTAGATCTGAAAGCATCAAAACTAAGAGACAATCCAAATGAATACTCAATTATAACATCACATGCAACTCATAAAATAAAAAGTTAAATGTTTTCAGCACTAACCATCACCCTCTCAAATCCAGAGACAATACGGACACATAAATATTTTTTCAATAATTATTCGATACATGTAGAACGGACAACTGAATGTGCCCGGACATACACACCATCGTGGACAAAAAAATTTAAAAATATATATTTATGATCATCCATCTAAAATTAATCCTCAAATGTCATTAGTAATTAATTACCAACCATGGTCTTGTTCTCAATCATTGAGTTCTTGCAATGCGCTATTGCTCCTTGAATTGCACTCTGTAACTCCTCTATAGAAGTGTCCACGTGGCTTATGCTCCTGGCCGGGAACCCATTCCGGCAAGCAATGCCGGACCGACTCGGCGACGACCGCATAGACGACGGGCAACTCGAAGCACAGCTTCTTTTTCTTCTTGGGTATCTCAAATTCCCGGAAAATGAGTGAGAAAGGCTGCCATTTTCGTCCTTCCTCCTATTGATCTGCATGGATGTATCTCTATGTTTTATAAAAGCATCTGTTGTTGTTGTCGTCTTCTGTTGGTTTTTCTGAGATAACTTTTCGTACAGTGGCTTCACTTTTTTAAAGTACTTGCATATCACCTCCTTGGCCGTTCGTTTCATGGACGACCCGGATAGGATGTCCGGGTCGTGGGTCTTGGGTTCCTTACGGAACACGGAAGAGAATCTTGAGAAGGCCGATGAGTACTTAGTTTTCTTGATGTGGTGGTGGTGGGGGTGGTGGTTGAGGCGGCGGAGCTCGTCTTCTTCAGCGGTGCTGACGGAGCTGGGTCGAGAGGAGTCGCAGATGAGGTCGCCGGAGAAGGAGGAACGGGAGTCGGTGGAGCTGCCGGTGGAGTGGCGGGAGGCGGTGGTGGTGGTGGTGGTTGTTGTGGAGGAGGAGGTGGTGGAGGAGGTGCGGAGGAGGAGGGTGCGGACCATGGAGAGACGGGGGGAGAGGTGGAGGGGAAGGAGCTGGCCCTTGTAGAAGAGCTCGTCGGCCGGGCAGAGGTTGGTGGAGGATTTGCGAGGAGAGAGAGAGATGGTGAATTCAAAGTCTGAGGAGGAGGATGAAGAAGAGAGAGAGTGGGCTGGGGATGAAGGGAGGGTGTGAGATCTGTGACGACTTTTCTCTCCTCCCCTTCCCATTTTTGTTCATGGAGAAGAGAGGTTGAGAGAAGTGAATGCTTCTTATAATTGACCGACACCTCAGAGAGAGAGAAGCAAAGATAGTTAGAGATAGAGAGAGGAAATGAGAATGAGGGTAGTAATTGGATTCAATATAAATATGTTATTACAATTAAATGCTCTTGAATGGGAGTGATGTAATTACGTTTAATTAATTAAGAATAAAAAAATTTAATTACGGATAATATCATTTAGGTAGGTGATCTCTATTAATTCACACATTATCTTTAATTATAAAAATTTTAAAAAGTAATAAATAAGGAAAACACATCAAATGGCTGAATTTATTTCAAAAAAAATTATTTTCCTTATTTAAATTCTATGTCCTGCTGAATGAAATTGAAGTATTGATATTAAAATTAACGAAATGAGTGAAAATTTTAGTTCATTGTATTAACGTTTTTTTCCTAATTAATTGGATTATTTTTAGGTGTGGGAGAAGTCAATAGAAAAATCAAGTAGGGATTTTGAATCATGTCTTAAATAATGTAGTACTAAAAACAATATTATTACAACTTATCCCTAGAATGTTAATTATTATTTATTTTCCCATTTTACATTATTTAAAATCTTGTGATTAATTTATTATTATTGTTAGTAAATTCTTTTCAAAAAGGAAAACTAACTTGAAAAACCCACCAAAGAAAAATGATCAATATTGGACGGATGTAGGGGTGAGGGGTGGGTTATGGGGGGATTGAGTCTACCAAAAAAAAAAAAATAGTATAGACAATTTTAGCTCATTATAAATAAAATTAAAAAAAAAAAAAAAAAGTTACTAGTATTAGCCCACCAACAAAATACTAGCCCACCCCATTAATAATTTTTAAATCCGATAAATAATCAAATGGGGATTATTAGCATTTAGCTAAAAGGGGAGATTATTAGAATGCATTATGCACAATTCATATATATAAAGGTATCAATTAGACATATTTCTTATATATTCTTTAGCATATTTATGTTTAAATAGCATTACTCTTAGAAAAGATAAGTGGTTTAATGTATTGTATTACATATATACATACACGAATTTTATAATGCACTGCATCATTACTCTATCACCATGCACCCACATGCACGACAATGGTTATAAATGATTGACACAGCTAATTTACAGTTAGCCTCCAACTATCTATCTAATCTAAATCATATGATCGATTTAGCTTTTAGTTTGTTCTCCATTTATCCTTTTCATCTCAACAAAAAGGTAAGCTTGTTAACTCTAATTCAAACTTTTAACGCTATAATATAAAAACAATACCCTACTTTTATGGTCACATGAAATTATACTTAAATGGCTGAAAATTAAACAAATTGGATGCTTAATTAGATGCAAACACTCAAATCTAGCTTCCTCAATGGTACAGTATAGCACATGATGAATAATTAATTTGAATTGTTTCTCAAATCCCATCTTCTTAAAATAATTATAATGATCGACAATCTTAAGCTTCGGAAAACTCAAACGTGATCACGTGAGAAGGGAGCAGCAGGATTAAGATAATTGCATTCCCCGAAGAAAGGTTCCCCTTCTCTCTATCCCTCTGTGTGTGTGTGTGTGTGTATGGCACAGTAATCAAGTTAAAATATAAATAGTGAGATGGGATTCTATAATTATTCAAAATCACACACACACACACAAAATATTAGGAAGAAATAGCTACATTACATGTAGAGGTAGGCTTATACAAAGTTGGTGTCATCGCCATAAAATTGGGTTGCTTATTTTGTCACTCTGAAAAAAAAAAAAATTAAGAAAATTATTTTTAAATAAAAAATTATTATCTAAAAACAAATATTTTTTAAAAAAATTAAATAAAACAGAATTTTGAATATTTTATTTATACAATAGGTCATTTATTTTTTTATTCAAAGATTATGAGTATACTGCATAAGTAATCTTATCATAATCTTGTTCAAAATACGCTTTTATCATCGTCGTAGTAATAATAATAATAATAATAATAATAAATAAATAAATAAACCTTTGTTGTCATGGTATATGTATGATTGGAGTTTGGAACAATTTGGTTTTAAATTTCATTGCTACTTGGAAAGTTTCATATTGCAATAAACTATAACATGGGTAGGTAGTATAAATTTTAACTGAATAACGTTCGCATCGAGGAACTAAAGGCACATCGTACGGAAAAGTTTTGGAATTCCAAACTTGTTAATGGAAATTAGAGAAAGCAATGAGCAACCACGTAGTATTACAGTATAAGCAAAGAAGACAGACTTGTCCGTACTATTTCTTTCATCATATACAATCGAAATTAAAAAATTTGACAGTGTTAGAAAGATATCTTTCTTATATGACAAATTTTATCACACAAATAATGTCAATTTTGTTAGTAGTATGTTTTGATAATACCTCTTTGAGCAATTATTTTTCAACTAATGTAGCCTATGTAGAAATCATCATTCAATGTGATTCTTGTCAAAGAGAATACATCGAATAGAACTCTAACTTTTGATATTTCTCGTGGTTGCTTCTCAACATAAATTGAGAAAAAATATATATGATTAGTGCAATTACAGGTTAGTAATGTTGTATTCGTAAACTACGATTTCATTAACTAGTAATGAACCCTCCTTAGAGTTTCACTTTTTACTCTTCAATCTACAAAGCATTAGAGGCTATCACCCATTTGTTGGGATTTATATGCCCTGGCATAACAAATTCCTATCTGGATTGTATTGACATATGTTCCTGACATATCTGAAATATTTATGATTTATATAATTGGTGAATTCAATGTATTATGTTTCAATTCACTATGAAATTGATAGTGTCCAGTTAATTACAAGAAATATTTATATATATGTATGTGATGACAATCAATGCATGATATATAAATAGTAATTATAAATTGTTCATAGTCTGTAATTATGGATGGACTCATAATTAATTAAGACTTGAACTGGATCCGCGTTAGGTTGAGATATATTGCGAGAGCCGTCGTATGCAATTACTCCCTATTACCGTCATGGCATTTGACTCTTAAGCATGAGAAAAGTATAGACTCTTTTATTAATTAATAATTACTTTGATTTGTTCGGCGGATTCTTCGGGATCCTTAGACCGACACTTTGGGTAGTTATGTAATTAATAGTTAGAGGGTTATATTTTCAATATTTGCATCATTGCTACTTGTATTTATTTTGTATTGATTATGGTTGATCACAAAGTAAATTCGAAGGCCTTCGTGTGTTTTTAGACAAAATAATTTATTATATATTTATTTATTTAAATTATTATTTTTGTCAAACAAATGTTTTATTGTGATCGAGCCAGAAATAATCAAAGGTACCAAAATAAATATATTAATTAAGTAGTCGGATTGATGGCTATATTTATCTGATAACTAATTATGCATAGAGGGGTCAAAGTGCAATATTGACTTAGAGGTTATTTATTATTTAATTGGAGTTCAATTAATTTCTTTTAGTGGAGTAGAAATTAATTTATGAATTAATTGAATTGGGTCCATGGACCGGGCCAATTATTAATTCATTGTAGCCAATAAAATAATAGGCCCAATGGATTCTCACTCATAGCCCAACTTGATATTGGAATCATATTAGATTTGAGACATATGAATTAGAGATGGAGAAGGATTTGTTGTTTCCTTTTCTTTATTTTTATGTTGCCTATAAATATACATGGTCTATGTATATTTTAGGGGCTGATTTTTTTGAGAAGGAAAAAGGAATAAATTTTCTCTCTCTAGAAAATTAGGGTTTATGTTCTCATCTAATGGAGGCTCCCACAAGCCTAGTTTTCCAAAGTCATTCAAGGAGGCTTATGAGTGATTCCTAAAGGCAAGACCATTACCAAGAAGATGGAAATCCATGGAAAAGATGTTTAGCAAAAGGGATCTACAATAAGTGAGAACATTCACTTTAGAGGAAAGATCTGAGGTTTACTCAAACCTTGATGTAAGTATTCAATCTTTTAGTTGAATAATACATCATATTTTATTTTATTTTTTGCATAAAACTTGTCTCTATGTGATGAATCAAGATCTATAAATTTAAATCCCTCGAAAAGTTTTTAAAACTAGCACGTTTCCCAACAGTGGTATCAGAGCACATGGTTTGATTTATTACTAGAGAACATGTGTTTATAAAAATCATATTCATGGATCCAAATTATATATACATATATAAAATTATTGATATATGTTGATGTATGATTTATTATGTTGATATATATTAATACATGTTAATGTATGTATAATTGTGAATGGATGATGATGTGTGGTTGGGCCATGGATGAAGCTTATAGGAATATTACATGTAATTTTATCTTTGGATGAATGTAATTAAGGCTTTGATTTAGCCGTTTGAAAGTTCAATGATGTAATTTATTTTTCCCATTGTATTTCAAGTTGTAAATATTTTTAAAGCCATGTAATATTCATCAAAGGATGCTATGAAGCTTCAAGAAGGTCCAAGAGGGTTAAATTAGGCTTCAGAAATTTTCTGGGATTTTTTAGCAATTTTTCAGAATTTTTCTGGAATTTTTTAAGGCCTAATTTAATTTCTGGAAATTTTTATTAATTTTTCTGGATTTTTCGGCGTTTTTCCGGTGGCCGGAGCATCACCGGCGGCGAGAAGAGACGTCGGAGGAGGCTAGAATCAGGTGTGGCAGCGGTGGGGTGAGCCTGGCGCGTGAGGAACACGCGCCAGGAGGTGACATATGCTGGCGCGTGCATTGCACGCGCCAGCCAAGTGTGTATGGCCTCCACGCGCGTGCAGGCGCGTGGAGGCGCGTCCCACGCGTCCCACACGCGTGCCAGCGCGTGGGGGCGCGTCCCACGCGTCCCAGGCGCGTGCCAGCGCGTGGGGGCGCGTGGCTTCACCTGCAGCATGCCCCAGGCGCGTGTGAGCGCGTGTAGGGCCCTCCAGTCGCGTTCCAAGCAGTGTTTTGCTTCTTCTAGCGCGTATCAACCTCCTGCGGGTGTTTGCAAGCTGATGGAAGATCCTCGCGCAATACTTAGAGTAATTAAATGTTAAAAGCTGAATCCATTGGCCATTTAATTTG